CTAGCTTCTGAAATGAATTACTGTTTTCATATGGAGAGTGAGTGAACAATGGCTCTAATATATTTCTTGTGACATTTTAATGTGTTTGGGGGAGGATGAAGAGACATAAATTAAATATGTGAATATCGGAATTGTTAGAAGGAATACATAAAGTTAGAAGGAATATCTGAAGTTCTGAAAACTGAAAAAAATGCACTGTGAAAAATTTAAGAACATAGGATACAAGAAAATTATTAGTATAGATTTGGGGGTGGAGGGGGGATGGAGATAGGTTGGGGTGTACGAATGGTTGAGAGGAAAACTCCATGATAAAATATTTGTTTTAGCAATAATAGTAATAATAATTTCTTTGATTATTCTATGTTGATCAAGAATTTTTAACATATTTTTTTTATATAAATTGTTCATGACTTGGCAGGGGAACCCCTTAGAAGACCCACTTTGACCATCAGTCTGTCTTTAAAATAAAAAAACTAGTATGACTTGAAGAAAGAAAAGAATTCTTCAAAAGCTTAAATTGAATGTTGGTTATGATATTTTGTTCTAGGTAAATATTATCTGAAGTTGAATCAATACAATAGGTACAGGATAATCTGTTTGTCAGCTCTACCCACATATGGTTTAACTTAAGATTTCTCTCCACAAGGGCATGATTTTGAATTGCTGTGAAAAAAATATGACACTTAAGTATGGACTTAAGAAAAGTGAATGCCAGGGTTTATCCCAGGTAAACACAAGTCTCAGATCTTCAAAGAAAAGCAACAAAGATAAATTGTTTTTTCATTTCAACAAGATTATGCAGTTGGAATGGAAAAGGTCAGTTTGTCTGTCTTATACCATTTTAATCCAGAATAGATAGGAAAAAGTAGGGAGGTACCTTAATTAAATAGTAGGACATCAGAGGTTAGTGTGGGGGTCAGGGATAAAGCTAAGAGGAACATGACCATTGGAGGGCACTATTGCCTCTCAAGAGAGCATTATGGGATTGAACTCAAACAATTGTGTGTATTATTTAGAATATTGAAATTTGATGTATGATCCTTAAGGGTATTTGGAATTTAATTAAAAGTTTAAGAGGAATTTCTGTGGTGCTGCTTATATTAATTCAGAGTTGCTTTGAAGATGTATGACAGCACATGCTCTGTATGACATCTTTTGCTTCACACAAGGTTATAAATCCCCCCCTTATCAGAACACCTCAACTAGGGGGAACATGAACCTCAATGTCTTACACACTTGGATTATGATAACTTTTTCACCATCTATGTTTTAACATTATCATATCTATTATGCCACAATTTATCTAATATATGTAAATCTTAATGCTTATGGGTTTTCAGGCTTGTATTTCATTATAAAAATAACTTTGCAAGATTGTGATTTTAGGAGATATGATTGAGATAACAATATAAATCTTTACACAATTATGGGTGTCAGATTTTAGCTGCTTTTAAGTATTTGCTATCACCTTGCAATAAAGAATAGAATTATGTATGTATCTATGAATCGACAGAATATTTAAAAATGTGAACAATATTGCAGGCTGTATCATATCTAGACAAATATTTAAATTAATAATGCATTATATATCTGCAGGAATAAGTAGATGGCTTTCTGTTGCCCTAAGTTTTATCTTGTCAGTTGTCTAGCTACACAGGTTTCATACTTAGGGAATTTGTCAATCATTCAAACTGTTTAAAGTTTGCACCCTGGTACCAGTATATTTTAGATTTCACATAAAAATGTGTATATAAAAATCAAGAAGGTCATACATTTCTAACATAAGACAACTGGAATTCAACATCAAGTGAATATATTTTTAATAACCAGTTTGTTCTTTCTTGTTGAAATTCAATTAAACCCTAATTTCTGAATAAGGGTGAATTCAAAAAAAATGACCAAATGCATATTTATCAACCCACACTAAAAATACAGGCAATGAAAATAGATTTCTATGTCTCAGCATATGTCTTTAGATAGTGTCTAAATACCTGCCAAATATCTTGTTGATATCTCAATTAACCAAAAAGTTATGCCCAAAAATGATGCTAAAATTGTCAGGAGTGCAACACCTTTTTGTGACATTTTGAAATTTCAGTATTTTTTGGAGATCTGTGAAATAAAAAATAATGCTTCATGTTGAAAATAAAGACTTTCCTGATAATATTCAAAATATTGAGCTTTAAATGTGGACTGTCATAACTTTTGTTTAATCAAGTTGTGGTCATGGCTGATGTTTAAAAAAATGTTATACCATGTCAGGAGTGCAACAGAAAAAATGTAGTGTTGCCAAAAAAACATCAATTGTAAAATTATGATAGAAAATTAAGACAAAAAAGAATTTTGGAAGTGTAAAATAATAACTGATATACATTTTAAAACTTAAAAATGTTATATAAATCACAAGCAGCATTAATGAGAGTCAAGTATATGTGCATACCCCAAAATGTCAGGAGTGCAACATTTGATGTTTTGCTCCCAAGCATGAAAAAACTATTATCATTATATGATTTTCTGATTTTTATTTTGGAAAATAAAGACACAAAGAACATTTTTACCAAATAGATTTATCAATTACAGGATCTGTCTGTGCTTCAGATCCATATTTCTATGGTCAGGAGTGCAACACATTTTTTAAAAGATTCAAGTTGTGTGACGAAAAGACTTCTATTCATGCTTAGAAGTATTCATTAATTAATAAGGATCTTTTTGTATAATTTAATGCTAAATTATTGACAGTTTTATTATTAAAATCCTTCCTTTTTCCAATTTAACAATTCAGATGTGTTTTTATCTTTTTGTGATTTTTTTAATGAACGTTAAAAATAAACACACTAAAACATTGTCATAAAATATAAGTAATTCCTCCTCAACTTCACTGAAACAACAGAACAAGTTCTTATGTAGTTTTCAGTTCACAATTCTACTTTAAAGGCCCCAATGCTTTTGGTCAGGAGTGCAACAAATATGTTAGAATTATAAATCATCCACTAAGAATAAAAATAAAGAAAAAATGACGAGTAGAATGTCTCTGGTGGGTTACTGTGTTTGTCTTCTAAAGGAAAATATGCTTTAAAATATATTTTATCTTCTAAATATACATTTAAGCTAGTTTTTGGGCATAAAATAGGGTATAATTCCAGATAAAATGCGAATTTTAAATACTTTCATCTGTTTTAATTATGAAGTATTGAACTATAAGTATTGCACAATTTCATTACCACTTGATGTTGCCAACACTTTATGAATTTTTGTGTTCTATGGTTTTAATTTTAAACTTTACTGCAGTCAGGAGTGCAACAAAACTGCTTCATAATTACCGATGCTTTTTAACTATCTTTACTAAAAAATAAGTTGAAAAAAAATGCTTGATACTATTTGATGTTCAAAACACTATGTCTATCAACAAATTACAGAAATTTTACAGTCAATTCAGGGAATAGTTTTCCTCATTTCACATATATTTTAAATACATTTTATATATATTACACTTTGCAAATAATCATGTTTTAAGGTCTTCAACATATGAAAAACCTGCTGTAAACGATGAAAAATATTGACACGGCAAATTGATTTACAAAGTAAGAATGAGTTATTGTGTGTTATAATTTTTAAAACAATGTTAAATAAAATACATATCAGATGTCAGGAGTGCAACACAATAATGTAACATAGGGTCACTTCAAAATCTAGTATTTTTTGTAAGAGAACTCGTATAAAACAATTCTTTTTTGGCTTTGATTTAAAGAATTGACTTGAACGGACAAAAAAGTGAATTTTGGGGAATTCTATTGCTTCATATTTTTTTCATATTAAAACTTTTCAAACCAGAATTAAAAAAATATTGTAAAATAACAATCAAAAAGCCAATTTTTTGTCACATGTACAAGAGAAGATACTCATTCAAGGTCTAGATTTAATCATTTATACCCCTTTTACCATTTTGAAGCATAAAAAACTATAATTTCTTGTGATTATGTATTTTAGAAAGTCTTTTAAGGTGTAACGATAATTTCTTTTTTCAAAAGAAATTTTTCTAATAAAAATTCTGAAACTTTTTAATCCAATTGTCTATTCTATTGCCACTTCAGGATTTTAAACTAGAATGCATTTGCAATATGATGATATAAGTGAAAAATATGTTACAAGTAGTTGAATTTTGCCAAAAAAATTCAGTTTGGTGGTCATTTTTTTTTAATTCACCCATAAGTCAAATGGTTTTCAGTCCTCTGTATGATTGAAATACCATCTGAATAATGAAGAAAGATCAATATTGTACTCAGATAGGGCCTTGACAGGCCCTTGTTATCTTCCAGCTCTTTATAACTTTAAAAAATAAAAAAGCATGTTCTTCCCTGCTGTTTCTGAATATCACTTTCTTCCACACAATTTGAATGGACACTGTGGCAATTGAGATTGGATGAAAACTGAGAAATAATACAGAATTTTCAGTTGAATCAGTTCTTGTGTCTCTTGTCTTCAAGTGCCTTTTAATACGTCTTCTATTTCAAATTCAGTAAATGTGTTACTGTTTTAAATTTTTGTGAAATTAAATTTTTTTGATCATCATGATGTTTAAAGAAATCTTATGAAAGGAAAATGGAGAAGGGGGTGGTGAAGCTCTGAAATAGTTTGTGTATTTAAACTTGACTTTATTAAGCTTCCAAATCATCTTACTGCTCGAGGGTGGTAAAAGTTGGTAACACTGGGAACCAGCAAGTGCTTTATCAGCAGATATTATCACTCAGAGGGACAACTTTCTTTTGATGTGACAAAAGATAGGAAAACAATATCTACATTCCAGGATACCCTTAATTACCCAAGATCAAATATTTTGAAAAAAAAATTGTCATAAAACTTTTTCGCTTATCTCTCTGAAAAGCAGGTGAATTAATTTTAACGTAAAGCCGAAGTTTTTGCACAGAATGAATAGAAATCTTGCCTGGTTTTCTATACAGCTGCACATGCACTGCTGCAGTTTGTTGTCCCATAAGAATGGCTACAATGCTGTGTCAATATCTTATAAATTCCAATGCCATGTTGGAATTTTTGGTTAAGCCATTGGTCTACTAAACCGTCTGCGTTAATTGTTCTCTAGACATTATGACAAATTACGACCAAAAGTCGAGAAACTTTGACAGTGTATAGTCACCTTTTGCAGGTATTTAAGCTCTCTTCTTGCCACTTTTCTGCATATTTACTCAGAACTATGGCAGAAAATAATGTTTTCTCATGTTTCTTTTTTCAGATATGTTCCGTACTGAAGATAGCATCACTCTCAGGGACCCGACTCATTAAAGGTACACGAGTTTATCTTTTTATGAATTAGCTGCCAATCTTTTCCCAGTGGAAAATTGATATACCGGTATTTCTCTGCATTCTTTAACTCTTGTCAACCCCTCATTCTCTTTCAATGTGAATAGATATGCCAATCAAGTAAATCCATATTATTCACTGACTCCATGTAAGAATACGAAGGAGATCCGCAGGATAACAGGTGTCATTTGTAAACGTCTCGTTGGCTTGTCGCTCACATCAGCCTGATTAAGCAGCCTTAATGCCTGAATTTCCCGAGCGTTTTGCCTTTTTTGGCATGTGTCTTGATGCAGAAGTTTGTATTCTTCTTGTGTATTAATGTATTCATAAAGCTATTTTACACTTTTTAGCTCTAAGTGAAGTTAAATTTGATGGATTAACTTTTTTTTTATCAATTTATCAGATATATTTAATGGGTTGAACTTTCACAGACAACACTGGTACATTGTTAAAGATCTGGAAGAATTTCTCTATTGAGTAGATATATGGTACTTCTGATTTGAGGTACAAACTAAGTGATTAAGTCATCATGTTATCATTGACAAGCAATGTAAAAAAAAAAAAAACAAACATATAGCTACTTAAAATTGTCAACAGGAAAATTATTGAAGGAGAGAGAAAGCAAAAATCAAGTCTAAATATGCACACAAAATATTATGGAGCACAATGCTCTTGTCACTGTTTTTTAAAGGAAGGGGGGGGGGGTGCATGCAGGGATCCAGGAAATTTTTCAAGAGGATGTCCATACCCACTAAAAAAATCTACCTCAGAATTTTTTTCACTAGATAAAAAAAAATTGAATTTTCCAAACTGAAAAACTTATTTCATGTTGATTCTCCTTACTATTCAACTAAGAGTCTGTGTTTTCTTGGGGGGGGGGGGATCCAAGGTCATATTTTCCTTAAGGGGGGTACATAAAAATTTACAAATTTGAAAACTAGATCTGCAAAAGGGGGGGGGGGCAGCAAATTCCCATGGCAAACAAAAACCAGATCAGTGCTGTTTGAAATTCATTTTAATATTTTTCAAAACATTTTAACATGATGTAATCCATATTACCAGACACAGCTACCAGTAATTGAATTTTGAGGGAGGTGGGCTCCTTGACTTAATAATTCTGCAGTCAATCAATTAGAAAATTAGAGATAAATGATTGTAAAGTGTTTAGATGCTCGAATTTACATCCAAACTTTACAGACAAGTGAGCAGGAAAAGGATATGATTGGGGGGGGGGGGGGGGGGGGGGGAGGGGGGCATACCTTCCCTAATAATAATTGTTGCACATTGAGATAACTTGTAGGCTGGTACTGGAAGGGACTCTGCATATGATCCATTTATTTGAATATATATGTAAAAGTTCCTTTTCTAAAAAAAAATTTAGGCAATGCACTAATAATGTATTTTATTGAAGATTGATATTAGACTTGCATGGCAATATTTACATGTAACTTTTTATACAGCATTGTCACGTACATCATCAGTTCTGTGTGCTGCATGTGTTAAATTCTTGTATCTTGATGCGTAAAGAAGGATAGACCTTATAACATTAAAAACATTCCATCTATATTACATTTGCAAATGTTCAGAATGAAAAATGTAATTCAAGACATTAACACAATACATAGCTTTGATAGCCAATGCCTTGCTAAATACTGAAACACACAAAAATCACATCAAAAGACATGTGTGTAGTTTCAGGAAAAAAAAAACATTTATTATATGAAATGATGATCTTCTAACAGACTGTGAAATTGGATAATCCTAATACAGGAGAGGTTGGTTAAAGCACAGGTCTGAAAACTGATGAAGATGATAGAATCCTACACTAATCCCTCATAAATCTACCCTGAAATACTGATTATCCGGGAGCACACTAGCTGGGTTATTTATCCCAATGATATGACTTCATAATGACATAAGCTGACTTGACTGACTTTGAAGGGAGCTTAAGTCTGGTGTCTCACAGTGGGGTGGGAATCCTGAAATATAATTTACTACCAGTCTTTATTACAAAGACACTGTGTAATATTAAACTATAGCAAAGAAGCTTAATCCATATGATGGTGAGATTAAATTTTAATTCATCAGGTCAACATGACCTTGAATTAAGTTTTTTTTAAATGGACAATTGAATTAATGAAATAAAAATGAGACTTAAAGAGACTTTTTATTTTATTTTAAAAATAATCTTGATTACAAATAACTTGATTAAGACAGTTAGCCATTAAAACAAAAACATATATATCTTTGCCAAACTTGCATTTTTTTGGGGGGGGGGGGGGGGGGGTAAACAAAGTGTTCCCACTCTCTGGAGGCTGTTGACAGTTCTGCAGTAGGTAACTTTTGTTAATGATGGACATCATATTTCCTTGTTTACAGAAGCCTCCATAATATTTATTATTTTGGAGAGACCATGAAAGAAAATTTTGGCATGAAAAATTGAGTTTGTGGATATCTTTCAATAGGGAATATGTTGTGGTTGATATGAATTCGCTCACGTAGTACTGCAGACAATTGAAGTCACATGACCTTATATCTAAACTTTACTTCTGGAGCTGTAATTTGTTTGTGCTTTTTTGAACAAACCACAAGATGTAATTTAGATTTATTATTTGAATTTCAAAGTGCTCTGTAATCAGCAGGTGGAGACAACATATGTTTGCTTCACAATATTCAGCACATAGCTAGATCATTACTAATACAGAGAAGATAGTGCTGAGCTATGGCTGATCAGAAATAGTCACCTCTAGGTCTCTGTAGATGGTCGTTTTTCCTTCTTCTTCACATTTTTGTGGTTGATTATTGATAAACGTCTTCAAACAATTTGTTTAAAAAATTTAAATTCATTGCATTAATATATCTTATGAAATGTTTTTAAGTCTATGACATCTTTATCTTTTGGCCTCACCTATATAGCAGGGTAAAAAGATTGTGTGGTTATAGGTTGAATTCCCATTTAGATAGGCTGAAAATGATTAAAAGTCTATTGAAAGGTTTCTTGTGTCATTGAATTTTAGGTACTACAAAAATGACAAAACTGGTACTGAAACAAATTAGAGATAAAATAAAAAACTGTAGACAAACAATTTTCCGTGTTGGAATTTATGCTTTGTACACAGTCACAATATCTCACAGGGTACTCAAAGCACCTTTAAAATGTAATGGCCATCCAAGAAATCTGGTTAATTTTCAACCTGGGATTGAACAGAAATAGTGATTCTGTGAAATAATAACCCAGTGGGAAAAGTATGTTTACTGTAACAGACCAAAAACAAAAGCTGTTTTCTGTTACAGATTACCAAGTTGTCTTTCCTGTTGTTGTTGACAATAATGGCAGCTTCCTTTCTCACTGGAACACCACTCACAGTTCTCAAAATCATAGATTTACCAAAGATCTTCACCTCAATATCACAGGATTCAATCAAACATTCCACCTCCATCTCCATACCTCAGCCAATCTACTGGCCCCAGGCTTCAGGGTCTACTATCACCATGGTAACAGCACCCATAGTAACAGTTCAGAAGAACACACTGGTGGCTGTGAATTCAGGGGAACTCTTCTTTCTCACTCCACAGAGGCAGCAGTATCCTTGTGTGGGGGAGTGGTAAGTCTGTGAGGCAGCTTTATCTTTGTGTACATGAATGTGGGGGAGGGGGGGGGTAAGTCAGTGAGGCATGAGGGAACTTTATCTTTATGTGAGGGGAGTTGTGAGTCTGTGAGATAGCATTATCTTTTTGTTTGGGGAGTGGTAGACTGTGAGGCAGAAGTATCCTTGTAGGGGAGTGGTAAGTCTGAGCTGTCAGGCAGAATTATCTTCTTTGGGGGAGGTTAGTGGTAAGTCTGAGCTGTCAGGTAGCATTATCTTCTTTGGGGGGGAGGTTAATGGTAAGTCTGAGCTGTGAGGCAGCATTATCTTCTTTGGGGGGAGGAGTGGTAAGTCTGAGCTGTCAGGCAGCATTATCTTCTTTGGGGGGGGGGGGGGATTAGTGGTAAGTCTAAGCTGCGAGGCAGCATTATTTTGTCTTCTTTGGGGGGAGATTAGTAGTAAGTCTAAGCTGTCAGGCAGCATTATCTTCTTTGGGGGGAGGTTAGTGGTAAGTCTGAGCTGTGAGGCAGCATTATCTTCTTTGGGGGGAGGAGTGGTAAGTCTGAGCTGTCAGGCAGCATTATCTTCTTTGGGGGGAGGTTAGTGGTAAGTCTGAGCTGTCAGGCAGCATTATCTTATTTGGGGGGAGGTTAGTGGTAAGTCTGAGCTGTCAGGCAGCATTATCTTCTTAGGGGGGGGGAGGTTAGTGGTAAGTCTGAGCCATCAGGCAGCATTATCTTCTTTGGGAGGGAAATTATTGGTAAGTCTAAGCTGCGAGGCAGCATTGTCTTCTTTGGGGGGAGGTAAGTGGTAAGTCTGAGCTGTCAGGCAGCATTATCTTCTTTGGGGGGAGGTTAGTGGTAAGTCTGAGCCGTCAGGCAGGGGAGATTAGTGGTAAGTCTAAGCCGCGAGGCAGCATTATTTTATCTTCTTTGGGGGGAGGTTAGTGGTAAGTCTAAGCTGTGAGGCAGCATTATCTTCTTTGGGGGGAGGTTAGTGGTAAGTCTGAGCCATCAGGCAGCATTATCTTCTTTGGGAGGGAAATTATTGGTAAGTCTAAGCTGCGAGGCAGCATTGTCTTCTTTGGGGGGAGGTAAGTTGTAAGTCTGAGCTGTCAGGCAGCATTATCTTCTTTGGGGGGAGGTTAGTGGTAAGTCTGAGCCGTCAGGCAGGGGAGATTAGTGGTAAGTCTAAGCCGCGAGGCAGCATTATTTTATCTTCTTTGGGGGGAGGTTAGTGGTAAGTCTAAGCTGTCAGGTAGCATTATCTTCTTTGGGGGGAGGTTAGTGGTAAGTCTGAGCCATCAGGCAGCATTATCTTCTTTGGGGGGAGGTTAGTGGTAAGTCTGAGCCGTCAGGCAGCATTATCTTCTTGGGGGGGGGGGGGGGAATTAGTGGTAAGTGTAATCTGCGAGGCAGCATTATCTTCTAAGGGGGGAGGTTAGTGGTAAGTCTGAGCTGTCAGGCAGCATTATCCTCTTTGGGGGGAGGTAAGTGGTAAGTCTGAGCCGTCAGGCAGCATTATCTTCTTTGGGGGGGGAGATTAGTGGTAAGTCAAAGCCACGAGGCAGCATTATCTTCTTTGGGGGGAGATTAGTGGTAAGTCTAAGCTGTCAGGCATCATTATCTTCTTAGGGGGGGGGGGGAGGTTAGTGGTAAGTCTGAGCCATCAGGCAGCATTATCTTCTTTGGGAGGGAAATTATTGGTAAGTCTAAGCTGCGAGGCAGCATTGTCTTCTTTGGGGGGAGGTAAGTGGTAAGTCTGAGCTGTCAGGCAGCATTATCTTATTTGGGGGGAGGTTAGTGGTAAGTCTAAGCCGCGAGGCAGCATTATTTTATCTTCTTTGGGGGGAGGTTAGTGGTAAGTCTGAGCTGTCAGGAAGCATTATCTTCTTAGGGGGGGGGGAGGTTAGTGGTAAGTCTGAGCCGTCAGGCAGCATTATCTTCTTTGGGAGGGAAATTATTGGTAAGTCTAAGCTGAAGGGGAGGTTAGTGGTAAGTCTAAGCTGTCAGGTAGCATTATCTTCTTTGGGGGGGAGATTAGTGGTAAGTCAAAGCCACGAGGCAGCATTATCTTCTTTGGGGGGAGATTAGTGGTAAGTCTAAGCTGTCAGGCATCATTATCTTCTTTGGGGGGAGATTAGTGGTAAGTCTGAGCTGTCAGGCAGCATTATCTTCTTTGGGGAGAGGTTAGTGGTAAGTCTGAGCTGTCAGGCAGCATTATCTTCTTTGGGGGGAGGTTAGTAGTAAATCTAAGCTGTCAGGCAGCATTATCTTCTTTGGTGGGGGGGGGGGGGGAGATTAGTGGTAAGTCTAAGCTGCGAGGCAGCATTATTTTGTCTTCTTTGGGGGGAGATTAGTGGTAAGTCTAAGCTGTCAGGCAGCATTATCTTCTTTGGGGGGAGGTTAGTGGTAAGTCTAAGCTGCGAGGCAGCATTATTTTATCTTCTTTGGAAGGAGATTAGTGGTAAGTCTAAGCTGTGAGGCAGCATTATCTTCTTTGGGGGGAGGTTAGTGGTAAGTCTGAGCTGTCATGCAGTATTATCTTCTTTGGGGGGGGGGGGGAGGTTAGTGGTAAGTCTGAGCTGTCAGGCAGCATTATCTTCTTTGGGGGGAGGTTAGTGGCAAGTCTGAGCTGTCAGGCAGTATTATCTTCTTTGGGGAGGAGGTTAGTGGTAAGTCTAAGCTGTCAGGCAGTATTATCTTCTTTGGGGGGTGGTTAATGGTAAGTCTCAGCTGTGAGGCACTATTATCTTCTTTGGGGGGGGGGGGGTTGTTAGTGATTACCGTCTTCCTTGGAAGACGGTTTACAGAGTTGAAGTATTTTACAGTCTTCGGACTATTGGCTTCCTCTCTTTTGTGATTGGTAGAAATTGCATGATGAGAAAATTTTCAATTATTTCATTGGTTGAAATGCTGTTCAAGGCAAGGGAGATAATTTTCTGATGCTCTAATTTTCGTACGACTTAACAATTTTTCAAGATTTTCAATCGTAAAAAAATATGACAAAACGAACAATGGAAATTGGCAATAATTAACATGCTAGTTTTTTTTTTATATTTAGCAATTACCAAAAAAAAAAAAGTTTCTATATTTTCATTGTTGACAGAATTGATCTTTATTGCATGCAAGCTTTACAGCTTGTATGTATTCTTTTCCCCTTTGTTTTGCACTGTCTTTCTAATCTCGGCAGCACTCGGCAACACCTCGGCTGATTCGTACATGTACCTCATCTACATATCACAAAGGTGACGGAATCAGCCGAGGTTTGCCGAATGATCTCGGAGTTGAAGTTTACGGAGACAGTCGAGCATCTGTTAACTTTTCACTTGGTAGGGCCTATGTCAGAAAAAACTAATGAAGAAATACAAAGCCAAGAAACTTTTCAAGAATTATACAGCCCGATAGGTTTAGGTCAGTTTACTGTTTAAGGTTGCTGCTAAAGACGGTAAGCTTTTTGAAGCTCTACTTGTAAGTCTAAGCTGTCCTCCTGCAGCATCTTTTTTGTGGGGAAGGGTTTAGTCTGCATGTACTCTTTGCATTACCTTTGCCTATATATATGTATTTTGAAATTCAGAATTTTCTGATTTTATCACTGAAAGGCAGCCTGTGTATTTTTGCTATTCTGTTCAATAAATTATACAATAGTAATGTTATATTTATCCCCTCTAACAAAGTTTAGGGGGAGGAGGTGTATAAGAATCACCTTGTCCATCTGTCCATCCATCTGTCTGTCCTTGCAATCTTGTCTGGGCTATAACTTTGAAATGGAGAATGTTTGGAAGATCATGCTTTGTACAAATATTGTTTATGCATGGCCAGAGAATGATCACCACCAAAGGTATTTTTGGTAAGTTCAAGGTCATTGGCAGAAAAAGTATAAAATTCTTGTCCATTCTACAACTTCTTCATGGAAAAACATAGGTAGTTCATACTTCATACAAAGAATGCTTGGAGGATTGTACTTATCACAAATATTGCATATGATCTGAAGGTATGTATTAACCCTGACCCAAGGTTCATTCCAGCAAGTTCAAGATCACTGGCAAAAAGGTGTTTTATTTGTGTCCTCTCTGTGACACTGAAATGGAGGCTAAATGGAAGATGATACTTGACACAAAGATTGCTTATGACTTTGGGGTGTGTCTGATCTAACCCAAGGTCATTTTGGCAAGTTCATGGTCACTGGCAGAAAGTGTTATAGTCCTAACTAGTCCATAACTTCTAAGAGATAGGCATTGGAAGTCCATACCTCACACAAATATTACTTATGTTTTGAAAGGTGTGACACGACCTTGACCCAAGGTCATTCTGACAATTTCAAGGTCATTAGCAATAAAAATATAAAATTTTTGATTGAAGTTGACACTTCAGACAGAAATTATTTGTGAGCTAAAAGTATGTCATAACCTTGACCCAAGGTCTTTGGCAAATTTTTAAGGTCACTGGCAGAAAAAGTTGAAATTTCATGTCAGGTCTTTAATTTCTTAATGGAGAAACATTGGATGTCCATATTTCACTCAAAGATTACTTATGACCAGAGGATATATCATTTTTTGAACCAAGGTCATTTTGGTAAGTTTAAGGTCCCATTTACAAAATTGCAAATGGGCTCTTTAAGAAATTCAACAGGGGGTATTATTTTGTGAGCTCTCTCACAGTATCTCTACATTTTACAGAAGTTCTATGCCCCCCTCCTCCCCCCAATGTTAGACATAGTACTCTGATCCAATACCTGTCAATCCTCCTGCACCCACAAAATAACCTCATATCCCTCAACAAAGCAGCAAAAATACATTTCCAGTTTTGCCACACAAAATATGGGTACACCAGATTAGCCTCTTTATTTTTTGAATGAATACAAATTTATTAACTCCTTTGTTAATTTAAGGCCTTATTAATTATAGTGGTGCATGTCAATTCAGAAATAGAGCTTAAAATGAAGAAATAGAAGAAAGTTGTCACCATACAAAATCTGTAAATATTAGTGAGCTCTTACTGGCAGAACCTCGTAAGAAATGAAACATTTCTCCAAAGTTGATGCCAGGGAAAGTTTGATAGCATTTTATCTCTTTCAGATAAATTTTGAAAGAACTGAAGTGCTTAATTTGTCATTAGAAGAAAGTACAAGAAAAATTAAAGGGACCAAAAAATGCCAGGAAGCTTGACATTCTTTCTTGATGACAATATTGTTAAAGGCAAATTCTGGAGGATTTATGGTCTCAGTCAAATTAGTCAAAAACATTCAAACAAAGGTCATCAACTTCGTCACTAGAGGACCATTACTTTTTCTACAGATAACTCGGGGTACATAAACATGCTGCTTACCACTGTAAACTATTTTAGTGCACCCTAAACACCCCAAACTTACCAGTGCCTGAAGTATGTCAGATATTTCGATAGATAAAGGGTGATTAGGGTCTCCCTTTGAACTCAATCTGAGATGGCCTCATTGAGATAAAGAGTATTTGGAAAATTGGTCCTGTTGAGTATTTTAATAGCTTTACAAGTGTAATTTTTAAATTTAAGTGAAAACTCATAAATCACACACTGTTAGGGTAGTTAAGATTCCATGTAACATGTTAGAGAAAGCATGCAGATAGAGACGCTTTTTAACAAATTTTGAACACAGGTGTTGAAGAAAATGTAAAAATATTACATTCACAGTCCCAGTGACTTCCTTGTAACCAAGTTTTACTATACATGTAATTTAAACCAACAAATTTACTTCAGCCTAAATTTTGAAGAAGAGTTTTTGCCAGATGTGTAATTCTTACATGGTCTATTTGTGATGTTTTTAGACCGGGATTTTAAAGACAGCAGATGATGATTATGTTATTGAGCCAAATGCAGAGATGATGACATCAGAGACAACAGAATCCCAGCAACCTCACATCATGTACAAAAGATCTACCATAGCACAAAATACTCCTCATTTCTATGACGCTCAAACATGTAGGTTATACTCACCTTCTATGGGTATCATAAAGAATTACCGTATATACTCGCCTATAAGTCGGTCCACCTATAAGTCGGTTGTATTTTTTAAACTTACATTAAAGGGATTGACCCGCTATTATACCAATATTTTCATAACTCGCCTATAAGTCGGACAGGGGTTTTTGGACCAAAGTTTAACTCCCAGAAAACCGACTTATAGGCGAGTATATACGGTAAACTTAGATTAAAGAGAGGAAAAAATTACTACTACTGTAAGAATCTACTGTATACAGACCTATTTTGCTGCACTTTTATCTTGATAACCATTTTTCATAAAAATTAGACCAGTTAAATTGATATATTTATGATGAATAAACAATAAAAAGAAGAGATAATTGCAAATTCAAGTGAAACAAAGATATAGTAGCTTTATTTAGATTGCATGAGAAGATAATAGCAATAATTAAAAATAGATGTATACATGCAGTTTCATTTAGTCTGAATTGAAAATCTTTTATATGTGCAGATAATCCATATCATGAAAATACTGACAGATATTATAACCCAACGAGAAGGAAACGTCACTCAGCCAAGCGAATGTCCCACCGAGTGCAAGAAAAGTCTGTGGAGATATTAGTCGTTGTAGATAAATATGTATACTGGAAACATGGAAGACAAAATGTTACACCCTATGTACTTAGCATTTTCAATATAGTAAGTTGAGACATAGAGTTAATCAGTTATGAAATCAGGAGTGATGAGAACATGCATTAATTACTGTTCCTGTTATTCAAGATATTGTTTTTACTATCGCATGCCCTACTGGTTGTAGACTAGAAGAGCTGATGCAATGGTCATGAAAAATTATCACACATCGAATACATCCAAGAATCTTATTCTTTTCTCAGATATTTTAATTGTGAAAGTTTAAAATAATTTGTAAATTCTTTCAAAATGCTACTCCTTCTTCAGTTTTTTAAAATTATTTTTCATAAATCACTTAGATGTGTCATTCTATAAATGTAAAACTCAAAAAAGAAAGATTCAAAATAGAAACAGTAGGGGTACAGTTTCATCAGAGACTGTAAGCATTTTTCTATGCCATTCAACAAACCAATGATTGTTACAGTAGTGCTCATATGTGAACCTCCTGTTTTATGTGACCTGAGGATTTGTGTATTTTATCTCCCTACAGGTCTCACAGTTGTTTCAGGATAGTTCCCTTGGTTACAAAGTCAACATTATTCTTGTGGGTCTTATTATTCTGGATAATGAAGAGGTACTCCTAATTTTACTGTAAATCATAAATTATTGTCTGCAACAATTAACATGAAATGTATTCATGTATTCTATTTCATTTTGAATTCCAGATAAAGAGAATAGTGTATATTATCTCCAAAATGATTAAAATAAAACAAAGACTATAGACCTTATAGCTAATTTACTATGAAATTCTTCATGTTGTAGCCAGGGTTACTCATTACTCATCATGCAGATAAGACACTCAATAGTTTCTGTCAGTGGCAGGCTGTGATTGGAGGTCGTCGTCATCGGCAACATGACCATGCTATTTTACTGACTGGCCTTGACATTTGTGCTCACAAGGACTCCCCCTGTGATACTCTGGGTAAGGTCTTACACTCCACTGCAAGAATCAGTTAAGAATGTAAAGGATCATGATAAAGAATAAATAAATCAGTGCTTGTACACTTCATGCACAGAAGAGGAAACAAAATTCAACTTGAACCTGTTTTTTTAAAGATTTATTTGTGATGAAACATTTTGTCACCCTGTACATATGTCACCAGTGACATATTTTTACTGCACATATTGTCCTCCACTGGTACGTATTGACACCGCAGTGACAATATGTGCCGAGATGAGCCATTTGTCTTCCTGCAGAATGGGAGATAAATTGTACTTTACCTATTGGCACATATTGTTGTTGACAACAACTTATGCTGCAAAAATCTGCATACCTTGTTTCCAAAAATATTGTTTGAAGAATATCTTACTGGTTTAAAGAGAGAGAAAAATAGTCATGGTATTTTAAATGAATTTATCAATATTAATCATATAAATTGCATCATTCTCCCTCTTTCACATCACAGTTTGTGTTTTATATATAGCAATTTACTGCAACTGCTTCACTAGAGTTAAAAATGACAGTTCTGTGTTAAACATTGTTCATTCTTTTACTGAACATGCATTCTAAACAAAACTAAAGATGCACTTGGTAGTTATTGCTTTTATGATAAAACCACATTTGTATACTTAACTCATGTATGTTAATATACATAAGAGAAACTTGGACTATTACACTATACCATGCTTCATGAAATAGACCAATGGGACAATACTTTGTGATTCACACTTCAATTACTGGTACACTCACAAAAAATTCTTAACAACCCTAAATGTGGGGCAGCAATACAGTTGAACTTTGGTATCTCAAACCTGATATCTCGAATACCATGCTGGATATCTTGAATCCCTGGATATCTCAAAGTTTTTTCTCAGTCCCTTTTATTCTGCCTGTATCTTGCAGATAGTATAACCACACAATATTTCGGTGCATAGATTTATTGTGTAAATGTGGTAAAGAACTGAAACAAAACAAAAAATAGAATTACTTATCAATAACATGATAAATAGTATCAATATATAACTATAGATATAGCATAAACTGTGTAATAAGTTGTAAATGAAAATATTCAAGAGGTAAATAGAAATAAAGATTCACTATTAAATCCAAAATATAAAGTTTTGACACAAGTGGGTTTCCATAGAAAAATGTTAATATGAACGTACTCCAGTTTTATGTTTAAAGATTATGACAATAATAGGGTTCCATACTTTAGAGTGATAACAATAGATATTCCTAATATATTCAAATTACAAACATTTCATACAAAAACAGTATAAATATAATAAATATACGCGTAATACATAAATATAAACAGTACAGGTATACTTACAGTGTGTGGCAGCATAAGTCGGAAATTAAACAGAAGAGTCTCCTAGTGTGGGCCACACAAAGGAAATTAACACAGGAAGTGAGGAATTTAGGAAAAATAACTCTGGATTTACAAATAAAAAGATAACTCTAGAAATTATAGGACAGATAACTATTTGATTAAGAAAGATAACTCTAACTGTGAAATAAATAAATAATTTAGGAAAATAAATATAGAAATATAAATAGAATGTTCATAAACATTACACCTTTGAGCTCGAGATAACGAGGTTTGACTGTATATCTGTAGTGAGGGTAGGCATAATTGTAGCCAGGGACAATATGTAAATGTTTTTTAGGGCCCCACTATGCAGATGCCCTATAGTGATCAGTCTGTCCATCCATCCTTCCGTCCATCCATCCTTCCGTCTGTCAGTCTGTCCGAGATCTCTTGTCCGGAGCATATCTTCTCTCTCCTTGGCCCAATCTGGCTCATACTTCACCCACAGAGTGTCTTTGGGTAAAGGATGTGCAGTGCCCTTGAACCATGTTTCTAGATCTAAGGTTAAGGTCATAGCAGAATTGTATGAAAAATCCTTGTCCGGAGCATATCTTCTCTCCCCTTGATCCAATGTGGCTCATACTTCACTCACAGAGTGCCACTGGTCAATGGATGTGCAGTGACCTTGAACAAAGTTTCTAGGTCAAGGGTCAAGGTCCAAAATATCCTCTCTGTTTAAAATCTTTGTTTGGTGCATAATTTGTTTCCCTTAAGTCGAGACAGCCTCAAACTTTACCAATTGACTTAGGGTACGGAACATTTGTGATTTTCCTTCCATATTTTGATAGAGGATATGCAACAATTTTCATAGAGGATATGCAACATTCGTGATTTTTGTGCCATTTTTTGATAGAGGGTATGGAGCACTCGTGATTTTTGTGCCATTTTTTATTATAACAAGGATGACATAGAAACCCTTTAGACTCAAACAACACATCCCTTAATAGTACACAAATGTTCCTCTTCAAAATAAACTCTTTTCAACTACCTTATATTTTCATGTTCGTTGCTGAAAGCAGGGCCTTTTGAGATGGCCACCATCTCAATGATATCTAGTTTTTCAGCCCTCTCAAGCCAGTGGATGACAATAAGTGCAGTGAGGTTACGTGCTTATTGTCACCAATGACAATATGTACAGGACAACAATACGTACCATCACAAACATGTATATTAAAATGTTTTATTAGCATGAAATACAAAGCAATGTCTAGTTAAAATTAACCAGTGTTTTTTCAGGTTTTGCTCCAATCCAAGGAATGTGTAACAGACTGAGGAGTTGTATAATCACTGAGGATACAGGGCTGTCTACAGCTTTCACCATTGCTCACGAGATTGGTCACAAGTAAGGGAACGTGTAGAAAGGAGAAATTCTCCATCTCGAACTCAAAGTTGAGATGAGTTTATTCTCTACCCCCAGGTATTTCTGGATGGCCAGGTTAAAGTTTTAGGAGCAGGTCCATTCCCAAGTAACTATAAGGCCCAGCTTAGACCAAGCTTGCATGTATAATGCATCTAGGGATGCACACAACAGACTTTGCTAAAATGGATGTTGGAAAAATTGACCTACATTTTCCAGATGAGTGAAAGGTCTATGCCCTACCTACATCAAACTTGCATAGATGATGCATCTAGGGATGCACACTACAATACTTGCTTCAGATGCTGGATCTGATCTACATTTTCTGAGTGCACAGGTCAAAGTCTTAGCAGGTTCATTCCAAACTATCTGTAAACCCTATGTGGATGAAACTTGCATGGATGATGCATTTAGGGATATACACTACCAGATCTGTCTGTTTCTGATGCTGGATCTTAAGTTACATTTTCTGGACGAAATAAAAAACCAAAGCTTTTAGAGCAGTTTCAATTGCAAGTAACTGTAAGCCCTACCTTGAAAAACCTTGCGTGAATGATGCATCTAGGAATGCAAACAACAGACTTGCTTCAGATGCTGGTCTGACCTACATTTTCCAGGTGAATGAACAGTTTACTTATTTAGAGTTGGTATATTCCCAAGTAATTTAAGCCCTATTTCACTGAACTTGTATTGATGATGCATGTTACTAAGGATGCACACTGCTAGCTGGATCTGTCCTACATTTACAGGGTTACTGTACAGTTAAAGTCTTTGGAGCAGGTTCATTTTCAAATATCTATAGATCCTACTTGGACCAAACTTGTGTAGATCTTGCATCTTGGGATGCACATTAAAAGAACATTTGTTTCATGTGAGAATTAATCTATGATTACCTATGTTAGAATATTTGTTCTTAAAATTCATTGTAAATATTGTAAGACTCCTCAGTTTTAAATATTTAAGCACTGTCAGTATTTGTCAGTATTTTGTATTGAAGCTTTGGAATGTTTCATGATGGAACAGACAACAATTGTTACCAGAACACAGGGACCATCATGTCCCCCACACTCAGCTCCAAGACAGGAACCTTTACCTGGTCCAGGTGTAGCAGAGAGTACCTGGCCAGATTCTTCAAGTAAGCATCACAAACAAATCTAGTATTACAGCGTGTTAGGAGATACTATTTATTACAGTATGCCAGGAGAAACAACTCTGTAAGTTCACAGTATGACAGGGGAAACAAATCTACAGTATATCAGGAGTTCATACCCTTACCAGGGATCTATATACTAAAGGGATAAGCAACTCTCACAAGTCTCGCGATATCTCGTAAGTTGCGGGATTTCATAAGTCAATTTTAATTAAATATATCTCTTTTGCTATCAAATATTTCTGAATAAAACCTTAATTTATCTATCAAAAAATTATTCAAGATTTGTTATTAGCACTGTTTTTACTCCTTATCTTAGAAGTAATTACGTTTATTTAAAAATCAATGTGTGCCCCTGATCGGCCGTATTTCCGAGAAATCGCGGATTTTGGTGGTTGTTTACTTAATATCTAAATTATTTTGTAACATGTGTTTTAAAATTTATTAAATATCCATTCAGATACACAAAAAGAACAGATTACATTAATCAGAAAACAAGCTTTTTACTGAGAAAAAACGTAGTTTGAAAAACTTGCGGTGTTGTGTGCCCTTTTGGGTAAATAAACATGGCACTGAAGGAGTTGCCTATCCTGTAGTATGTAGGTCCCTGCCCTTACCTTCCATTTCCTATGGGTGTTCATAATAAATGTAATCTAAGTGTTCAAAAAAGGACATATTAGATTTTTTTGAAAGAGAGGATGCTTCCTTTATATTTCAATCTTTGAATATGGAGTCATTTTCTTTTATATATATGTTACTATTTATTTATTTACTAGAAGGTAATTTGTTTATTATCTTGTTTATTAAAGATACAGATATGTATTTTTTCTTAGTAGTGTTTCAAGATATGTATGATATTTCTAGGTAAAAGTATTGTTTACACCCTAAAATGTTGAGTGTGTCAGGAAAGACAACTCTGCAGTGTTATTCTGTTCTAGGAGAGATAGTATTCAATGAATGCAAAAAATGGCAGATTTTATTACAGACAAATAAATACTTGTGTATTCATTCTACACCATTACATTCTAAAACCTGCCTGTTTTCAATATCTTTTTTTAGTACTTTACAATCAGATTGTCTGGGTGATGATCCAGTGAGAGTTTCCTCTCTTAGATTTCCCGATAAACTCCCCGGCCAGATGTTTAATGCCGATACCCAGTGTAAATGGCAGTTTGGAAAACATGCTAGACTCTGCATGTTTGACTTTGGAAAGGTACTCCGATACAGACAAGAAAAATAATTTTGAAGGATTAATTTACCACTGCAACATAAGATCTCGATGTTACTAGCTTCTACGATTACTTTTGGTCTTGATGTTTCAGAACGAGGTTTGTCAGAAGTTGTGGTGCTATAAAGGAGGTCAGATGTGCGAGACTAAATTTTTACCAGCAGCAGACGGCACTTCCTGTGGTCATGGTATGGTAGGTAGGCATAACTTCTTCTGGAAATATAACCTGACACCCAATTTTCGTGACGTTATTTTTGCGAAAAAGTTAACAGGTACTTGGTACATGTATTTATAAGCAAGACAAAATTTCACAAATTCTGGTCATTGTTGTGTGTAATCTTTATTCTCAGAAAATTCTGATCAGGAGGTTTTATACTGTTTACATTTCATTTAGCTTTTATACTCTTTGTGTTAGGGTAGGTTTTACAGTGTACTTATAAGTAAATTTTATTCTGTTTGTGTAGGTTTTACAATGTACTGATACTTAATGCTGATTGTGTTAGAGTAGGTTTTACAATGTACATGTACTTATAAGTAAGCTTTATACTGTTTTTGTGAGAGTAGGTTTTAAAGTGTACTGATAAGTAAGCTTTTATTCAGTGTACAGATAAGTTAGTAAGCTTTATACTGTTTGTATTTCAGTGGTGTAAACAGGGTAAATGTGAGTCGTTTGGTCGACAGGGACCGGTTCCTGTAAATGGAGGTTGGTCTGAGTGGACACAATGGTCAGCTTGTTCCCAGAGCTGTGGGGGAGGGGTCAAGCACAGATCAAGGCAATGTGATCACCCAAGGTCAGGAAAAATACTGTTAATTAAACAGTAAATTTTAATATTGAAATCTTATACTAATAATTTAATTATATATGACACTTGTTATAGAAAAAGCAAACAAATGGCTTTTTTTCATCACTTTTCTACTAAAATTAAATTTTTTTTCTATTAAGTAATTGAAATCATGGATAAGTATATAGACATTATGATTCTTTTAGGCCACAGTATGGTGGTAAGGCATGTCCTGATGACAAGGAAACACACAAGATGTGCAACTTGCAGGTATATTGTACTTAATAATTAAATTATAATATAGTCTGTACTATTTGTAGAGACTGGACTATTCATCAGACAAAAATTATTGTACTATAAATAAAGCTTATCTTTCCAGGCATGCCACAGCAGAAAGCAGGATACCAGAGAGGAACAGTGCCGTGCTCACAATAGGGTACCATTCAGGGGTAGAATGTATAGATGGACAGCTTACAAACAGATCCATGATGGTTTGTTCACAGAGAACTAATGCTCCTTAATAATAAATTGTTTCTTTAAACTCTACCAATTTAAAAAGGTATTAACAGTACCAGAATTATCATGTGTCCCAGTCAACTTATATATTCCTAGTAGACCCCAAAAACTAGACAGTTATTCCTTGTAGTCACAGTTTGCATAATAAAAAGAAATTAGTGTAGATTAAATGATTCCAATAATTAACTCTATAAATGAGATATGATTAAATGTTATTAATATATTGTACCCTATATATTATTTTTCATGCTTATCTATTTTCCATACAAGCACCACCTACTGTCTGGTGTAATTAACATCTCACTCTCGTACATGTGGCTGACTTAGAAAACACCCATCAAATACCCGAATAAATCATATGCTTCATTGTCAGTTTACTGGGAGGGTAGATAAATGGTATTATTTGTAGGGTTATTATTGAGGAAAGATTATTAAGCCTCAGTTTTATGTAAATAATGATGGTTGTTGTTTTACAGAGAAGGAGCAATGTAAACTGTACTGCCAGGCTGATGGCTACAACTTTTTCTATGCTTTGTCAAAACAAGTGAAGGATGGTACTCCATGTAATGACTACTCCACAGATATCTGCGTCCATGGCAAGTGTAAGGTAATGTTTTCACTCACCATATAATGGGTGTTTTTTTTTCCAAATTTTAGCAAAATTTTGTTGCTAAGTCAAAATTGCAAAAAATGAAGTGAACATCCATATCTCTTTTTGCATCTATATTTTATTAAATCTAGCTGATTGTGAAATATTTCAATCACAAGTCTTCATTGTTGCAAGGTGAAATGGAATGTCAGAAATTGCAATAGGAGAAATTTGAATGCTACCTGTATCTTTGAAGCATAGAATTGGTTCCTGGTTAGCTTAAAAACTACATATGCGTGGAGATAGCTTAAAGAAAATGATTTTTTTTTTTTATCATATAACAGTAACATTATATCACGAAGTTATTTATATTTAGCATGTGGGATGTGACTACATTATTGGATCTACTGCTTCTAAAGATCAGTGTGGTGTCTGTATGGGAGATAACTCCTCCTGCAGTGTATTTGAAGGACATTTCAAGGCACAACCCAGGAGAAATAGTAAGGCATTAATTACTGGAAGTCTGAAGTATAAAATATTTGGTAATTTTGACACAGTAATTAGTTTGATATAAGATAAAAATGATTGACTAGGCTGTCACATGTTTAATCGATCTCTGACATCTCACTCTGAATTCAGCCTACTTCCCAGTGGTGGTGATTCCAGGTGGTGCCAGTGGACTTGTTTTCTCCGAGGCAGCTATAACACCTAACTATCTGGCTGTAAGAGATATATATGGTAAATACTTCCTGAATGGAAATTGGCAGATGATGTCTGAGGGAGTGTACGATATTGCAGGAACTAAGTTTATTTACCAGCGTAGCTACAGAGAACCAGAAAAGCTCACAGCTGATGGTCCAACCACACAGGATATTGTTTTAGAGGTCAGAAAAATGTCTAAATCAAATGATGTTATTTTGTACAAGTTTTGTGCACAAGTTTTTTTTTTCTGTTAAGTATGAACCACAAATATGAATATATGATAGTTAATTTGCATAGAACAACTGGTGCTTAAGCTTGTGGTATCTTGTTCTTAACAACAAAAATTGAAGACTTGTATTTAATTTCTTGTATTGGATTTGTACAGTGTTATAAAGTTTTTGATTTTATTTACAGATTCTTGTTCAAGGTGTAAATCCAGGTGTTTCCTACAAATATACTCTCCCCAAAGCATCAAGCTATCCCATCATTCACAATTACACATGGAGTATCAAACTCTCTGCCTGTGATCAGCCTTGTGCAGGAGGCAAGTTGGCTGTAATTATTGAATATGAAGATCATGAAAGTTCAGAATTTCTTTTCTTTACATCCCAACCTATATACAGACAACAAACCTTGCTACTGTTTTTGTTTAACATGACTGATTCATTTCTGTCACAGGTAAAAGAACTTCTACTGCTCATTGTTACCGTGGCGATGGAGGGGAAGTGTCACCTAGGTATTGTGATCCAAAGTCACGGCCCAAAACAGGTGTGTCTGCCTGTAACATCCATCACTGTGATCCCAGGTAATGCACTCTCTTTATAAGTGAGGTAAACTAGTACTGGTGTCTGCTTCTGAGATTCAGAGATGCATAGCACCAAATGTTAAGTAATGAAAAATCTCTCTGACAGATGGTACACAGAGGCTTGGAGGAAGTGTTCTAGGCCATGTGGAGGTGGAGTACAGAGAAGAAAGGTCTACTGTAAGCAGAAGATTAGCCAATCAAATGACAGACATGTCAGCAGACGACGATGTGACAGACAACAGAAGCCTAAAAGGAGGATTCCATGTAACACTCAGGAGTGTCCACCAGCCTGGTATGGAGGAAAGTGGTCTCAGGTAAACTTATAAAGTCAGCTAAAGCTGAATTGAAATCCTAGTCTTGATAGCTTTGTATGCTTTGTTCATCATTTTACTGGGGATAAATCCACTTCTTTATTAATCTTATCAAGAACATTGTATTAATCTTATTTAGAATATAAATTCATTGAAATTATGAAATTACATCCCAAAGAACAAGCAAGATTATGCTTAATACCAACAAACATTAACCCCCCCATGAATTAAAATGATTCCACAGTATTTTGCAAAATTTTTAACATAATTATATCAATTACTTTTGAATGAGAGAAGAAAGTGTTTTCATATTTTAAATGTTTATCATCTGTGACAACAACTTTCAAGAAGGACTATCAATTTTGACCTCATAACCTTGACCTTGAAGTTTCACCTACTTTTCAAAACGTTTTTAATTTGACCATAGCCATTGCAACAGAAGAGACAGGGCTTTCATATTTTTACACATGTGCATTACTGTGACAAGACATTTCAGAATATACTGTGTCTTTTATCTTCATGACCTAGACTTCCAAGTTTAACTTTCAGAAACTTAAATCTTGGCCCAACTTTTGCACTAGAACATATCACTTTCAAAATATAAAACTTTTTTTTTTGCATGATGGACAGACAGGACAATTAAATACCAGTACAATATGCCATAAATCATTGCACCCCAGTCAATAAAGACCCTGAAAGTGGGATACCACAATTCTCTGAATTTGCTTGTTTTTCTTATCTTGTAAAGAGTGGTTCTATTTTGTGAATTTTTCAGTGTTCCAAAACTTGTGATAAAGGATTGAAGACACGTGAGGTATCTTGTCGTAGTCGGACACTAAAGGGCTGGGTAGTTCTGTCCGACAGCTTCTGTCAACATAAACCTCCCCTAGTCAAGACCCGAGGATGCCGAGTGCGAAAATGTCCCCCTGTTATAGAACACCAATGGATTCTGTCTGCCTGGTCACAGGTACTTCATATTAGTCTTTAGCTCCAAAGGACTCAAACAGCTTTTACTGCCTGTCAGTCTAAAAATTATTCAAATTCTATGCCTCCTGCAATTTAGTTGATTTTTATAAAACTTGGTGCAGAAATAGATTGCACCAAGATGGCATCTTGATGTAGGCTACTTGTGCACCAATGCATTGTACAATTCGTTTTTTTAGTTCACCAGAGCTGAAAGCTCAACTGAGCTTTTCTGATCAAAATTTGTTGTCTGTCATTTTAGTTGTCATTTTACAATTTCATCTTCTTCTCCAGAACCACAGGGCCAATTTCAACCAAACTTTGCACAGAGTATTCTTGGGTAAGGGCATTCAGATTTGTTCAAATGAAGGGCCACACCTTCTTCCCAGAGGAGATTAATTAAGACAAAGTGAAAATAGATTTAAAGATCTTCTTAAGAACCACTGGCCCAGAAAAAATGAAACTTATGTGGAAGCTTTCTGATGTAGTGTAGATTTAAATTTGCTCAAATCATGACCCCCAGGGGTAGGGTGGAGTCACTATGGGTGATCAAATATAAAGGAAACATTTTTAAAAAAAATATATTCTTCTCAAGAACAGTGAAGTCATGATCAGTCATTTTCATACTGAAGCATCCTCAGGTAGTGTACATGTATATTCTAATTTATTTAAATCATGACCCCTGGATGGAGCCACAATAGGCGATCAAACTTTTACAAGGAAATGTAAAGGAAAAATCTTCTTCTCAGGAACAGGACAGCTATGGTTAATTATATTCATATGGAAGCATCCTCAGGTAGTGTAGATTTAAGATTGTAAAAATCATTACCCCTAGGGTTACGTGGCCACAATGGGCAATTGAAGTTTGACAGAGGAAAACTTTCTAAAAATCTTTTTCCTGGGAACACCAAAGCCATGATTAGTTAAAGTCATATAGGAGCATCCTCAAGTAGTGTATGTTCAAGCTAGTTCAAATCATGACCCCAGTGGAAAGGATAGGGCCACAATAGGCAATCAAAGTTTTAAATTGGAATATATAGGAAACATCTTTAAAAATCTTCTTCTCAAGAACAGCAAAGCCATGATTGGTCATATTCATATGGAAACATCCTCACATAGTGTAGATTCAAATCTGTTTAAATAATGACCCCGTAGGGTAGGGTGGGGCCACAATATGTGATCTAAGTTTTACATAAGAATATACAGAGAAAAGAATTTTTTAATGACTTACAGATGGACTATATTTACAGTGCTGCCACCATTACTAAATATAAAATTCTTTGAAGTACTTTCAAAATCCTTCTCCCACAGTTTAGGTGTGGTTGAAATAAATTTGATATACAAAGTAAACTACATCTGGAGACACGTATTTAATTCTTTATATTGATTTTTTTATGTAATAAAATAAATTTATTAGAAATTCTTTATTAAAAACTAATCTTCTTACAGTTGTGGTCTTATTTCAATAAAACTTGGTACTCAATTAGATTTCACCATTTCCTGTGTCACTGACAGTTCTGAAATATTTCTGTAGTGTTCAGCAAGTTGTGGTTTAGGTACAAGGGAGCGTAAATTGAAATGTGGAGAGAGAAGGAATGGACAGAAATGGAATATGGTGAACCCTAGTCACTGTAAGTCTCTCTTCAGATCATCCAACACCAGAACAGAGGTCTGCAGAATAGAGGACTGTCCTAAGGAATCAAGCTCTTACTGGAATGTGTCACCGTGGTCAAAAGTAGGAATCAGTATATCTAAAACACCATAATCTATCGTTGCATCAACTTCTGTATTTATTTATCATCTATTCATTTAAGTGCAACTCTCCCACTTTAATATTGATAAATGGAGCCCTAATGTTTTTTGCTCAACTGAGCTGAAAGTTAAATGAGCTTAACTGATCACATCTGGCATTCATTCGTCAGTAGGTCTGTCTGTCAGTCTATCTGTCAACTGTTCACATTTTTTACAACTTTTCAAGAACCGTTGGGCAAATTTTTATCAAAGTTGCCACAAAGCATCCTTGGGTGAAGGGGATTCAAATGAGGGCCATGCCCTTTTCAAGGGGAGGTAATTAAAAGTGAAAATTTGGGGGGACTGTCTAAAATCTTTTCAAGAGCCACTGGTCCAGAGAAGATGAAACTTATTTGGAAGCTTTTTAATGCATAAATTTGTTCAAATCTTAATCCCCATTGAGGCTACAGTAGGGGATCAAAGTTTTACATGGATTTATATAAGAAAAAAATATTTTAAAATGTTCTCAAGAACAGCAGAGTCATGATCAGTAATATAAATGATAAAACCATGGCTCCCAGGGTTAGGGTGTGGCCACACTATGGGATCAAAGTTTATCATGAGAATATACAGGAAAAATATTTTGGAATCTTTTTTTCAAGAACAGCAGAACCATGATTAGTGATATGAAGATGCAAGCATCCTCAGGTAGTGCAGATTCAAGTTTGTTCAAATCATGGCTCTTGGGAGTAGGGTAGGAGTATATAGGAAAATTGTTTAAAAATAGTACACATATATAGGAAAATGTGTTTAAATTTTTTTCAAGAACAGCCAGGCCAAGATTAGTGTTATTGATATGCAAGCATTCTCAGTTATTGCAGTCTCAAGTTTGTTCAAATCTTAGCCCCCAGGGGGAGATTGGGGCCATAATAGGATATCAATATTTTAAAAGGAAATGAATGAGGATTTTATCTTTAAAAATCATTTTTGAATAGCATGGCCACACTAAATTGCATTCATATGGAAATAATCCAAAGTTTTGTGGATTCAGCTGTTTTATTTTTAAATATTGTGATGAAGAACAGAAGGGCAAAGGTGACTCAAATGAGTGTTGCCCCCCCCCCCCCCTTTTAAGAATAGTTAATAAAAAGGTGAATATAATTTTCAAATTAATGTAAGCAGGAAAATTACTCATAAATTAGGAAGATTGTTCATAAATTACATTTTGGTCTTAGTCATGTTATTTCGTAAATGGACTTAAGGTCTATAGTGTGAGAAAGTATTTTTTTTATATATTTCAGTGTTCTACAACCTGTGACCAGGGAGACCAGACAAGACTGGTTCACTGTCTGAACAAGGTCACGCAGGAGTTGTCTACCGAATGTAACGAGACAGAGAAACCCATCTCCACCCGACCCTGTATAAGCCAATCATGTCCTAAACTAGGTAACTATACTTATACATGTATACTGCACCCAATCCTGTATAAACCAGTCATGTCCTAAACTAGGTAACTATACTTATGTAATGGTTTGGACCGTGGATGTCGGCCTGGGTGGCTCGGTCGGTGGAGCACCTGATGTAGTGATGTAGGGGTCCCGGGTTCGATTCCCGGTCCAGCCATACATTTTCTCCTTTCCTGTTACACTTATATACTCCACCCAACCCTGTATAAGCCAATCATGTCCTAAACTAGGTAACTATTATACAATTATTGCTGGTTTTTGAGGTCAATACAATGATTTAGACACCTGAGAAGTACAATATTCACCTCGCCCTTCGGGCTCGGTGAATATTGTACTTCGAAGGTGGGTAAATCATCATATTGACCAAAAAAACAGCAATAATTGTTTTATTATATGATTCAGTGATTAAATGACACACACTCATTAAGCATACCATCTTACTTGTTCACATCTACTGAAGTACTAGCCGAACATAAAGAGAGAAACGGGGTTAAAAACTACCAGTTGTATTATTTTGGAATTTTTAATTGTAGTTTAGGTGCAGTGTAGAAAAAATAAATGTCAGGCATATATATAGGATTGATTTTGAAAAGGGGGCATTAAGGACATACGCAATGTACCTTACCTATTGATAATTTTTCAAGATATTCTTAATTTAAGATTATAATGTCATCAGATTTTCATAGACAAAAAATCAGCATGCATTACCAGGGGTTTTGAAAAGATATCAATTGATGAAAATTCTTGTATAATTCAAAGAAAATATACAAAAATTACTAAACAAATATTCTAGATGTTTTGTTTATCCAAACTTGTTTTAGAAGAAGTGTACAACAGCATATATAGACATTAAAATGTAGCACACAGTTCCTTTAAGAATTGGAACTCTTCAACTCCAGGGAAAAAGACAATAAAGTTCAAACTACGTTGCATATGTCCTTAAAAGGAAAAAAAATGACAACTTACGTGAAAACAAATCTTTGACTAGCCCCTACCACCTAAAAAAAGGATAAGAATTCTCCAAACTCAAAATTTTATTTGGTGGCATGTAAAGGTACATAAAAGAGGGGAGGGACTTTCATTAAAATTTTTTATCCTTAAAATTTAAATTAAAACTTTACATTCTCAAAAGGTAGGGAGAGGGCAGGTCTCCTGCAACCCCCCCCCCCCCCCCCCAACCCAAGAATCTATGTGCCTTAATGTTATGTTCATACGAGTAGAAGTCAGGTGCAAGTGAAATAACTTTCCAAAACTATTTGCATCAATTTGGAATTTCCCTATCTAATTTTGTCTAATGTAGAATAAATAATGTATTTTTTTTTTATTATTATTTCAGATCCCAACTGTAATGATAAGTTTAAATGGTGCTACCTTGTTCCCAAACATAACATTTGCAACCATCACTTCTACGGAAAGAAATGTTGTAAATCTTGTAGCAGCTTGAGATAACATCACTGATTTGACTAACAGAGCGATGGCTGTGAGAGTTAGATTCACGGAGAATAAGAAATGTTGATTGTACTGATTTGACTATTAGACTTGTGGCCTGTGAGAATAGTTTTATGGACTATAAGAACTGTTGACTGTACTAATTTGACTGTTAGAGCTGTGGCCTGTGAGAATTGTTTTATGGACTATAATAACTGTTGATTGTACTGATCTGTGATAAACTAATTCAAGTCCAACTCTGGACAACTGTAAGACTGTATTTCCAAGTGCAAAACCAAAGATATATATGGATGTAAATTGCCATCATACAGATATTATAAACAATGGCCAGTAAACTTAGACCAAAGCCAACAATAAGCTTGGGAAGCAAGGTTTTCTTTCAAATTCAGGAAAAATATTTATTGAAAAAATGGGATGACCGATACATTTTGTAAACAAGAAATACTCACTGTATGACATAAAAGACTCTAAGAAGAAATCTTAACAGTTCAGGAGCAGGTGAAATATCTTACCTCAATGTGATCAATATACAGAACTACTGATAATTATCAAGAAACATTCAGCCCGGGTGCCATACTTCTATCAAATCATTTTATCATGCCTGTCACTCCCACTGGCTGCGAGTGTCATTACAAGAATTCGAAAACAAATTGTGTGCATGTATATGTTGACATGGAACAGGTTTATAGATATACATATTTATTTATGAGTATTAAAATATTAATACTAGTACACGTATTTGAATGTAACTACAAAATGTGCTGCACATTAGAAAACATGTAAAATTCCTCTCCAAGGATTGCTTCATTTGTATCCGTTATTCATATCATCCTTCCTTTTCAGTTCTTGCTTTGATATTACATTTTGTTTTTTAATAACAAATTTTTGTAAAATTTTGGTTTTGTAATAAGCAGGTTCTGTAAAACTCGGTTATAGCAAAGTCCTTGGGACACGAAATCTGTTCGCTACATCTGTAAATTCATCATATCAGAGTCCATAAATTTACTATATCCGTGTTCACACTAAACAAGTTTTACTGTATAAGCTGTGTCTTCTGTAAATGTTTTAAATTTTTTTGTGAATAAAGTGTATATGTATTACATATAGTGTCTTGAAAGAGATGTTATAAATCTATTAATATAGTGTCTGTAACAATTGTGAGGGAAGAGTGCACCTGTGCACATGAAATAATGTTTATCTTTGCAATTGTACAGTAATTATCACTTATTTGCTATGTATCTTGCATGTTATGATAATTTTTTCATTTGAACTACTGTATATGTACTTATTTCAGTAAGATTCTGTGGGCACCTTTTTTTTAAAGCGTTAATTCACCATCACTGCCTAAATATAAATTCACATAAATGAAATAAATGAACCACCTACATTGCTAATTATGATTGCATTAATTAGCCCATGACCTTCTGGTGTACTGATTTTTGAACACAGTAAAATAAGTACTGTACATGTATGGTATTGCTATGTCAGGGATTATCATCTTTTTGGAATACTTTTACCTGATGATAAATACTCTATCTGTAAAAGACAATCTCAAAAATATTAATATCATTTTTATTCACTGTATATTTAAAAAAATATATATATTTATGCATTGAAAGTGTACACATTTTCAGGAATGGATGTGCAATAACAAATACTTAATACAGCACCACTAAAGACAAGTCTCTGATCAGTCATCTTCCAACAAAGAGCTTTACATTGTATTTAGAATAATATAACTTTTGAGAAAGTCAATGGGCATTTTTTATAGCAGAATTTAATTTTTATCCAAATATGAAAAGTGTTTGGAGACTGCAAACACTGGTTATGACTGAGCAATGCATCACTATATATATAAGTCCCCTCCTCTAGATGCAGATCTCTCCCAAAATCTAACCACTAGTTGTGTGTCAGACTCCATATATAGACCCCCCCCTCCCTCCTAAAAAAAAAATAATAAAGCACCATGGTATCATTTATTGTGCTACCCTACTTGCAATTAATTCTAAAATTGATGTGTTAAATATTTAAATAGTTTTACTATTTTCTTTGTACCCATTTTTTCATACATTTGATTCAAATGAACAGTATACAAAATTCCTGCCAACCGGCATGCTCGAAACTAGAATTTTTTTAAAATAAGATCCACAATTTTTATCAGCAATTTTTTTTTTTATTGATCCCTAAGCTATTTTTGAAAATTTGTACTTACAGAATCCTTTTTATTTCCTAAGTTAGTTTTGAAAGGGAAAGTTAGCTTTTCAACAGGCTCTTTTCACCCCACCCCCCCCAAAAAGGGGAGGGGGAGACCACTGTAATGCACCTATTATATATTCATGCATAGGAATTTTAAGCGTGTTTCCATAAGAATCCACAAATTTTTTTTTTTACAAGTTTCTAGTGCATTTACTAGCACTTCTGAAGATAACTGGATACAACTGAGTCCAACAGAAGCAATTGAAGCCTTAAAGCTGAACACTACTCATAAATAGGCACCGTAATACAGGTATATAAACCCTTCGATTTCGTTACACCCGATTGCACACTTGAAACTCATGGCCAACGTGTAGTATTCCTTTCGTTGTCTTATATTTTTTTGCGTTTATTCCTTGTTTTATGTGCATTTTCTGTCTATAAATAATGCATTGACTTGTATATTTGATGTTACTTTTCTCCTGGCTCGGAAAAAGTGCGTAAACTTTGATAATTTCGTCGCGACCGAGTAACACGGCAATGTAAGATGTACGTCTTCTCAGGTGAGACCTCTACAGCGAAATACTTTGGGCTGTTAAGAGGTCTGCGGCTTATATAGGGGGTTGTTGGGATAGCGGTGATGAAAGGGAAAATATGGCGGACAATGGCCTTTTACGAGTAGTGTTCAGCTTTAACTTATGTAGATTAATAAACTTTTAAAGTCACAAACTAACTGCAAATGTTCATCCTATCCATGACAAAAGTGGACATACAGTAATGGGATATTCAAATTATCAGATAACAGAGCTGCACAGCAAGTGATTATTCAATTTTAATACCCTCCAAACATGTCAGGTCAAATTTTTCTGGAAAGGGAAATTTATTGTGATATACATTGCATTTACAAGTAATTGGTTTAACTGTAACACACATTTCAAAGTTACATTTTAAACATTTTAAAGTTACATTTTAAACATTATCCTGCCTAGATTCTGATTTTCTGGTTACAGGTAGCTTCCTGTTTGAAAAAATGATATGTGAATCTGCATTTCTTTTTTTCTGTAAAATCATAACAGAGGTGTTTGACAAACAATCTTATCCTAGCTCTGTTCTCAGGTGACAGTAGCCTATTGTCACATCATTCAGGTAAATTTTTACAGATTTGATGGTTAACCAGGGAAACATCATGGTAAAAGTGACCAGCAATTATGTAACATTTTACACACATTTTTTTCATGATGGGAATACATGAGCTCTTTTAAATTATGTAGTACATGTACTAAATGAAAAATACACCAGTTTGTATGTGTTAATCAGTTTGATTTTCCATTTGAACATTTTTTTTATAATGAATACAAGGTATATAATTATGATTCTGTTGTGTTTATGTTTGTAGTTTTAATAATTGCACAACAATTTCATTTCAATTTGTGTACTTTCATACTTTTATATAAAATTAAACGTGAAGTTAGAAACTTAATCACTGTTATTTTTTTATTTCAATCATTTTAAGACATCTCAATAGTGAATACAATTTACAGTTATAATACCTTGTCCATCACAGACACAAAAGGGTCACGAAGACCCATATGATACAATAACTGTAAGAATGTCTGTCACACTTGATCTTGACCAGAGAATTATTGCACCATACTTCACCAGCCATTTAATACACACATTGGTCACCTATTGATAAACTCCTGACACATTTCTTTAGCGAATTTAGAAACAGTTCTGGACGACACTTTCATTTCCTCATTTTCAAAATATTTCTGCGATTGTTCTACCCAGAAGTCTTTAGTTCTTTCAAAATACTGTTCCATATTTTCATCCTCATTTTTAGTTGGTACATCACAACCTTCAAGGATATCCTCAATATCATCATCATCTGATGAGTCTGAAAAGATCAACAAATTATTTAATACTTATAATGAAAGATGTATAAAATGTACTGGAAAACTCCACATTTTTCATATCCTTTTGATCTACCAAGCTAATTATTAAAAGATAAACTAGAGTGTTCCAAAGAATGTATGTGTCGCCTGCTTTGTAGCTTCATTAAAGATGTAAATAAATCTAAGAGTGGTCAACTTTTTATTTACTGGTACTCCTAGCATGATAGTTCATGCATTTGCCTGCAAAGATAAAATGGCATCCATGGATAATATATTAAGACTGTGATAGAATCTGACAATCAAAGAAAATATGGTTCCCTAAGCCTCAGATGAATAATTAAATTGAAATTATTGGAAATACCTATTTTAGCATTTCATTAATACGTGTTTCAAACAATCCTTTAAATATAAGTTTGTGTGGTAACTAAATATCATACAGTTTCAACGTAAGTATCATGCGCTCATAAACATGTATAAATGCTAATTATCAATATCCTGCCCCTAAAAATTCAAAAGTCACAAGTTAAATTAAACTGCCCGGGGTATTTTTTGCAAAGTAGGGCCAAGGTCAAGTGGATAGTATAACGCTGGCATTTTTGAAATGTCTTATGACAAACAGTGCACATGCTAAATAGCACAGACTTAACTCTTAAATGTAAAAAATATGCTGTATATTGGCACTGTGAACTATTTTGAAAAGTAGGTCAAAGGTCACAAGGTTGGTAACCATGGTAATTTACAAAAGCCATAGTGCCAAGAAGTATATGTGCAAAATATCCAAACCTCTTACAGTTCTCGAGAAATAGGATGTGACAGACGGACAGACAGACGCCATGTAAAGTGATCCCTAAGTGCCACTCTGCTTTGCAGGCGACACAATAAATGGACATGAATCCGCACATAGGAAATTGATGTATATGGACTGTTTGAGTATGTCAAGTTTGAAATTTATAAATGAATACCTAAGGCCATCCTTAAAAAATTGTTTGTTTGGAATTGCCGCCTGGGAGGTTTCAGACCCGGGAGGGAGGGAGGGAAACTATTTTTTTTTTTCAAAATTAAATTAAAAGTTGATGATAAAAATCTCAATGAGGAATGAACACATTATTTTCTGCCTTTTGTAAAGGGCATCTCCCATCAACCAGGAACCCGGTTTTGCTTAGATCCTACACTAATTAAGTGATTGGGTGGCACATGTGGTAACAGGCCAAGAATTGATTTAAGGAATCACTGTCTAGTTAGTAGAGTATGCCAGGGCATCAACGATGGTTGGAAACGTGGGATAATTTGCATAACGGGCGAAGCCCGTTATGCATAAATTATCCCACGTTTCCAACCATCGTTGATGTCCCTGGCATACTCTACTAACTAGACAGTGATTCCTTATATTTCCATTTCATTGTGAAATAAAATTGTAAATTTAGATTTTAAAAATGTAGACTAATAGATTTAAATTACACAAGGCCTCACATGTCAATTTCAACAGTCCCCGCCCATTGACGTCAAACACAAAGACAGCCGCACGAGAATTACATGCATATTAGGCCTTCTTAGCTCCTGACCTTTCGCTTGGCGAAATTTGCATTCCGGTGGAATGATCAAGAAATCAACTCTCCAAATTTTCAAAGAGTTATCACAGAGAAAACAAATAGAAATGGAAATATTGAATAAAAAAAATCTTATTTTTGGTCAATAAAAGTTTTTCCAGGAGGGGTTATTTCAATGAGGCTGGAGGCAATTCTAAACAAACAATAATTTTATTTTGGCCTAAGATAATGTACATGTATAGTGAATTCAAAAATTAAAATATATTTACCAGTTTGCCCATAGGACATGAATGACCTGCCTTACAGTTCATTTGTATTGCAAAATAAGTGTAACAGGAGAGGAGAAAAATTTGAAGGACCAGACCGGGATTTGAACCCAGGCCCCTAAATCTCAAGTCAGGTGTTCTACCAATTGAGCTATCTGGCCAATGGCGATCGAACCCATCTGACCGCCACATTCCTCCCTCCTTAAAGGTCTTTGCCCCCACAGACACCTACCCAGGCTCTTCCCTGGCAGGTCTTTCACCTGTCACTTCCAGGGTATGGCATGGCACCAAATGTAACCCAACAGGAAAAAAATGCAATGGACTAAAACGGGATTGGAACCATGGCCCCCTGAATCTCCATTCAAATGCTCTACCAGCTGAGCTATTTGGCCACTGGCGGTCGAATCTATCTGACCACCACTAAAGAAATGTATCCTGATAGTTCTTAGGATTGACCTGCTTTTACCAATATAAATTTGATAATGTGCATAAAGTTTAATAAATAAAACCAGGAAAGCAAGGTCAAAATCACAGGGAAAATCAAAGTCAGACAACATGTACCCACCACTCTGTATCACTGTATAAAGTTGGTAAAAATATCTTTTAAATGAGAGGAACAAAATGCAAAATGCGATAGACAGAAAGATGAAAAAACTTGACATATAAAAATGCTATGTGCCCTAGTCAGATATATTTTAGGGCAGACAAACTGCAGACTATGATTTCATCACTGGAAATGATCATTTAAAATAAGTAATTAACAATAACTGTAAATTATACATATGTTTATAAAATAATGTTCTCTCTTTCAAAGTTAGAGAGATAGTCAGACAGATATAAACAGACTGGGAAATTAATGAATATAAGCCTTACCCTCTCCTTCTTCTTCTCCTCCACAAGCCTCCATTTCCTCATCTGAGGATCCAGAATCATCCCAAACCTGTAACACCAGCAAAAAGGAGTAGTCATTGTAAAATTATAGGGAAAGATAGGACCCAGAATCATCCCAAACTTGTAACATCAGGAAAAGGGAGTAGTCATTGTAAGGTTAAAGGGAAAGATAGGACCCAGAATCATCCCAAACTTGTAACACCAGGAAAAGGGAGAAGTCATTGTAAGGTTATAGGGAAAGCTGGGACCCAGAATAATCCCAAACCTGTAAGAGCAGGAAAAGGGGGTAGTCATTGTAAGGTTACAGGGAAAGACAGGACCCAGAATAATCCCAAACCTGTAAGATCACGAAAAGGGAGTAGTCATTGTAAAAATAAAGGGAAAGCATCCCAAACCTGTAACATCAGGAAAAGGGAGTAGTCATTGTAAGGTTATAAGGATATATTGTATAAAGAACCCAGAATTATCCTATTAAAACTTATATCATCAGCAAAGGGGAGTAGTCATTGTATGTTTATACATATATATTAAAATATACAGCCAAACCTTGTTCTCTTGAACACTAGGGGACCTATATATATATATATATATATATATATATATATATATATATATATATATATATATATATATATATATATTATGTTTTACACTTCAAAACAATTCAAAATGACATTATTACCTTTGGCCTTCACAGGATTTGATCACATGACCAACCCACTTCATTTCCCAGTGAAGTTTTTAAACTTGTTATTTATTTCTTAATTGTTGCATCGATTGTTTGAATATGTCAAAAACTTAAAGGAGCCTACACTATATTGTGCAAATAAATCATCTTCAGAAATTCAATGAATAAAAGTTTCAAATTAAGACAGGTAACAAGTGTGTGACATAAATTTAGGAGTTGTAATGAGTAAATTTTAAAAAATATTTTAATTTATCTAGAATGAAACAATTTCCCTCACCAGTTTGGATTCATCATTTTCTATGAGCACTTTCCATTCCTCCATTTTGTCCAGATCTAATGAGTAAAAATCCTTGAATGTAAACTGCTTATCTCCCTTTTCAAACATTCCACCATAGAGAAAAAGAATTCCATTTTTCACAACCATCAAAGGTCCCATCCTGGGGTGAGGCTGAAACACTTTAACCGCCTTGTCCCCATCTTCTCCCATTTCCTGATCAGTGGTGGATCCAAGTGCTGGACCTATTTTGACCTGAAACACCCCATCATCAAACATAGTGTTGCTGGCTCCTTCTGCCATCTCAGTGTCGTCTGCTTCTTCAACTGCTTCTTCAATGTTCATGTTGCTGACTTTGTCTGTAGCCACCTCCATTTCTTCTTCACCATCCTCCTCCATTCCATCTTCAGCTCCATCTTCAGCTCCATCATCCTCTTTCTTCCTTCTTCTTTTCTTCTTCTCTGGGACTTGTTCTCTTTTGCCTCTGTACAACATAATGTACCATATACTGTAAACCAACTTTTATTCGCGACGACTTTATTTCGCGATTTACTGGGGGTAAACTTGTTCGCGACGATTAATTTTCATGATCAAGCCTTTTTTGGATCTGCTGTTAATAGAAAGAGAGACTTTAAGGACCGGTTCGCGGCGAGAAATGTTCGCAATGACGAGGCTCTCGCAAAACTCGTGAAAATTTCTCGCACGCGAAAAAAAGTTGGTTTACAGTATTTCATCTCGTTTTTTTGTATAATCTATAAACTACATCTTGCTGTCAACTATATTAATGTCTCCAAATGTAGATGATTCTTTTCCTCAAAAGTAATCATAAAAACATGTATCTCTTTAAGACATGAAATTGAATACCTTAAATTCACCAAAAACCATTTATTTTTCTCCAAATCCAGAAGATAGAATTCATTAAAAAATTTCCCCTCTATCTGTTCTTCGTCTTCTTCCTAATAATGGGGAAAAGTTTCCTCAAATAAGTTAAGTAAAGACAAATAATACGACTAACAAGTTTTCTTCATCGGCACTAGCGCAATGATTTCAAAATTAAAATAATTGAAGTCATGGAGAAATGTTACCTCATCAAAAACACCTCCAAAACAAAACGCTCTGTTGCCTGGAGCAACCGAGCAGGACATTCCACATCTAGGGGTGGGTCTGGCTCCAGACTGTTTGGCTGTGACCCACTTCCACTTGACAGGAATAGTTTCATCTTTTAACTTGCCTAAAAAAGATTTACATCATTATTTAAATCATTATTATTATTAAGGCAGTTGTTTTTTTTAATTTCTTGGGTTAAAGATTTTTTTTCTCAAAAAATTAAGGTCGGTCGGTCGAAATAAAAATAAAATGAAGATTTTCAGTAGGTTATTTGTTGTTTTTATCAATGTCTCTTCATCATCATCATTTCTATAGAAAAAAACATAGGTAATCAAAGATTACGAAGCTCACCTCGACGAATGTTATCTACATGTAAGGCAAATTTCACATCATATTTTTTTTCTAGTTGGGGTACATCCCAAGATCAATATCCATGCAAGTTTGATTTAATTATAGATCTGCTCAAAAAACTTTTGACCTGTTTAGTAATCAAGAAAATTTTGGTCAGTTCCAACATCCAAAGCAAGTCTGGAAGTTTTCAACCTTAGATGCACCATCTATGCAAGTTTAATCATAACAGGCCATAATATTATATAGCTACTCCAAAAAATTACCCTGGTCACTCATCTGGAAAATGTACGTCAGATTCAGAATCCAAGGCAAGTCTGGAAGTATCCATCCCTAGATACATCATCCATGCTAATTTGGTTAAAATATGGCTAAAATTCACTTATGTGGAAAATCTAGGTCAGATCCAGCATTCGAAGCAGGTTGGTTAGTGTACATCCCTAGATGCATCATCCATGAAAGTTTGGTCAAGGTAGGGCTTATAGTTACTTGGGAACGAGACTACTCCTAAATCTAAACCTGGTCTCACATGTGGAAAATCTAGGTCAGATCCAGCATCCGAAGCAAGTGTGGTAGTGTCCATCCCTAGATGCATCATCCATGCAACTTTGGTTCAGGTAGGGCTTATAGTTACTTGGGAATGGACCTGCTCCAAAAACTTTAACCTGGTCACTCAACTGGAAAATCTAGGTCAGATCCAGCATCCAAAGCAAGTGTGGTAGTGTCCATCCCTAGATGCATCATCCATGCAAGTTTGGTCCAGGTAGGGCTTATAGTTACTTGGGAATGAACCTGATCCTAAAACTTTAACCTGGTACACATCTGGAAAATCTAGGTCAGATCCAGCATCCGAAGCAAGTGTGGCCATGTCCATCCCTAGATGCATCATCCATGCAAGTTTGGTCAAGGTAGGGCTTATAGTTACTTGGGAATGGACCTGCTCCTAAAACTTTAACCTGGTCACTCATCATGAAAATCTAGGTCAAATCCAGCATCTGAAGCAAGTGTGGTAGTGTCCATCCCTAGATGCATCATCCATGCAAGTTTGGTCCAGGTAGGGCTTATAGTTACTTGGGAATGAACCTGCTCCTAAAACTTTAACCTGGTACACATCTGGAAAATCTACATCAGATCCAGCATCCGAAGTAAGTGTGGCCATGTCCATCCCTAGATGCATCATCCATGAAAGTTTGGTCCAGGTAGGGCTTATAGTTACTTGGGAATGGACCTGCTCCTAAAACTTTAACCTGGTCACTCATCCAGAAAATCTAGGTCAGATCCAGCATATGAAGCAAGTGTGGTAGTGTCCATCCCTAGATGCATCATCCATGCAAGTTTGGTCCAGGTAGGGCTTATAGTTACTTGGGAATGGACCTGCTCCTAAAACTTTAACCTGGTACACATCTGAAAAATCTACATCAGATCCAGCATCCGAAGTAAGTGTGGCCATGTCCATCCCTAGATGCATCATCCATGCAAGTTTGGTCAAGGTAGGGCTTATAGTTACTTGGGAATGGACCTGCTCCTAAAACTTTAACCTATTCACTCATCTGGAAAATCTAGGTCAGATCCAGCATCCGAAGCAAGTGTGGTAGTGTCCATCCCTAGATGCATCATCCATGCAACTTTGGTTCAGGTAGGGCTTATAGTTACTTGGGAATGGACCTGCTCCAAAAACTTTAACCTGGTCACTCAACTGGAAAATCTAGGTCAGATCCAGCATCCAAAGCAAGTGTGGTAGTGTCCATCCCTAGATGCATCATCCATGCAAGTTTGGTTCAGGTAAGGGCTTATAGTTACTTGGGAATGGACCTGCTCCAAAAACTTTAACCTGGTCACTCATCTGGAAAATCTAGGTCAGATCAAGCATCTGAAGCAAGTGTGGTAGTGTCCATCTCTAGATGCATCATCCATGCAAGTTTGGTTCAGGTAGGGCTTATAGTTACTTGGGAATGGACCTGCTCCAAAAACTTTAACCTGGTCACTCATGTGGAAAATCTAGGTCAGATCCAGCATCTGAAGCAAGTGTGGTAGTGTCCATCCCTAGATGCATCATCCATGTAAGTTTGGTCCAGATAGGGCTTATAGTTACTTGGGAATGGACCTGCTCCAAAAACTTTAACCTGGTCACTCATCTGGAAAATCTAGGTCAGATCCAGCATCCGAAGCAAGTGTGGCCATGTCCATCCCTAGATGCATCATCCATGCAAGTTTGGTCCAGGTAAGGCTTATAGTTACTTGGGAATGGACCTGCTCCTAAAACTTTAACCTGGTCACTCATCCGAAAAATCTAGGTCAGATCCAGCATCTGAAGCAAGTGTGGTAGTGTCCATCCCTAGATGCATCATCCATGCAAGTTTGGTCCAGGTAGGGCTTATAGTTACTTGGGAATGGACCTGCTCCTAAAACTTTAACCTGGTCACTCATCCAGAAAATCTAGGTCAGATCCAGCATCCGAAGCAAGTGTGGCCATGTCCATCCCTAGATGCATCATCCATGCAAGTTTGGTCCAGGTAGGGCTTATAGTTACTTGGGAATGGACCTGCTCCTAAAACTTTAACCTGGTCACTCATCTGGAAAATCTAGGTCAGATCCAACATATGAAGCAAGTGTGGTAGTGTCTATCCCTAGATGCATCATCCATGCAAGTTTGGTCCAGGTAGGGCTTATAGTTACTTGGGAATGGACCTGATCCTAAAACTTTAACCTGGTCACTCATCTGGAAAATCTAGGTCAGATCCAGCATCCGAAGCAAGTGTGGTAGTGTCCATCCTTAGATGCATCATCCATGCAAGTTTGGTCCAGGTAGGGCTTATAGTTACTTGGGAATGGACCTGCTCCTAAAAATTTAACCTGGTCACTCATCTGGAAAATCTAGGTCAGATCCAGCATCCGAAGCAAGTGTGGTAGTGTCCATCCCTAGATGCATCATCCATGCAAGTTTGGTCCAGGTAGGGCTTATAGTTACTTGGGAATGGGACTTGCTCCTAAAACTTTAACCTGGGACGCCGACGCTAACGCCGACGCCGACACCGACGCCGACGCCGGGGGTATAGCATAAGCTCATCTCGACTTCGTCGAGGTGAGCTAATAAACACAGTATATAAGGTCAGGTCATGGATAATTGTTTTGCCTTGGATAAGAATGACACTCAGTCATTGGGTAACAGACATCACATGCCTGCCTTCAATATTTCTTTGGATAGTGAATAGCAAAATTTGGACCACAACATGGAGGATAAATGACATAATTTCATCTAACTTCAAAGAAAAAATTATTCCAGCACTATTTTTGCTCCAGCAAGTAACTGAAAAAAAACCCTGATAAATTCATTATGGTCTTACCAATTTGGCAATGCTGCAATTTAATTTCAAGTAGCACCCCTTTTGGTAAACAACAAGATGATGAGTGAAGGAGATTTGCACACATCAGAAAATCATTTAATTATAATTGATTTCTGTAGGACTGTTAACTGTCATTGGTCCTCAACAAAACAAAACACTCATTAGGTTTGTTACTGTCACAGAAATATGACAAGTTGTTCAAGTCCATGAGGGACTTTGCTTTGTCTCGCCTTCCATGGACTTGAACAACCCACCATATTTCTGTGGACAGTCAGTAACAAACCTAACAAGAGCACCGCTAAGCGGAGCATCCCCTCGTGCCAGGAACCTCGCCGGTAATGGCAATGTCTCCATACGAGAGAAAAACGTTAAACAAGATACAATCATCTAGGCCTAGTAATAAAGGGTACCCAGTATTACTATATATAGTTTAAAATAAGGTAAAGAAATTAAAATGTACTGCAACACTAATTGAATTTTAACAAAAGTCAAGGTGGATATCATAGGTGGTGGTGGTGGGGGGGGGGGGGGGGGAGAGTTGGGTCATAACAAGCATATGTGATTGGGCAGTTTCCCTTATTCCTAGCAGAAACATATCACGTATGCTCTAAATTTCATTAATTTACCTAAACCCCACAGTAGCATGCAATATGCATCAAATCTGAAAATACGCATGGAACTAATATTTTTTTGTAGCGAAAAATGACAATATACCGGTGTTGAGATGTCAATGAAACTTGTGAAACTTTATATTTATAGCTTTCAAGAATTACGTTTGCCTCAAGATTAAATTCCACAGGCCCCTATTGTAAACACACACGTGTGGTACTTTGGTATTGAAACCGCGACGTTCATCAAATTATTTCAGTTACTCAGTGACAGATATGACACTTTTAATTCTTTAATTCATACAAACTTTCTCAAGATACACACAATAATATGACAATACGCAAATACAAAGTAGAACTTACAGAAGTGGCTCTATAGAAACGACCTAAATTTTAAGCTGTTTCATTTACCGGAAGTGAGTATTGTCAACTCGTACATAAAATTGCAGGGTAGTAAAAACGCGATATTTTAAGAATTATTTCACCGATTAACTTGAAAATGAATAGGGTTCGTCCTTTTACAATGCTACATAAATATATAAAGGCTGAGAAATGATAGTGCAAAGGTTCTCTTTAAATCTTGCCCACAAGTTGTAACGGACACACTAACACACACACATATGCACAGTAGCGATGCTATATCCCCTCCGCAATTAGTTGCGCGAGGGGATAATAAGTAATATTGTCATGTAGCAAAGTCACTGACAATTGTACCTTAAATTCATCTTATTTTTGTGTCATTCTTAGATATCCAAATGGCATTTACACTTCTTATCAAAAGGGAATAGCTTCTCGTTCTACCCAGCAACACCTCTAACCCAGCAGTCAAGAATTTTACAAATCTGGTAAAAACACATTTGCTCATTACAACTTTGTGCACTGTTTGTCTCTAAGAAGCCCAAGAGCACAAAAGAAGAATTTCAATTAATTAATGCATTTTCATAACATGATCAATAGGGCCCCACCCCAAAACCAGAGCCCCAGATCCAGGGGCCATGATATTGAAAGAGGCATCCTTGCTCTGCATAAATATGCACTTAGTTTGCCTGCTGAATATCCAGGTACAAAGAATTAATTTATTTTCATTATATGACCAATAGACACCCTTCTTGACTTCAGAACCCCTGATCCATGAGCCATGAATATCACAATTTTGGAAGAGGCACCCTTGCTCATCATAAACATGCACTTAGTTTTGTCTGCTAAATATACAGGGGGAGAGGAGATTTCTAAAGAATTTGAGCATTTTCACTATATGATCAATAGATCCCACCTTAACACCAGAACCCCTGACCCTGGGGCCAAAAAAATTAAAAATTTTGTAGAGGGCTCAATGCTTACTATAATCACCAGGGTTCGACACTAACTTTTTTAGGTTTTAGTCCGGCCGGACTTGTGCTTCTTTACTTTTACTAGTCCGCATGCAATTTTATGAGTCCGTCAAAAAAAAAAGAAACATCAACGTTTTGTAGCATTAATTTAAAAATAAACATTTCAATATATGTTTTTATACTTTTTTTAAATAAACAAAGCATTTACGTGAAATGGTTTATTCCACCTATAGCACAGATTCGTTAAAATCTCGCGATCAACGAGTACAATCGTATTCCCGATCTAGTTCTTTTTCTCTTTACATTACATCCAAATTGTCTGACATCTTTCTTTTATGTGTCATATTAATTATGATCGCTAAAACGTTTTACTTCAAACCAATCAGTCGAAAAAATTATGCGCTAACTCGAAATTGTCTAACTCCCGCCAAAAATCTAGAAAGCTAAAAATAAATGCGGGGTTTTCCAGTAAAAGTTGTGGAGAATCTGACATCGGTAAATTATTCATATTGTTTTCCACATGGCCGTAGGAACCGGGGGGGGGGGGGGCACGGGGGGGCTGTGCCCCCCCAATAATTTTGCCGATATATAGATTACTATAGTAAACATAGATAATGTGTGCTTGTGCCCCCCCCCCCTTTTTTTTTTTTTTTGCTTGTTAAGGAATTTTGGTAGTTGATGTTTTTTTTTTTTGTTTTTTTTTTGCTTGTCAGGAAATTTTTGGTAGTGCCCCCTCAACGTCAACTGAAAAATGTATGGCTGTGCCCCCCCAAACTGAAATTGCTTCCTACGGGCCTGTTCCAGGAATTTTTATTGGTCCATTCGGACTAATTAGCCACAGATTTTATTAGTCCGAATGAAAATGTATTAGTCTGAGACTAACGGACTAACGTTAGTGTCGAACCCTGATCACGCCTGCAAAATGACTGCTTGATGTCCATGAGTAAAGAAGATTTTTGAAGATTGCATTAATTTTTATTGTTTTAGTCCCACCCCTCAGTCCCCATTAGGTCTGAGACTATGAAATTCAAATGATTTGTTCCCCTTTGCCCATAGATGCTACACACTAGAAATTAGTGTGTCATTTCCAGAGAAGAAGCAGAAAATGTTCAAAAGTTTACAACCCACACACGGTGAACGACAGACAAAAACAGATGGCAATAGGTCACCTGAATGATGCTGTTGACCTAATAAAAAAATTGTGGCCTAAATTTTTAAGGTACTGAATTCAATTCAAGGTTAATTAGTATAAGACATTTAAATTGAAGTCAAATGCTTTGATAATATAAAGCATGACAAGACTTTGGTGTGGTGCAGTCACACAAATACACACACTGACAAGCATTATCCATTTCATGTTAATCCTTCCTGGATTAACGTTTCCAATCAAGATACATTTTTCTCACCTTCAGGCATAAGAATTGTCATGTCAATGTGAGTGGTTCCCTTGTCAATGTCTCTTTTGACCTTTTCTTTGCTATATCCCCCATACACCGTCACTCTGTACTGGTCTGGCATGGCTGCCATTATACAGCCGGACCGAGGGGCTGGAGGAACTCCACTAACGTCCAGCTTGGACCAAGTATAGTCTTCCACATTGAAAGCATATACATCATTGAAGTACTTGTAATCTCTGAAAATGGTTTTTCGTCATGTTATCCAATGAATCAATGCATCATTAAATTGAAATGATTTTGTAACAAAAATTGTGTGTGATCTTACAATTTTTTCATATCATTGTTCAATTATCTTTACTTACATTTGTATCTCTTCTATGAGAAACCTTTAATTTACAAGTCACTGGTAAAGCTTACAAACCTGATGTTGTCATGGAAACCTCCAAACACAATGAGGAGTTTCTTACACTGGACCATTCTGTGGCCACTCCTACTGGATGGAGCACCTGGGGAACTGTGCAAAGAAAAAAATACTGGTCTACAGTAGAGAGTTATTATCTGTCCAAAGAAACAATCTAAAGTATTAAAAATAATTACCTGGGGAAATGAACAAAGAAATACTTTTTTTTAAATTTAAAAAAAAAAAAAAACCTGGGGAACTGAATGAAGAAACAAAGCCCACCTGTGAAAATTTTCAAAGCAATGGAAGTTTCATATAAACTAACTTGATTCTTTCCCAGTACTTATTCTTGATGTGGTACACCCATAACTCCTTAAAGTGGTGGAACTGGGATTGAGTAGGGCTGGCAAATTCCCCACCAAATATCCATAGCTGTCCACCATGCTGCTTCAGGGCCACAGCCTTTACATTTGGTAATAACAAAACAGAATTTTTCATACAAATATGTAATAAAAATATTGAGAGCTAGCAATTTATAAAGTGGGCAATGATTCACTCACTAGTAAAACACTAAAGCAAAGTAAACACACATGTATAATGCAGGTAAGAACTGAATGTAAGTGGGAAGGAATCTCTTCACATAGAAGTATATGAGAATTATCTTTTCATCAAATACCAAGTTTTTAGCCAAAAAAAACCCAGTCTAAAACATATTGGAAACAGGGTCTCTGAAAGAGCACAGAGCCAGTGGTATGCAAAAGTGTGATAGGAATGCTTAAATAGGACAAGTTTTAGCATCAAGGTGTCATAGAGTCAGTGTAACCCTTACCTGGTGGGAACTCCGAGGGGGAGGGGCATTGGGGGCTGTTACTTTTGTCCATTCATTTTTCTTGATGTTGTAGAAAAATAAATCATTGTACATGTATATCTATTGAAAAAAAAACATAAATCATTATTAATAGATATTATAGTACAATTACAGCAGAAAAAAGCAGTATTAGTTAATGACCTGCTTATATTTTATATATTAATATGATAACACTTTAAACAGGATGTGCATTTCTTAAAACTCAGAAGATTAATACTTTTTAACATCAGTTAGAAAACAAATATACATCAAGTTGACTTAAAAATTGATATCATGGACCAGTTTCTAGTACCTTGTTCCCAGCCAAAAATTCTCCACCAAACATAATCAGCTCATCTTTATCTGGATGAGGGGTCAAGGTCATGTTGGATCTAAGAATAATCATATCCACAATTTTTATTGAACTAAGACAAATTTCATGTTAATACACATTACAAGTCATTCCTGTTGGATAAATAGATATAAATTTTTTCATAGTTGCATTAACATAATTACCATTGTATCATTTGTGTGTAAATATTTGGAAGCCAAGAATCAATTGAACATAAAAATAATAAATTGATGATGAACACAAACTGTTGAAGAGCTGTGATTTCCATGGATTAAGAAGCACCTGGAGTTTAATTATACTGACCTTTCAGAAGGAGGATCACACTTTTCTTCCACATATCTTGCTTTTTCCTGGTCCTTGGCATGGAACTGTGCAATCAGTGTCTCTATGTCATCCTGTGTGTAATCATCAATTAAAAAAAACAAGAAGTTGTAAAAATATTAAAGGTTTATATTCTCCAATAAATGCAACATATAAGAAACATGATTACATGGGAGGAAGGGGGGAGGGGAGGAAAGGGGGAGGGAAGGGGAGGGGCATATACTTACAATAGCCGAAATAGGTTTCTTTATTATAGTCAGTGCAGTGAGCTAAATAGACTAACACATAAGAACAGAGAAAATTTGAATTGAAATCTGTATATTCATCAAGCAAATTTTTGTGTGAAACCTTCCCAGGATTCCATGTGATAATTGCAAATGTAACAGGCTCACAGTTATCATAAAGATTTAGCTCTTGCAAGGAGCTTGAAAGAAACAAAATATAAATGCATCTACTCTACAATGCATTTCCTTCAAAAACTGCACTAGGCCTATTTATGGAAATGCAGCTTTCATATGACATCAGTGACATCACAGTCTACACTGTGTCTTGTGGGTTTGAAGAGGCACATCAAAGTTACACTGAGACAAGTGTAAGCTATGTAAAGATTTTTGATAGAACAACTGCACTTGCCTCAACGGTCACACCGTAAAACATTTAAAATCATATTATGAGGCAAGAAACTTCATTGAAGATTTGTTTTCATACGTCGAATGACTCAACAAGGAAATCCATGAAAATTGGTGTTAAAAAATAATGATGAAGCCACAATATGCATCCCTTGGGGGGTAGACTTTACTTTACCGGTCCCCAGATCTGCAAGATCCGCACACTTATTGCACTATGACATAAGATTTACGTCACTCAACTGATTAGGGTTAGTCTTGCACATTTTTCGACTGGTTAGGGTTAGTCTTGCACCCACGTGAAAGATTAGGGTTAGTCCTTGCGTACGTTTTCGACTGATTAGGCTTAGTATCACATCTATTCGAGAGATCATGGTTAGTCCTCGCACATGGGTTAGTCTAGCATCCGCCTGGGAGATTTGGGTTAGTCCTTGCATACCATCTGAGAGATATTAGGGTTACTGTCTTGTTCTTTTTAGATTAATTAAGAAATTCAGTTGCATCTGTATTATTTGCAAGATCCTAATTCAGCTGTAATGACATCTCGTTGGTTTGTTTACATGAAAAAAAAAATTGCTAAGTACAAAAGAAACGGCACTAAGTATGCGCTGCACACATTTCTTTGACAATTATTTTTTGTCTCCTTTTCACTGTATAAACAATATTTATTACTTTTTTTTCAGAGAACGGGGTTAAAACTCATTTTAAACTAAACCATAGAATTCGATTTTGGGCAGTCTATGCGAAAGTCTAAATTTTTACAGGACATAAGGTCTGGTAAAAATGTATATTATTTTACCAGACCAAGCATTTACTTACCAGACCAACCTTTTTTCTTTAAATTCAATCATACATCATTATGATACAGAGATTGAAAAAAAGGAGGGGGGATTCTCACTGTTAAGTTGAACTTCAAATAGATCCAGATTTGAGATTATAAAAAATTATTTTATTGAAATGAACAAGCTTACTATTAATAATTTTCCTTTTTAAAAGGTAATATACAATTCCATACAATTTTCTCTTTTTCTGGTTATTTGACACATACAAACTAGACTGGCTTGCCTGTCTGATATGCGCGATATACAGACAGGTGACCAGTAATGTATAGAGCCCTCTGCTGGCCGCTCTCATTGGCTGATAAAAACTCTCACTGACGTAGAAATTTAAATGTGTCGGGGAAACCAAAACAGATCACAGAGTGCAGATCGTTACCTTAAATTCTCTATGCGTACAAAAAACTGCATTGGAATAAAAATAAACCGTGAGGGATGTTTTTAAACAAATCATAAAAATATTGACACTAGTTATAATACAAATTTTGAAAATTTCTACATATATATTCCGTTTTCAATATATACTTTTTAAAAGTTCTCTGCATTTGCTTTTGATTCAATCAATCTAACACGGTCACAATACTTTCCACATACAATACAAATATTCCTTTTTTTCAAATTTTGTTTGACAGTGTTACCATATATACTATATAGTTAGTATATATAGGCCGGCCTTTAAGGTCCCTGATTTCACTCACACCTTTCGCTTCCCCTGAAGGTATTTTAATTAGCTTGCGAAGCTCCTATCACATTACATACCATACATTACTTGGATAAAAGAAAACTGCAACATTTGTTAATTGAAACTGACACATTTTAAACATTCATCGGTTTAGACTGACTCACTGACTCAGCAGATAGCCGCGGTTTATCAGTTTATTGTGATTATTTCCCATGCCAGAGCGTAGAGCAGCGGCGATAGATGGCGCATCAATCAAGCCAGGAATTCCTGGCTTAGATGGCGGTAGTCACCTGTCTCTTTCGAACGATAGAGAGAGGCAATACCAGTCTACATACAAACGAAATACACATTGTCAAAGATTTTTTTAAAAATTAAAATGCATTTTAAAATATATTTATTTCTTTCCTGAAATAACTCATTACGGTTACTCTTGTTTAATAATGAAAATAATTTCGCCCAACCGAATCTACATATGAGCTATCTATAGATCTATATTCCATGACAGAGGAAATTCGAGTTAGAAATAAACGATCATGACAGGATTCTTATAGATTAAAATTAATCATGTATTACTGGTAAATGGATCAAATAAAGGATATGTGTGGAGAATAAGACCATATGTACATGTAAATTCAGATTTTTAGGCCTTAATTTTTCAACAGACAATTGGTCCTGTATCCTGAATTTTTTTACCAACCCGAACCAAATTTCACCAGTAAAAACTGATGGTCCGGTGACTTTCGCATAGACTGTTTGGGGTCAAAAAGGCTTAAAACCTCATACTTTTAATTTTCTTCGATCACTCACACGATCTCATATATACTGAAGTCGCCGATGGTGACACTATATTTTAGCACGTTTTTCTGGGGACTGGTAAAGTGAAGTTGTTCCCCCTTGGGAAATTAGTCCCAACCTTATTTGTGTTGTTAAATTGGCATATGCACTCCCTAGTTAGAATAATCTAACTGTGTCTCGGGAAAAGCCCTCACCACAGTTAGAATACGTCCCATATACTTGCAATGTAGCAAATCGGAGTGGATCCACTCTGAAATGATTTTGAAGAATACAAAAGGATTTGCACTGAAAATAACTACCAAATTAATCATAACAAACCTTTTTGAGATTGTATATGCCTTTTAACCTAAAAAATTATCAATATAAATGCGAAAATTCAACTCATTTTCTCAACGTTTTTTCCTCGCTTCAAATTTAACGCCATGTTGACATTCGAAACTCTCTGGATTGTTTATAGAAAATGCACAGAGTTTGAGTTATCGCCCGTGTTTATTTTGCAACATTGCCAATACACGGAACGAATTCTATCGTTAAACCGGGTCCGTAGGACAATATCATTTCAACGATAGAACGTTCTATCTAATGCACTCCCCATCTTAATTGTAAATAAAAATATATGAAAATAGTATAGTAGATTATTTTTTTTATTTACAACGAAGTTAGGAAGTGCCTATGGTTATTAGGTATTATATTTCGTGTTGTTACTCAGTTGCAAGACACATTACTTGTTTTAAAGTGTGTTTACCTCTCCTCTCTTTGCCAGTTCCTTTTTTGCCTTTTTCTCAGCCTTCTTCTCTGTTTTTAAAGCAGTTTTCTCTTTTCCTTTCCCCTTTTTATCAGCTTTCTTCTTCCCCATGTTAGAAATCTGAAATCTTGCACCATGTGTGCAAAAACTTATCTTGGTTGACTTCTCTCTTATATTTTATCATAACTACATGCAAAGTAAACACACAGAAGATTATGATTCTAGCAACTTATCCGGAAATATTATTTCCATCTGATAACACTTCAAGTCCTCAAAATGGATGGTTTTAAAATTGTTACCAGAAAGAGAGGAAAGAAAAAACAATTTGCAACAACTGTAAATTGTAAAGAAACTTATTTTGTGTCAGGGGATAACCACATTGCGAGCACTGTGAAGAGAAAGGCGCTTTCAGCAAAGTAACTCGAATTTCCTCTATTTTCATTTCGAATTTACTCTTAAAATTTCAACATGATTTAGGTTAATCTCAGGGAGATCCGTAGAGAATAAAAATTTTGATCTGGTATTTCTACGTAGAAATACCGTAGAGAATAAAAATTTTGGTCTGGTATTTCTACGTAGAAATACCAGACCAAAATTTTTATTCTCTACGGATCTCGCTGAGATTAGATTTAGGTATGGATCTTGTAAATCTTCCAAGCCTCAGGATCATGAAACAGACAGACTTCTTAGATTTAATTTTCAAAAAAATCAATCATCTATAAAAAAAAAATTATAACCTGTAAACTGACACTCTTAATTTTCATTCAACAGCAGTTTATTGATGCAAAGTTAAAAAGGGTTTTCATTTTGGTCTGCTCAATTTCCAAATCATTTAGCAGCAATATATATTTTTTTACTTAAGCTAAAATGTCATGATCCCTGGGCCAGATTTCATTATCAAATAACCAAATATAAGATCTAATTGATGTAATTAAGTTACCTTTTTAAATTTTTTTCTTAACATTTAGGGAAACTTTGTGCTGCACAGATTTTTATACAGAAATGAAAGGTAATGCTTCTCTAGTAATTGATGATTCATTGCAATGTGAATTATTTATATATGACCATCTTCATTTCTAAACAACTCAATGATTATGAATGGGACAACTTGTTGAAAGTAAACTAGCTGATAGAAAGTAGAACTTGCTGACACGACAAGTCAAAGAAATACAACTTGTGGATGACAACAACTCATTGATATATCAGATGATTTTGTTGTATTTTGTCATTGTTTTTTTTTCCCATACTCAGTCAAGTCATGGTCGAGGTACTTTTTCACCTTTATTCTGCCTCATAGGAATAAAAAAACAAATTAGTATATATTATGGTTTTGTATACCTCAGTGCAATAGAAAAATAAAACTTAATGTGAGCTGATTCAAGTAAATGAAAGAGGCATCAAAACTGAAAATATCATTGAAGAAATTAAAGACCACAACCATAGCCCAGATTTTGTGAACATTGAGGTATTTAACTTGATTAAAATAAATCTTTATTTATACTTAATAATTCCAATTAGAATTATTCATTACATTCTTAATTTAAAACTAGAATGTATGAAAAAAAATCTTTTAAAAATTGTTGTTTTAGGCCATCTTTAAAAAATTGTTTTCAAGCTTGCCCTCTCCGAACTTACTGACTAAAAACAGCCCGATAGACTCAAAACTTTTTTTTAACTCCAGGAAACATTTTTTTTAATCATTCTGAAATTTTCTCATCCCATTATTGATTAATAACTATTTTAAAAGTTTTTTGTTAAAAAAATTATCCCTTTCCTACCTACCCATTTTTTTTTATCCTTAGTTGGGAGAGGGCAAGTAACAATATTTTAAGATGGCCTTTTTATTTATTTATTTATTTTTTGGGATCAGTTTCAATGAGTGTCGATAAGTTGTCATATCAATGACTTGTCCATTCCATGATTTGTCCATTCTATTACTTTCCTTTCTGTGAGTTGTAACATTGATGAATTTTTTATCGATGAGTTGTCGTAGACCCAAACATCTTTTAATTAATAAAAATAATTCAAACTGCAAATTATGAATCAGTAAGTGTCAGAGTTAGAGAATACTAAATCCTGTTATGCATATACATCATTCATTTAAAGTTTTTTTTTCTACATCTAAAAATTATCGAGAACTTTCATAAATATTTCAGATTTCTGATATCTCAGTGATAAAAACAATCATTTTTACAAGTATTTACATACTTTAACTCAAAAACTTTTATAGGCCCTTAATATTTCCTAATATTCCTTTCATTGCAGGAAAAGTTGAAGAGTGTACAAAGAAAGTTAATGGTCCTGACAAAGTAAGTACCCTGTACTGAGTTAATAATTCTGACAAAGTAAGTACCCTGTACTGAGTTAATAATTCTGACAAAGTAAGTATCCTGTACTGAGTTTATGATTCAGACAAAGTAAGTACCCTGTACTGAGTTAATAATTCAGACAAAGTAAGTATCCGGTACTGAGTTAATAATTCTGACAAAGTAAGTATCCTGTACTGAGTTAATAATTCTGACAAAGTAAGTATCCTGTACTGAGTTAATAATTCTGACAAAGTAAGTATCCTGTACTGAGTTTATGATTCAGACAAAGTAAGTACCCTGTACTGAGTTAATAATTCAGACAAAGTAAGTATCCGGTACTGAGTTAATAATTCTGACAAAGTAAGTATCCTGTACTGAGTTTATGATTCAGACAAAGTAAGTACCCTGTACTGAGTTAATAATTCTGACAAAGTAAGTATCCTGTACTGAGTTAATAATTCTGACAAAGTAAGTACCCTGTACTGAGTTAATAATTCTGACAAAGTAAGTATCCAGTACTGAGTTAATAATTCTGACAAAGTAAGTACCCTGTACTGAGTTAATAATTCTGACAAAGTAAGTACCCTGTACTGAGTTAATAATTCTGACAAAGTAAGTATCCTGTACTGAGTTTATGATTCAGACAAAGTAAGTACCCTGTACTGAGTTAATAATTCAGACAAAGTAAGTATCCGGTACTGAGTTAATAATTCTGACAAAGTAAGTATCCTGTACTGAGTTAATAATTCTGACAAAGTAAGTATCCTGTACTGACTTAAAGATTCTGACAAAGTAAGTATCCTACACTGAGTTAATGATTCTGACAGAGTTAGCATCCTGGACTTTTTTTCATGTTAATTATCAATAGGGAATCCTAGTTTAATCCTAGTAAAGCCTAGTTTACAGCCTAGCCTGTAAACTAGGCTTTACATTTTTGGCTTCAATATTTTTAACACAACATACAACAATTTTCTAAATTCTGATCTTCCTCTCTTTATTAAATGTCTATGTAGTTATCTATTTACATATATACATAAAATTAGTGAATTTTATATGGACAATCTTTTGCATTCTCTCAGTGACAGAATATACAATATTATCAACTTGGTGATAAAAAAAAATCCATTGAGTGAAACTTTAGAAGTTGTCACTAATTTTATATTGACAGAGTCTAGGTGAGATTGTTACCTATGGACTTGGAAACTTTGCAGAATGTTTGATCTCGAGATATCAACTGGCTCTACTGTTAGCCCTTCGAGAAGACTTACAGGTAGATCAAGTGATAAAATTGTTGTGGTCCTTAGCTTCTATTTTAGTTACAGTGATGAATGATTTAAAAAAGCATAAAAAAAACCATCTTAATGATGTCAATTTCATAAATTAGCAGGTCTATCACTAAAATAAACGGTGTCAATGTTGATGAATTTTCAATCTAAATTATTTTGATACAGTATACTACATATACTGTGGAATCATTTAAATTCGTGGGGGTCAATGTTTGTGGGCAAGCAAAATTTTATTGGTTCGTGGGGATGTAATTTTGTGGGCAGCTCGTTTATTTGGTAGATTTATTTAATCAGTACGCTGACAAAAAAATTGTTCATGGGGATGTAAATTTGTGGGTAAGGTTGACCCACGAAATCCATGAACATTGATCCACCATGAACAATGATAATTCCACAGTATCTGGCAATATATTATTTGAAAATCAAAGCTTAATATACAGATTGTTTAACTTTCTATTAAATTATCATTAATTATTCTTTCTGTAAAATAAATAATCAGCAGAACAATATTACTATATGATTCTAGTTTTTTGTGTCCTTTTGTTAACATCTTATATTGAAGATACCTCCTAGTGATGTTCTGCTTTATGACCCCAAGTTCTTCATGGCTGAGAAGGAAGTATTGTCAGATTTTGGATTCCATGTTTTAAGTGAAAATGAGGTAAAGACCTTAAATCCGTAACTTTTTAGAAGAAACTTTATCTTGTTGGCATTAAATGCTTACATCAACCTCTTTGTAAGAGAATTGGGTTTCTATTCATTACTCATACAGTTCTTCAGAAGTTCAGATAAAGTCTGAAAATCTTAAAGAAATTGAGCATACACTGTAACCAATGGATTTGTTTTATAATTGACACGATTTATTTCATACTTTATATCTCTAAATATATAAAGTATATGCTTTGGTAATTTGTTAATGAAAATGAATTCCATTCTGTTGACAGGAGGGAAAGAGACAATGTGGGAGCAGCACTCTGTTTTATATGCCACACTGTGGTAAGAGTTTGTACAACAATCTGCTCTTTGCCAACTGGAGTCCAGACCGACTTCATCATGTTATCATCATCGGAAACAGCTTCACTAACATGGTTCAAAAGTGAGTTAATTCACACACAGTTATTTTGAATGTGAAAAACACTATAGTACTGTAAAATGTTGGTAGTTAGTCATACTTCATTTGAAGTACTGTAGATCCCTAAATATACGTGAGGAATTAATTATCGCTTAATTTCGCGAGAAGCACCACTCGCAAAATAAAATTACTCACTTTTATTTTTATGGTGCTGAAATCCATGTAAAATCTCTCGAATAACCGTCCACTTGCAAATTCTTGTTCTCGCGTTTGATGTTAAAGAGCCATTTCAAATGGTACAAAAAGTACAATGTACTCATGTAAAAAAAGGAATCTACAGTACTGACTGATGCAAGGGAGAAGGCAAAACATTTTCTCAAATTTTTTAGTGTGCCTAGCAGTACCATGAAGAAGTGTGCTCCTCTCATTATGAAAGTAAGTACGGTATATGCTTCATCTTTAAATAAAACTGCAAAAAATTTGAATATAGAAAGATATATGAAAACTTTTGAAGGCACTGAATATTATGCATGAATAAGATAAAGAAATTTCATATTTGGACATTGCCAAGTCAACAGAATCTGTTCAAAATTTTGGACCTTGATTCATTTTTATAATGCATGCTTGTTTCACTAAAAAAAATGATTATTTCTATTGGATTGTAGATTCAGCCATATGCAGAGGAGATTTTGTTGCCAGGAAACTTTCAGTACGAGGACGTATTTAATGATACAGTCATCCATCTTTTTCCACAGGGTAAACTGAATTTACTGGACACAGAATTCTGGGAGCACTGTCCTGAGCCAAAATATGATCAAGAGGATTTAGAATTTATACCAAAATCTTAAACATCGATTAAAAAAAGACTACCTCAAATACAGCTTGTTGTGAATCTTGCTTTCTTCTTAATTAGTTTATTAGATGAAGACCTACAGATGTCATACGCTGGTGAAACTCATTCTCTTTATTCCCTATATATGGTGGTGATGTAGTGACATCTATTTTAGAGCTCAATCTAATTAAAATGTAAATTCTGCATAACAAGAAACTTCACCTGCAGACTTTATCTAAGACTCTGATTTTATTCCCTGTTCACACGATTGCGCATTAAATATTTAATACACAGTAAATTAATGCAAAATAAAATATTTACATTCCACATGTATTTTGCTTATAAAGTATGAGGAAAGCTATGGCATTCAAAATACTATAACACAGACAGGGGGTCAAAAGGTTAAAGTATGCATTTTATTTTGGCATCACAAACGTTGAATGCTGTGGAATTGCAAAGCCATAAGCGAAAATCAAAATTCATGCTCACATTGAACAGAGGCTGTTGCAATGGCTCTTCCATTAATTGTAACTTACCCAAAGGATAATACAGGGATTTTGAAATATAAATCAGATTTGCAGTCAAGGCAAGGAGTTAAAAAATGTTAATATAAACATTGTATCATTATTTTTTGAAAAATATAGTCTTATAACTGCAACGGTGTGTGCAAACAAATTTGTTTGCACACACCGTTGCAGTTATGAGACTATATCTTTCAAAAAATAATGATTCAATGCTTAAATAATGCAAATTAAATTGCATTCACGTGACAGTCAATGCGAAGTAAACGAATTCGAATTAAAATTTTATTTTTATATAGTAAGGCTTTTATGACATCATTTGCAAATCACATCACCTTATGCACAGCAGATTACATTTGACATAATTTTGTGGTGTCTGTACAGATGTTTAGGATAAACATATTTTTTCTTTGTTTTTTACTCAAAAAATAGCAAAAGTATTGATATCTGACCACCAACATGTTGCAGGTGGTTTAATTTTGCTATTATGGATGCGTCAGAATTTAATTCCAATTAGTCGCTTAGCGTTCACACGGAGCTAATGCGAAGTAATTTGATGCACATTAAATTAATTCGAATTGAACTAATTCGCATTAAATTCTCCAGGTGAACGTGATTCAAATTTAATTTGCAGTAACTGAAGTTTAATTTGAATTAAACTCTCCGTGTGAACAGGGCATTAATTAGAATGACATAGATCTATGAGTTGATTATCATCGGAAACCCACAATTGGTCCTGCTTCTCTTACCTCATGTCAGTTGGTATCAGTTATCCCTTCTTACCGTATCTAAAAATGTAAAGACAAGAAATTAATTTTGATTAACATTGATGGCTAACATAAATATACTCTTCCAGTAAAGATGTTTGAATGTTATTGTACATTTACAAAGGGGCTATATGTGCTAGTGGGCATGAAGAGGATAGGTGAGGTACATTTTCAAAGATGGTATTTTATCACAAGATTGATGTGACTGTTTGGATGAACACAGCTATATCTGTCTAATAGAATCTATGATCTATTAGCAATAAACACCACAGGTGCTTGAAAACAGGACCCAACCCCACCCAACCCCTTCCACCAATTTATACCCTCGGGGTATTTTGGTCTTCCCTTTCCTAACATATTACCACACATTGACAACTGTAACACAAAATCTCCAATAAAAGGAATTAAAAAATGTTCATTTGCTAATAAATGATTGTAGATTTTGTACCCACGCATTTTAGATTGTCTTATTAAGATTATTGTTCAAAAATTGTCAAGCATAGTTCAAAGGTAGACCTCAGTGGTTCATATGAGCTTTTGCTAAAAGTGAGCACATTACTGATTGGTTTCTTTAACTGATAATGAAAAATTCTATATTGATGAATCCTAGGGCAGATACACCTATTTTATTTTCTTAAAACAAGGCCCAAGGGCCTTAAAAGTCACCTGTGAGTATAATACAATCCTGCACAGGATTAAGAGAAGTCTATAATAAAACAACATAAACTGAGAGATGAAGATATGTTGCCCCAAAGCAAGATAAATAAAATGGTCACAAAATAGTTAGTCTAGAAGTCGGTAATAAAACCTAGAGTAGATCTGTTAACTTGCCAATTCTAATACACTCCCCTCCATCACTATCATTGAGAATATGAAGTAAACCCTTTTTATTCCCTCGCACATTGGCCTCTGTTGGACTTTGAAGAATATATGATGTGCAAAGATAAGGTATTTTGTCTTTGACAATTCTATATGACCAATATAAACTATTTTAAAAGTACTGTTTGTATTATACATTGAAAATTCTTATTGAATTCTTTTATTCAGCATGACTACCAAATTACATTATTTACAGTAATTAATTATCATAGGTGAATAGCAAAGGGGAATAACTTCTCTCAGTAGAATACAAATTTACCAACAATAACATCAGAGTCCTGCCCAGCACCAGAATACTTGACCCAGTGGTCCAGAATTTCACAAATCTGGTAAAAACACTCTTGCTCATTACAACTTTATACTCTGTTTGCCTCCAAGATGCCCAGGAGTAGAAAAGAAGAATTTCAAAGAATTAATGCATTGGGGTGAAACGATACACCTCCTTCACGGTTCGATACGTATTGTATAATTTTGTCTCGGTTCGGTTATTTTCGATACGATACATTTTGATAGAAGGAATCAAATTCAACGTTGTTTTATGCTTTCTTTTCCTAAATCTAGTCACATATTTTACGAATTTTATTTGCAAATTGACTAGAAGAAATTGGTTAAAATTATTTGACTGTCAAAAATTATTTTACAAGCTATCAGTCATCAAAAATTTACGTTTTCTATACTTATTTATACTGAGTAAAGTGTTTTACCTTATGCCAAACCTGACTGAATAACGATCCCGACCGAAAAATGAACCGAACCGAAAATTAGAGATTTTGCACCGTGTATCAAACCGAGAAAAAATACCGCGGTGAATCGATACCGCGGTGAACCGTTTCACCCCTATAATGCATTTTTACTATACAATCAATAGAGCCCCTCAGTAACACCAAAACCCTTCAACCAAGGGCTATGATTTTCAGTTTTGGAAGAGGCATCCTTGCTAATCACAACCATGCATTTTGTTTAATGATTGATAAAAACCCATGGGCAGAGAAGATTTGTAATGTAAAGAAATTATGCATTAAAACTTATAATCTGATCAACAGAGCCCTACCCTAACACCAGAATGCCAGACCCAGGGGCCATGAATTTCACAATTTTGGAAGGCATCCTTGCTTACATAATCATGCACTTAGTTTGTTTGCCAAATGCCCCATAGCCATTTTCACCAAAAAAAATTGGTATCTCAAATACTGATTTTTTTTTCAAATACCATGAATATGCCAAACTGATTTGGAAGTCCCAACCACTTATTTTTTTAAGTATTTTACCCACCATATCTTAAATCCTCATATAAAAGTTTTTTCTCGGTCCCATTGAGTTTGAGAGAACAAGGTTTGACTGTAAAGGAATTTTTTTAAAGCATGTAAGCAAACACTAACAACAAATATCAAGTGCAATTGATTGCAGAGCAATCACAATCACAAGTGTGACAATAAAGCAGGTCATACAAAAATCTAAAGAGAAACTGTCATTGTAAATATTTTGCAGTATGCATACATGTATTTCATTTAATTTTTCAGCAATAATTGTGGGAAAAAATAAAATGCTATTGTAGGGTGTGTTAAAAGTTTGATTAAATGTGCATTTTTAATAGTTTGATCTGTTATATTTTTACATTAAAATCAGCTCTAGAATGCTTATGAGAGGGTTAGGGCTCTCGTAAAGTTACAACAAATTTTAAGAATCTCTCAAGATTTCTCTTACGATGGAAATCAATCCTATTAAGATTTTTTGTGAAAAGGTCTACAGGAGTAGAGAAGAAGATTTTCAAAGAATTAATGCAGTTTCGCTATATAATCAATAGAGTACATGCCACCCTAGCACCCGAACCTATAACACAATGGCCATGAATATTACAATTTTGGAAGAGGCACCCCTTGCTTATCATATCCATTCACTTAGTTTATCTGCTTATTACCCAAGAACAGAGTAGAATGTTTTAAAAAAATAAATGCATTTTCACTATATTATTAATAGAGCCCTGTCCTAACACAAGAACACCTAACCCAGGGGCTATGAATTTTAAATTTTGGAAGAGGCACTCTTGTTCATCAAAACCATGCACCTAGTCTTTCTGCTAAATACCAGGAAGAGAGAGAAAAAAAAATTCTATAAAAAAAAAAAAATACATGTATTCATTTTTACTATTTGGTCAACAGAGCACCGCCCTAAGACTAGAACTCCTGACCCGGGGGCCATGAATTTCACAATTTTGGAGGAGACATCCTTGCTCATCATAACCATGCACTTAGTTTGTTTGCTTAATACTCACGAGCAGAGAAGAAGATTTTCAAAGAAACAATGCATTTTTACTATAAAATCAGTATAGCCCCGCCCTTACATCAGAACCCCAGGGCCAGGGGCCTTGAAATTCACGATTTTCAAACAAGTAGCCTTGTTCATAATAAAGTTAACATGCTTTGAATGCTTGAATCCCAGAAGAAGAGAAGATTTTCAAAGAAATTATGCATTTTCAATAATCAATAGAGCCCCCCCCCCTCTCCCAAAGAACCCCTAACACGGGGGGGGGGGGGGGGGGGGCAGAAATTACATGAAAAAACTATGTAAGCAATGTATGAATTTCTGACCTTGGCCTTTGTCATTTTGACCTCAAAATCAATAGTTTTTTTTTTTAAATAACTTATAGTGATGAAAGGTATGAAATTTCATTGCTAATCCTCAAAGAGAACGAAAGTTGTCACCAAGAAAACATATTATGCAATGTATAAATTCCTGGCCTTGACCTTTGATCTTCTGAACTCAAAATAAATAGGGTCTTCTTTAGGCCACAGGGAGCTGTGATATAAAATTTATTGCAAAAGGTCAAAGGTTTTTGGAGATATCGTCCTGAAACGAGATTGTTCCACACACACAGAATGTATGATTTCTGACCTTTGACCTAAAAATCAATAGGTCTCTTTTAAGACATTGAGAATAATAATTTAGAATTTCATTGAAAAACCTCAAAGAAAACTAAAGTTATCATGTGGAAACCATTTTCTTGCAATGTATAAATTTCTGACCTGGATCTTATCAATGAAATCTATTATTGTAACTCCCAATGACTTAGAGAAGACCTCTATTGAGTTTTAGGTCAAAAGGTCAAGGTAAAAAATTCCTATTTTGCATAAAACGGTTTCGTGGTGATAACTTTATTTCTCTTTGAGGTTTTCCAATTAAATTTTTTTTATCTTTTGTCAATATGACCCTTACTGATTTTTTTTTAGGCCGAAAGTTCAACGACCAAGGTCAGAAATTCAGATATTGCATGCATAATTTTCAGATGATAACTTCATTTTTCTCTCTGTTTTCTTTCTTTACAGTGAAACGTAAGGTCATGAATTTCTTAAATAACTTTTTAAAAAAAAAAACTATTGCCTTTAAGGCCAAAAGATGAAAGGTCAAAGACTTTTGTTTTAGGTCTTCCATTCTGTTTTTTTCCCTTGAGCGGGAGATACAAATTCCCTGAATTAGCATTTTTACGATGTGATGTGAGTAAAAAAAGAAAAGATAAAGGTATAAAGAAAACCATCACTAATTCTGACGCATGTTTTGAAATATCATGAATGCAAGGAGTTTAAAAGTATATTTACAAAGTTTTCGTGAGAATTTACAAAACCTTAATTATCATAAACGACATTGCGGTGACGAGTAAAATGGTCGAGTAATGTGTCTTATTATATTTATATTTTAAATCGTATTCTTACCCGCATCATTGTGAACGAATCCTATTTAGGGGTAGTTTTCCTCGTGTTCAGATGTAGACAGTAGTACAATGGACTTCGATCTTTTCGACTGTTCGATGGACTTCGATCGTTTGTGTAAAAATAAAAATGGTACATTGCATAGATTTTATTAAAAAGCCAAGATGCAAAGAGATGTAGTATGTCATCAAGAACCCTTTTAATACATAACTTGCCATTTCTTACAGGAAAAATGTTCAAGGACAACAAAATAATGATGAATAGAATTACTGTTGCTTATCTAAAAAGTCAAAAAGTGAAAACACATGCAAATGAAATATTCTATTACTTCATTTTGATCAAATATATAATGTTAAGAATACTTGAATTAAATTATAAACTGTTCATTATCCAGTAAATTTACCCCCCCCCCCCCCGGTTTAAATCGAAGGGCAGAAAAGTACCGTACTAGATTCTTCAGTGTGCACAGAGGGTCCTCAAGGCATATTTAAATATTTGTACTATAATGTGGTTTATGTTCTATGTTCTAAGTTTATGTTCTAAATGGAGAATTTTGCACAAAAGTCAGGTCCCCCCTTTACCCTAGCCATCTCCACACACACATTCATTACGCTCCTCTTTAGAAAAGCCTGGTTTCACCCGTGCAAAATAGTTTCTTCGTGATTTGTTTTATATATTGAAAAAATAGAATCCTTCTCGAAACAGGCCCGTAGGATGCGGGGCAGGGGGGGGGCTTCTTTCTGATTAAAGTATTTTGCTATAGTAAATTTTCCTTTAGATGCTGGTTGCCCCTTACCTGTAAGGTCGAGCACTAGCCAATTGCAGGATTTGGACAGTAGTTTTTTTCTCTCCCCCCCCCCCCCGGTTTTACCCTGCCCCCCCCCCCCCACCGGTCAGTTCAGTTTTTTTTTGCTGGTCAGATTTTTTTGGGGGGAAATTGCCCCCCTTTTGAAGCCGTTGCTATGGGCCTGCAAAATCTTTCAACTGTTCAATGAGCTACATAATCTCTCACTCACTATTTAAACATGACTGAGTAAACAATCTAAACCACTGTGGCATTTTAGCCCTCATGGCGCACCGTACTTCATGTGTTCTACACGCTTCAAAATAAATCTTTTTTTATGGTTTAAAATAGCTGCATTATTTGAGATTTATTCATCGATATCATTTATCACTGTGGAATGAATAAGCAAAGAAAAGAAAGATAAAGTAGAATAATATTATTTACGGGCTAATAAAAATCTCTGAATTCGATTGGCCAATGGAAAATGCCCGGATGACTTTATATCCATGTTTTTAGAGAAGAAGTGCTATGGAGAATGTTTCTAGGTCCTGATGTTTATTGACGATTGCATTTTTCCACAGGGAAAAGTGTACTCTGTTCCTTATAACATGGTTGGTAAAGACCTGGATGAGTTATACTTAGAATTTGGGACACTGAGCCCTCACCAAAGAATAGACATAGTATGTGGAATGCTTGAAATGTGTTTAGGCCCCGAGCTTCGATTTATCGGCTCTGTGGTCGAAGATTTGTGTAAAAAAGACTATATATATCTCAGAGAACAGGAAAATAAAGCAAACAAACCAGAAGAATTAGAATCCTTAAAACAGAATTCGACAGATATAAGGAATTTACAGCATGCAATGGCGATGAATCTGGCCTTGCTTCACACAGACAACACACACTGTGCCAGTATAGTTTTTGATATCTTGGAAAATAATCTAAAACGAGCTTTCTCAGTAACGCCGTCAACCGAAAAAGACAGCGTTGATATAATCCTGCTGGTGTTGTCAATGGCTGTGAGGCACCCAGCATTCTCATTTCATCAAAGAACCAAGTTGTGTAATTATTATGTATGTGTTAAACAGCAGTTGGAAAGTGTGTTGTGCAAGGTAAGGAACTGAGTTGTGTATATTGACAGAATATCAGATTACAAGAAAGATGGCGATGCCAGCTTCCACCTTCAAAAGGCGGTAGCAAAGCTGTTATTGCATAAATTGCATGCTATCATGGATTCTATACATCTTTTTGACTTAAAGATTACAATCTCAATACACATTAAGATCTAAGTTAACTTTTTAAAGATATGTTTTTATAGAACTGTAATTGATAAATATTCCATCATCTATATTGGGGGTATATTAACAAAGTGGTGCCTATTGGTTTCTGTTTCATCAGTTTATTTTTTTGTACAGCTTTCTTATGTAGATGAATATAAATGTTCATTTCATATATAATAGGATAAAATTTGAAAAATATTAAACTTTCCCAATGGTCCACACTTGATTGTCACTGGCAGTGAATTTTCGTGTGTCAAACAAAAGGTAATTCACCTCAGTTATAATTAGATTTTATGCAGTTTCAAATAAAAAAAAATGTTGAAAATTGTAATTGTAAATTTAAAGGTATAAAAGTGATATTATATAGATGCTACCTATGTAAAAAGCTACTGCAAAGTACTATTGTTGAAAAATCAGGCAATAAACAGGGTCAAGGTCATTGCATCAACTGAAAAATAACAATAATTAGAGATGTAATAGTTTTCTTCTCAATTGTTAAATGTACACAAAGTGCATCAAATGAGTAGCTGGAGTAAAGTGGAATAATATATTATGTAACTGCAAAGGAAAAAATGTATTACTGGACCAGAAATTGAACCCAGAACCCTGCATCACTAGTCAGGTGCTCTACCGACTGAGCTACCCAGGCCGATATCCATAGCCCAAACCATTACATTTCTCCCTACTTAAATTGTCTTTGCCCTTGAAGACACAATCCAAGTTCTTATTGCTCCTGGCAGGACCTTCACCTGCAAGCCCAGAGTGGTCAATGGCACCGAATTATGTAACAGGAAAGGAGACCCAGTAATGGAACCCAGGACCCCTTTATCACTAGCCAGGTCCTCTAGCTACTGAGCTATACAGACCGATATCTATGGCACAAACCATTTCAATTAATTATGTATACCATGATATAGGTAGGTTTTACCCAGTATATTGTATTACATACATTGAACATTACATACAAAACTTCTGTGGATGTTGTCTCCAGAATGTTTTTGTTATTGCATCTAACATATATTTAACTTCAAGTTTATAACAATAATTAAGAATAGGGTACAAACTAAAAAAACATTTTATACATATGGATGTTTTTCAATCTGTCAATTCTTACACCAAATGCTACTTGATTATTCTGACTATTAATGTGTGGATTTAGAAAAAGGATAGTACAGAAAGGGTAGGGTTTTAAGTAGAATTCATAAGTCAGAAATGTTCAGGTTTTTTTAGTCGGTAGATAACCTGGTGAAAGATGGTCACATTTTGTGGATGTTCAAGGATTATAAGGGAAAATTTAAGTAATATTTCACTCGACTAAGCCATCATTTAGAGTTGAATTATACAGAACAGTTGTACACATCACAAAAAAATTATTTATAAATATATTTATAAAGCAAAAGTAGATGGTATTAGTTCTTTCATATTTGATTCTAAGAAAAGGCATGTAAAAAGAAAGTAGAATTTCTTATTACCTTTAGAGAAATCAAAATCAAATAAATGTGTGTATCTGTGTTGCTTGTACTCTTTTATTGAGTGACTTACTTGACTTATTCCTGTTCGCTGCTTGGGGAGCATAGGGACAAAGAAGTGTAGAATTTTAATGACAGAAATTTATGTAAACGTTAAGAAGCCAATACATTGAATCCACTATTTTAGCTCTTTTATACATTGAAAGTCGGTGAAATTTATATATTGATAGTCAGATAGGAACTCGTTAGAAATTGTCAATCAGTAATACTAATTACTCAGACTGAAAAAAAAAACTAAATTGAATCACAAATCCAAGTATAGAGTGACATATCCATAAGGCTTTCTTAATCGAAAGACTTATTAAACAAATATGACTTGAGGGAAATTTAGACAAACTCAAATGCACTGTAAAGCAGCAAAGATGAAAATTATAAAATAAAATGCAGGAAAAAACAAAAAGTAAATCTAACAGCCATAGCTTCATTATCGTCCATGTCAAAGTCATGCAACTTATAATATAGCATAAAAATCATAAATAACATTGATTTAGCATATGCAGAGGAATATCTTCTTATTATTTCTTTCAAAGATTGTATCAAAATCCTCAGTCGACATACATTCCACCTCTTGAGGCCATGTTAACTATTTTTGCACACACGTACAATAAGGAGAGACGAATGAAGCAATACTTTTATCTTGGGCCAGACAAAAATTATTTATTTCTCCATTAAAGTAGATTTTTAAGGTTCTGAAACTGGTAATTTTATGAAAATAATTTTATGAATTGAACAAAATTTGCATGAGCCATGCAAAAATTCAATTTCGTCAATTTTCCCGTTTTTTGCGTGCCTGTCTCTTTACCTTGATTGGTACTGTCAGTGTGTATGCCAAGTACAATAACCATTAATCAAAAGGTAGCATTCTTTTTTTTTCCAAATTTAATTGAAGATTTGTGGATGCACATATATATAATGGGTATTAAGTGAAAGTTGACAAAGACAAACTGTCTTTACCACAGATAAACAAATGATTTTATTTCTCTGAATAAATCCCAGATAGGAGATGCATATTTTGAATGAGTGTACAATCACTGAGCAAAGTTTCAATAATGTGGAATTCAAATTGATGGGAGAAAGAGATTACAAGAAGGTTACCCCCTATCCCCTCCCCTTTTTCAGTGTGACAGATTCTTGTTGTTGAGAGAGATTTGAATTTATTTTTCTTTGTGGTAAAACATGATACACACAAAAAAACGGCAATTCTTGAGTTGTAGTGTAAGAATTGAATAAACAACTGTTATATCCTATTATCCACCTTGCAGATATTTGGCAGTGTCTACTGCATGTACTACTTCATATCAGTACACTGACTCACAGTAATAGAAACTAGAACAGTAATTACCTATATATATATATATATATATATATATATATATATATATATATATATATATATATTATCAGCACATAGATTGTAGTTTATATGTAAGTAACCACACAAATAAACATGCTGCATATGCACAGTTTTTATTTTTTGGTTGCTGACTTTGAATTAGGATATCTTGCAGTCATCTTAAATCTAAACCATATATTATGATCAAAGAAAATTGGAAAATTTAGGATATGTTGGTCTTTAGTAAAAAGTCATAGCACCAGTCTTAAAGTCCTTAAAAACACACTGTGAACTGTTTGCCTACATCATTACATTAACATTCAGCAAAGAGGACATTGCACTAGGAAATCTCGAAGGACAAACAGAAAACCATTGATTCTGGATGTGTGTTAAGTGACTATATAATTTCTTTTCAAACAATAAGATTCCAAATGCATTGCTTACAGAGTGTTCAGAAGGCAAATATGACTTCTTCCTCTGGGAGACTAAGAGGAAAATATCAGAAAAATTTCACTTGTGTATTGACATTAATCATCAACAAGCATGCAGTATAAACTGCTACATATCCCCATTTAAAGAGAAAGTGGATGGCTTTTTTTTAAAGATAGTTCTAAATAAATAGATTGGACTGATAAATGATATACTTGACTATATATGAACTGATGCTTTTAGAGTGCAGGTGAATTTTTATGTTGGTCATGATGAGAACTAACTTTTGGAAAGGACAATTACCTCTGAGCAACTTGCCTCGTGAATTAATGACTTTTTATTGCCTATTTGTATAAAAAGGTTTAGATTATAATGAGTTTCTGTTAAAAACAAAGTTCTCTAAGTTTGCTTGGTGTTAATTTTCACCCCTTAATAGGTAGCTGACTGCAAGTAGGTGATGTTACCTGAACTGTTTTAGATCAAGTGTCTGAATACACAGTTTTCTAAGTGTACTAAGCAAAAGTAAATTTCTATGATAATAAAAACAGATTTTGTATGAAGTTAATAAAAATTAAGGAAAAAATTATTGCAGATTTAGAATGAAAAAATCCTAAACACAAATTGAGATCACTATTCATATTTTGAAAATTGCTGCCAAAATTAAATAAATGAAATGTAGTGATGATAAACATGAAGTGAATATTGCATGGGTTTGTTAAAGCATTGTACAATATATTTAATATACATTTTTCATTGAAATTGTAGTTGTGTGTGCATTGTTTACTTGCAGGTTGATCATGAATCACGTCCAGAAAACCCATCTGAGCCGAGAGGCAAGCAGGAAGCAGGTATATGATTTTAAGTTGTCATGGAAATATGTAAACTGGTGAAGTCAGATGAAGGAGTTCTTTAGATTTTCCCACACACTAGGATAATAATAGAATATGTGTGACATGGGTAATTTTTATGGAAACTAATGTATGCAGCATTAAAAATGAATACATTTTAGATGAAGGAAGTTAAATTGTAAATAGGCTTGTTATTTTCAGACCTGTGTAACTATAATGTATATCTCCATTTTAATACTGATCAGAGGGCCAAGTGTATGTAACTTTGGAATATCTTGTTCTTTCAGATCATATATGCAATCTGGATGTGGTTAAGGCAGACAAGAGTCATAGACATGAAAGAAGGAGAGAGTATAGAATACAAGTTAGTATGTCAGTGGTATTGTCCAACGATAATTGGTACCTTGTGACAGTCAAGAGTACCATGTAGTTGTTGTTAGTGCCACCCAGGAACTAAAATGATTACCATCTTTCAGTACAACCTATTAACAGTAATCACCACCTAACAGTAATCAGAACCACCTAGCAGTTATCAGTACTACTTAACAGTAGTCAGTACCACATAACTGTAATCAGAACACTTAACAGTAATCATTACCACATAACAGTAATCAGAACCACCTAACAGTAATCAGAACCACATAACAGTAATCAGTACCACAAACAGTAATCAGAACTCCTAACAGTAATCAGAATTCCTAACAGTAATCAGAACCACCTAACAGTAATCAGAACCACATTACAGTAATCAGAACCACCTAACAGTAATCAGAACCACATAACAGTAATCAGAACCACCTAACAGTAATCAGTATCACATTACAGTAATCAGAACCACTTAACAGTAATCAGAACCACCTAACAGTAATCAGAACCACCTAACAGTAATCAGTACCATCAAACAGTAATCAGTACCACATAACTGTAATCAGAACCACCTAACAGTAATCAGTACCATCAAACAGTAATCAATACCACATAACTGTATTCAGAATCACTTAACAGTAATCAGAACCACTTAACAGTAATCAGAACCACTTAACAGTAATCAGTCCACTTGACAGTAATCAGAACTCCTAACAGTAATCAGTACCACCTTACAGTAATCAGAACCACCTAACAGTAATCAGAACCACTAACAGTAATCAGTACCACCTAACATTAATCAGAACCACTTAATAGTGATCAGAATCACTTAACAGTAATCAGAACCACCTAACAGTAATCAGAACCACCTAACAGTAATCAGTACCATCAAACAGTAATCGGTACCACCTAACATTAATCAGTACCACAAAACAGTAATCAGTACCACCTAACATTAATCAGAACCACTTAACAGTAATCAGAACCACTTAACAGTAATCAGAATCACTTAACAGTAATCAATACCACTTAACAGTAATCAAAACTCCTAACAGTAATCAGAACCACTAACAGTAATCAGAACCACCTAACAGTAATCAGAACCACCTAACTGTAATCAGAACCACCTAACTGTAATCAGAACCACCTAACATAGATCAGAACCACTAACAGTAATCAGAACCACCTAACAGTAATCAGTACCACATTACAGTAATCAGAACCACTAACAGTAATCAGAACCACCTAACAGTAGTCAGAACCACCTAACTGTAATCAGAACCACCTAACTGTAATCAGAACCACCTAACATAGATCAGAACCACTAACAGTAATCAGAACCACCTAACAGTAATCAGTACCACATTACAGTAATCAGAACCATTTAACAGTAATCAGAACTCCTAACAGTAATCAGAACTCCTAACAGTAATCAGAACCACCTAACAGTAATCAGAACCACCTAACAGTAATCAGTACCACCTTACAGTGATCAGTACCACCTGACAGTGATCAGTGCCACCTAACAGTAATCAGTACCACCTAATAGTAATCAGTACCACCTAACAGTGATCAGTACCACCTAACAGTGATAGTCACAACCTAACAGTAATCAGTACCACCTAACAGTAATCAGTACCACCTACCAGTAATCAGTACCACCTAACAGTGATAGTCACAACCTAACAGTAATCAGAACCACTTAACAGCAACCAGAACCACCTAACAGTAATCAGTACCACCTAACAGTGATAGTCACAACCTAACAGTAATCAGTACCACCCAACAGTAAACAGTACCACCTAACAGTAATCAGTACCACCTTACAGTGATAGTCACAACCTAACAGTAATCAGAACCACTTAACAGTAATCAGAACCACTTAACAGTAATCAGAACCACTTAACAGTAATCAGTACCACCTAACAGTAATCAGAACCATCAAACAGTAATCAGTACCACATAACTGTAATCAGAACCACCTAACTGTAATCAGAACCACCTAACATTAATCAGAACCACTTAACAGTATTCAGAATCACCTAACAGTAATCAGTACTCCTAACAGTAATCAGTACCATCAAACAGTAATCAGTACCACATAACTGTATTCAGAATCACTTAACAGTAATCAGAACCACTTAACAGTAATCAGAACCACCTAACAGTAATCAGTACCACCTAACAGTAATCAGAACTCCTAACAGTAATCAGTACCACCTAACAGTAATCGGTACCACCTAACAGTGATCAGTACCACCTAACAGTAATCAGTACCACCTAACTGTAATCAGTACCACCTCACTGTAATCAGTACCACATAATAGTAATTGGAACAACCTAACATAGATCAGTACCACCTAACAGTGATCATTTCCTCCTAACATTAATCATTACCACCTAATGGTGAGAAGCACCACCTAATGGTAATCAAAACCACCTAACAGTGGTCAATTCCAACTAACAGTAATCAAAACCACCTAACAGTGTTGGTACAATTTAGTATAAATCAGTTCCATCTAACAGTATTAAGACTAATAGTAATCACCTCACAGGAATCAAGATCCAGCAGGCTTTCCATCTTTATTAGTACAGAAATCATTATGAATCAACATAACACTATAATTATCATCTTATATTAATTACTACCAAACTGAGATCATTACTTCATAAACCTAATAGTACCACTTGATCATTACCACTTTTAACATGATCAGCACCACCTCAACTTCATTAAAAACCATGTTAAAGGTAAAAGTACCACCTAAGGATAATTAACAATGGGGTCTTGTATTGGTATTGATGTGTTTATTAAATCTTCTGATTTGATTAAATGTTTGATAGATCAATCATGATATTGTGAGAGAAAACTCCAAACCATAGCTAATATTGAACTTAACTTTTATTCTCAGGTGATGCTTTGATAATAGAAGTGCTATTAATTTTTCAGGTAACATGGCAAGACAATAAAAAAACAGAGGTGCTTAAAACCTATCAGGACTTCAAAGAATTTCATTCGAAGGTAAATATGTGTAATCTATTGATTGTTACTCAAACCTTAAAGGTTGAGCTAACATATTGACCTGTAAAGTCACAGTTAAGAATTTGTTTTCATGACTTTGCAAGTGAATCAGACATTAGTAATTCAGTTGTTCAGTCGAGCTGCACCATTACTTCTATTTTGTCAGTATGGTGCAGAGAAATGTTCCAAACCATCAGGATGCAAGTAAAAATAATCTAATTCATTCAGAAATTATAAACAAAAACTTGGTTTTAGTTACTGAATGATTTGAATGATTATCAACTTTCTGTGATAGTGAACAATATACACACATAGCCTTTAAAAAAGACCATAGCTGCATTGGATCAATCATTGAAAATATGAATACTCTTCCCTCCCCTTCAATAATTTACATGCTTGATTTTTAAAGTGTCTTTGGTCAAAACTCTTTATAATGTTATTTATGATAATTCTACATTGTTTATAAGGATCCTCATGGGAAAAAAGGGCTCTGTAGACAAAAATTCCACCATCACTGTGATTATTTTTACCTCTTTTGAAAAGGGGGAGGGGGTGAATGCATTGTGTTTATTATTTAGAATATTTCATCTGTGTCTGAATGAAAAGCTCCTCAAGAGTATTTTAAGGATGCTTTTATTATTAATGGAGTTTTGTTGGATTTGAAATTTCCTTCAAAATGATAAATTGGTGTCATGAAGTTTAATAGTGCCCCACATGAACCTTTCATAGATTAATGTAATTTGCTCTTCATAATGAATTGTTTGTGAATCCTGATTGAGAATATTTATTTTTATTAGCTCATACTGGTTTATTGTTTGTGTATGTTGGGTGATTTGAGGGTGATATAATTTTTTCATCAATATCAAGAACTTGACTGCTGTAGAGGTGAATTATAGAGGCCATATCCTAGGATGATAATTTTTTGTCTGCATAAAACTCAAGACAAGCACTGAGGGGAAAAAACCTAGTACTGACTACAAGATATAAAAATTATATGAATGCATGGTCAGAAGATGTCAAATGTTATTATACACGGGTGGATAAAGTATGGATATTTTTTCATGTCAATTCTCTTTTTTCAGCTGGTGAAGCAGTTTCCAGAGGAAGCTAATTTACCTAAACAGGACAGAAAGTTGCCATTTTTCTCAGGAAGCCCAGGTACAAGATTGGATTTATACCGTGTTAACTGTATATGTATCTCAGTGTATATCACATGTCTAAAGTGATGAACATACACATTTATTCTTGGTACAAATTAATAATGTCTTTTGAAATCCAGCTAATCAGTATTTTAGATCAGTTGAGATAAAAGTCATTTTTTTTCAAACATGTACTACATTATAATAAGGGAAAAAAATCAATATAATTTTGTTGGCTTTTAAATTTAACATTTGTTATTAAGTATTGGAGATAGAAGAATTATAATCAGGCCACGGGGAGGGAGAGAGATTCCCTGGAATTTTATTTTAGATCAGTTGAGAACAGACAAAATTAGAAATGCATTTTAATGCCATCTTAACTCGGAAATCAATAAGAAGATTTGTACATTACATGTTTGATTAATCTCTAGTGATTTTTTTAGGTACCGGTGTATCTAAGGAAGATGAGCAGACCATAGCACAATACACAAAGTAAGTTACTTTACGTATGGTTCATGTAACATAAAACCAAGCATTTACATGTATTTCTTTTAATTATGAAGTGAATCATGTACTTCATATATTGTAAGTATATTTTGACATTTTTAAAGAAAAGCTTTTCATAATACTGTACATGTATTTCATATTACTTGTGGTTTTTTTTTTTCAGACTTCTACTTCAGATGCCAAAGACTATCTTAAGTAGTGAACTGGTAGTGAATTTTTTCAAAGGAGATGGTGTTCCAAAGTCTCTGACAGCAAAGTCATCTACCCCAGTGAATAATATCCCCGTCTCAAGTGGTAAGAGAAGTTTTCTGTATATTATAAACTATCAGAAGGTTTGGGGGCACATACAACACAATAAGCAGAGGATCATAGTACAGATAAAAAGAATTTTGAAAATTGAAACAAGTAAATATATTTGGGAAAGGTCTCGTATGTTTGTGATGTCCCAACATTGGTCATTAGGTCAGGGCGCAGTGGTTAGAGCGTTTGCTCTAGAGTCGCGGGGTAAGGAGCTAATCCTTACGTTGCGGGTTCGAATCTACTGTGGAGACTGGTCCTTTGGATCAACAAACAAACAAACATTGGTCATGACCATGTCATAGTCTTGTCTTGTGTGGTGTAATGATAGCCAGAGAATTGTTATCTATTTTTACACAAACACTTTTTTTCTAACAAAAAAAGGTAAGAATATTTAGTTTTTATTAGCTCACCTGAGCCGAAGGCTCAAGTGAGCTTTTCTGATCACATTTTGTCTGTAGTCCGTCTGTCCGTCCGTCTGTCTGTAAACTTTTCACATTTTCGACTTCTTCTCAAGAACCACTGGGCCAATTTCAACCAAACTTGCCACAAAGTATCCTTGGGTGAAGGGGATTCAAGTTTGTTCAAATGAAGGGCCACGCCCTCTTTCAGGGGGAGATAATAAAGAATTAGTGAAAAATTAATAGCATCTTTTAAAAATCTTCTTCTCAAGAACCACAAAGCCAGGGAAGATGAAACTCATGTGGAAGCATCCTCAGGTAGTGTAGATTCAAGTTTGTTCAAATCATGACCCCCGGGGGTAGGGCGGGGCCACAATGGAGGATCAAAGTTTTACATAGAAATATATGGGAAAAACCTTTTAAAATCTTCTTCTCAAGAACAGCAAAGCCATGATGAGTCATATTTATATGGAAGCATCCTCAGGTAGTGTAGATTCAAGTTTGTTCAAATCGTGACCCCCGGGGGTAGGGCGGGGCCACAATGGAGGATCAAAGTTTTACATAGAAATATATGGGAAAAACCTTTAAAAATCTTCTCCTCAAGAACAGCAAAGCCATGATGAGTCATATTTATATGGAAGCATCCTCAGGTAGTGTAAATTCAAGTTTGTTCAAATCATGACCCCCGGGGGTAGGGCGGGGCCACAATGGAGGATCAAAGTTTTACATAGAAATATATAAGAAAAACCTTTAAAAATCTTCCTCTCAAGAACAGCAAAGCCATGATTGGTCATATTTATATGGAAGCATCCTCAGGTAGTGTAGATTCAAGTTTGTTCAAATCATGACCCCCGGGGGTAGGGCGGGGCCACAATGGAGGATCAAAGTTTTACATAGAAATATATAGGAAAAACCTTTAAAAATCTTCCTCTCAAGAACAGCAAAGCCATGATTGGTCATATTTATATGGAAGCATCCTCAGGTAGTGTAGATTCAAGTTTGTTCAAATCATGACCCCCGGGGGTAGGGCGGGGCCACAATGGAGGATCAAAGTTTTACATAGAAATATATAGGAAAAATCTTTAAAAATCTTCTTCTAAATAACAGCAAAGCCCTAATTGATCATATTGATATGGAAGCATCTTTAGGTAGTATAGATTTAAGTATGTCCAAATCATGACCCCTGGGGGTAGGGTGGGGCCCCAAAGGAGGATAAAAGTTTTACATAGAGATATATAGGAAAAATCTTTAAAAATCTTCTTCTCAAGAACAGCAAAGCCCTGATTGATCATATTTATGTGGAAGTATACTCAGGTAGTGTAGATTCAAGTTTGTTCAAATGTTGCCCCCCTGGGGTTGGGTGGGACCACAATGGAGGATCAAAGTCTGAAATAGAAATATATAGGAAGATTTCTTCTGATGAAGAACTGCAAAGCCATGATTAGTCATTTTGATATGGAAGCATCATCAGGTAGTGTAAATTCAATTTTGTTCAAATGATGACCCCCGAGGGTAGGGTGGGGCCCAATAGGGGGATAGAAAGTTTTACATAAGAACACATAGAAAAAATATTTCTTCTCAAGAACAGAAAAGCTATGTTTAGTCATATTGATATGGAAGCATCTTCAGGTAGTGTAGATTCAAGTTTGTTCAAATGATGACCCCCGAGAGTAGGACGGGGCCACAATGGAGGATCGAATGTTACATAAGAATATATAGAAAAAATATTTCTTCTCAAGAACAGAAAAGCTATGTTTAGTCATATTGATATGGAAGCATCCTCAGGTAGTGTAGATTCCAGTTTGTTCAAATGATGACCCCTGGGATAGGGAGGAGCCACAAGGGGGGATCAAATTTTTACAAAGGAATATATCAGAAAATTTTTTTTTAAATCTTCTCAAGTACAACAAAGCCATTTGTTATTTTTAACATGGCAGCATCATCAGGTAGTTTAAAATTCAAGCCCCCCCCCCCCCCCCCCCCCGGAATCTTTTCAATACTGAACTGATTTGTGCTTTTGCCTATCCACTGTGCTCAGGTGAGCGATGTGGCCCATGGGCCTCTTGTTGATGATGGTCTATAAGATTAAATGAGAGTGTTAAGAACAATTTGGAGAAAGTTTGGGTCTTTGAGACAATGATTTGATTAAGTATGTAGTTAAAATCATACATTGCACCAGGATCACAAAGTAAAGGTTCAGTTGGGTGAGGTAATATTGAAGTGTTAAATGTTACAAGTCTAACAAATGCAGTTTCTGTTTAAAATTTGTATTCCCAGTTGTTTTGTTGTAAGAATTGACAGTATTGTGATATTGGAAAGTGTGTCTACAATTTCCTCTGTTACTACATAGTACATATTAAAGATTAAAATGATATTTCTACACATGACTTGTTATTTGTGTTAAAAATAAGATACATTGTACATAATCTTGCAGAATCTGATGTGATACCATACCAATCTGCCCAAGTCTTCAACACCCATAGCCATAGCCCTCCTGGTATGTTTATAAAGTACAGTGATAGAAATAAGCATTTTATTTGATGTAAGGCATGTATGCTATACTTTTCAGTGTTTGCACGGATTTTTCAGCATTTCGACTAAGATTTGATATTCTAGCCTATTAGACTTAGTTTTCTTAGCAAATGCACTGTAATTTTCTTACAAAATTAAGGTTAAGTTACTAAGTTACTTGATTAAATATTGTTTGTGATTTTATGAATCTATTTTCATTTACAGCAACACAGCCAATGGAAACTTTGGCTCCGTATCCTAGTAATTACATTATTACTCAGAGGTAGGCCATCATGTTCATAAATGTAGATATTAATATCATTCATTTCATTCTGTTATATGTTGGAAGAATAAATACTGGTGAGCCAACTTTTTTCATGCCTCATAAAAAAAAAAGAAGTTGTAGTTTCCATTTAGCCTTTTAATCAAAGACTAGATCTTAATATTTACATTGACTTTCATTGGATAACAGCAAACAACCATGTTAACCATCTTAATCTAATTCTATACATAGCTCCAGCTTAAATTGGTAGTCATGAACTGTTTTACTTCAAGGTTTTAATGTTTAGGGTTAATGTCAGTTTGGACCAAAATATATACATGTGTAAGGTATTCCATGTATTCCTGTACAAGTTCACATAAGCACTAAGATTGTGAATTTTTCAGACCTCCCCCTGTGTCGCCCAGTCATTCCCCACAGCTTATCAGCCGCTCCCCCCTGTCTGACAGTCGCTCAAACTCCCCCGAAGAACAGGAAGTAACGAGTCTGATGAATAAAGTCAACATCAGTCAGAACTGCAGTGAGAAAGCTCCACCCATAAAGGTAGAAATAATCAAGTTAACTTTATTTCAAAATAAAACTTCTCATGGTAGCTAACCTGAGCTGAAATTCAAGTGAGCAAAGTTTGTCTGGTGTCTCTGTCTATTCTCTGTCTAAATTTCCCAATTCTCTACTAGTTGTATACCAGAAAAGGTTATGCTTGGACCTAAATCAATAAATCAATCAAGCTGTAGTCATTAGAATTGGAAAGGTATTTCTACATATCCACTAGACCGATTTTCACTAAAATTGCCATAAAACCGCTGAGTAGAAACAAAAGATGTTCCCAGTTTTCCTTTGTGAGAATTGGAATTTACTTAAAGAAGATATGATTAAAACACTTCAAAAAAAGTGTTTTTGAAAATATTTCCTGCAGTCTCTTTAGAATGAAATGTGAGGATAACAAACAGGGATCATGCTCAAAAGTCCATATAAACATACAAGTTGTGAGTAGAGGCAACATAGATCTGTGAAAACAGGTGGGATTGGGTGCTCTGGAGGAGTCAGCATCACCTGTAGAACAAGTCACACCCGCTATGTCAGAACTCGATTCAGGTGTGAGATTATGTATCAATATGTGAGCAGCCATTGTACTCTATACTCTATAGTCTTGGTTTGTTCAGATAATGCCCCTCTGTTTAGAGTGACCAAAAGTCACACACACATACACACAATTTCTCTAGAGTTCTCTTGAACATTATGACTCTATTTTTTCAACTTTAAATGCAGTAATCTTTGTGAACTTATTAAGGGGACATATTTTTTGAGAATTTCTCAAGTGAGTAAAGAACTCAGGGACCAATGTCAATACCTGACTTTTTCTATTCAGTAGGATTGTACGTTCAGTGTTTAACGTGTTCAGATCATGTTTACATTTATTGCAGAATTGGAGCTGTGAAGAAACTGAGTCCTTATCATTGACACCAGAACAGGCAGCTAAAATCCGGGCAAATCTGGCATTAAACAAGTAAATAGAACAGGAATAAGTATTTTTTAAACTGCCATAAAGTAGTAGAATGCTTAACTCTTTAGTGATTACTATGTAAATTAGTTTTTATAGATAGACAAATACATTGAATAGGGCTGAAACAATGGATACTCTAGATCTCCTTGAGAGAAACCTAAGCTCATTTTTTGACACAAAGTTTGTTATGACTAGAATATGTGACATGAATTTGACCCAAGATCATTTGGACAAGTTCAAGATCACTGGAAGAAAAAGTGTAAAATTCATTTAATACATAAACTTGGGGTATCATTTTGAGCTTGTTCACAGTACCTTGAGTTGTTTCTGCAGTAATCTTTATCTTGTTATATATTTTTTTATTTCAGAGACAAAGTTAACAATGGTTATATTGATCACTTAGTGGTCACCTCTGGTGGTCAGCAGATACCACCAGGGTGGAATCCAACCATGATCCAGCCACCATTCCAAGGGATGCCCCACCACCCAGTACATGTACTGGCCCCTCATCAGTATGTACTCCCAGCTAGTCAGACCTCGACACGTGACAGCTCCCCCACTGGGTCTGACTACTCCAGCCCTCTACCCAGTCCACTACTGAAAAAGAAAACTCTGACCACTAAAGAGACAGACAGCTCCTCAGAGGACAACGAGAAAGGTGAGATGTGGAACGTTATTATAAAATATACCTAGGGGAAAGATCCAAGATACAAACTTATAGAATGAATATAAGTATGTCAAGAGGCTGATGTAAGTTTTTTGGGGATATGTTTGTGATTTATGAATGTTGGACATGTGTACAGGCATATGAGTTCTGTTTCAAAGAGAATTATCTTGATATGTTGTACATGTATGTTATCTCAGAAACAAAATTTAAGAAGCTATTTATGTAAAAATAAGCAGATGGTAAACTCATTATTATGAATCATATACATAAGAGTAAACATTGTTGACTGCAGTTTATCTATTTTTCACAGAGAAGAGTCATAGAAATGGTTCTCCACATGTTCGTAAACTTAACAAGACGGCATCAGGAGATGGATATTATCAGGATGGATATGATGTTGGAGGACTGGCCACACTCACTGGAGGGGGTTATCAGTCAGATCCCTCCCCCTCAGGATACTACCCTGTGATAAACATGCCTCCACGCACCCTCAAGGCCCAGCCAGCACATACTAGCAAAACGATCCCACCGAATAATATCATTAGCATGCCATTGGACAGTCTTTATGGAAAAAGAGGCCAAGTTATTCCACTGGGAATGGCACCTCCCATTCCAAGAACAGAGGCCCCCACAATAACTTCTACATCAAATGTTACCTCAGTGACTAGTAATCTTGACAATATAGGGAAACCACGCATCAGTGTTTATTCATATCCACAACTGCGTCCTGTGGCTGCCCCGCGAACATTTGTGTGCTCGGTGACTAATTCCACCTCAGTGACCATGTCTAACAGCATCACCTCTCCCATGGCTATCAACGGATTAAAGTCACAGATGACCCACTCATTCTCGGAGTCCTCCATCAACAATCCCCATGCCCTAGAACAAACCATACCCCCCTTGCCTACACAGCCCCAGAGCACTCCAACATCCACCCCAAATATGCAGCTTCCACCATCATCAACTCATTCGACCTGCTCCAACTGTGGGTGCCCAGGCCACTCAGGAAACCCATCATATCCTTATGCTCACTTCATACCTAGTCACATGTTCCATGGTCAGCATTTGTGGCCGTTATCAGCACTTCCCATGACACCATCATCAAATGGACTTATCTCCCCTCATTTCATTCCACCTGCGTATCACCACTTCCAGCACTTTCCGAATCTGAATGGTCTGACACCTCAGGAGTACCTGTTGAACAACCACCATCAAAATTTTGTTCACAACCCAGGTCCACCCCTGTCTGGCCCTACCAATAATGTTCCAGGACCAATCATCAACCAGGGCCTACAGAGGAGTAACAGTATTAAAGAGCGGAAGGAGAAACCTCGGGTAGTCACGTGCTACAATTGTGGATCTCATGATCATATAGGCAATGACTGTAGTGAGAGCTCTATGGAATCTATATTGGGTAAGTCAGTCTTTGGAATCTATGTTAGGTAAGTCAGTCTATGGAATGTTTATTAGATAAGTCAATCTATGGAAAATCCTAGATTAGGTAAGTCAGTCAATGGAACCTAGATTAAGTAAGTCAGTCTATGGAATCTAGATTAGGTAAGTCAGTCTTTGGAATCTAGATTAAGCAAGTCAACCTTTGGAATCTAGATTGGGTAAGTCAGTCTATGGACTCTAGATTAGGCAAGTCAGTCTATGGAATCTAGATTAGGTAAGTCAGTCCATGGAATCTTAGATTCACAAAAATCAACATGAAAAATTTCTCGCAATATTTTGTAGAAATAAAACATTTTGACTTAATTGTTTTTTCTATGTTCAGTGTGGGTTATCCATACATTCCCAGTGCAGGTTATTGTACACATGTCAAGTTCCTAGCTTAGAGTTTCATTCATCCTTGACATTAAATCTGAATTAACTTGTCTAGAATGTTAATTTCATACTAAGACACATTGAATGCTATTATTTACTTGTACACTGTAGTTAACATTGGTTACTTTTAACCAAGTGTACCTGTGGATTGTCTGTCCAATCTATGTCTACTTACATTTATATCACAGATTTGGCTAATCATGGATCATTATTTACACCAGTTTGTATCATTTTAGGTCATTATCACTTGAATTATGAACCAAAAGAGTGACCACAAGAAGTGAACTGTTGAAACCAATTTTATTGCCATTTCCTGAGGCAGCCTCTTAACACTGAAGAGCGACAGCATGGCGTTTCACTTCAATAAACATTGTCAAGCACCGTCACTGACAGGGATTTCTCTGCACTACAGGAGAGATGTTTTCCCTTACAGCACCAGAACAATGAACAGTTCTAGCCTGCACGATTGCTTTCTGACATACCTATCTGTGAGTGTAGATGTGTCTATATAAATATCTGTCTCATCAAAGAATGAGGAAGAGTATCAACAAATGTTGAGGAATGGCTCATAGTCAAAACCCAGGATGACACTTGGTGCACATATAAAGCTGAAATGAAGATTAAGAAGCATTAGGTTTATTTTACTAAGATATTGCCTTTGAATGAGTTATTTTTTGCCCTTGAGAAACATAAGATTCAGGTGAAATAACATTTTGTTTCCAAGCTAACAGCCTACATGGTGAGGAACTGTTAACTCTGGTTGTTGTTTCACCAGATTTTATGATATAAAGTATTTATTTTCTAAGACACAAGTGATAAATTTCAGCTTCATTGACAATTCCCATGCAGCTATTTCAGAAGTTTCTGATCTCATTGGTTTTCATCTGTGAAGACTCTAAATAATACCAGACAAAGCGGACATCAACTCAGTTACATAGAAGTGCTGATTCATTTTCATAAGAAAATATTGATATCATTACATGTAGCTTATTTTTTGAACAGATAAATAATATGGCTATTTTTTGTGAAATACACCTTTAAAAAATGTTGAAAATGGACTGAGAAATTGTTACTGCAACTTTAATTAGGAATCAGTGAAATCACAATCTGTACATAAAATTGTGTCATTTTATTCATATCATTGTATTAAACGGGGTTTTTATTATTGAATATTGTGTAAACATATTGAGACTTTCTACTTGAGTGTAACTAGTTTGTACCTTTTAAATTTTGATAGTCATTCATACCATTTTGTGCTTCTGATAGCATTTACAGAATATTTTTATGTTGGATGTTATATTTATGTTTATATGTTTGAGTACTGAAAGTGTTTAACTATAAAGTTCTTCTTAGAGAAAAAAAAAACAAGCTTTTATGAGTTGAGCATTTGGCTTTTGTTGTAATTTTGCAAGCTTTTACTGTTACATTGTTTGTATTGTGGGCTCTATTTCAGGTATTTTTGGGGGGTGGGGGAAGGGGGGGGGGGGGTTGAGGGGTTACAATCTGATCATGACAAAAAACAGGTTAAAAATTTTTTGTCAATGTCCAGTTTCTGTTACTGTATGTCATAGTAGTTTAAATACAATATTTTTCATATGTTTGGTAATGTAAGAAACTTTGCAGTATTCTAATCCTATTTATTCCTTAGTTGAACTTAAAACTGTACAACTATTGATAGCAATTTATGATTGTTCAGAAGTATTTGGATATCATCTTAAAAATATCAACAATCTGTACTTCTTTGTCCAGTCAGTTGTAAGTCCACGCTACTGGGTATGTCTCACACACTTGTCTGACGTGAAGGGGAGGGGGTCATTATTAATAAGCCCTAGTTAAACATGCAATATTCAGTAAATGAATGCAAAATGAAAAAAAAAAATACTTGAGTTGGAATTTGAATTTAATAGATGCATATGGGGTAAATATTTTGTAGAAAAATGTCCCAAGTCAAACTGAATAAATTTTTGGAAAAAAAACCATCAGTAATAATTAGCCCAGCTAATTTATTTTAAACATGTTAATTAGCAAACAAAGAAAAATATAGTGCTATTTTGATGCATTTCCAAGCATGGCATGTATAATTTTTTTGTATTTTAATGTTGAAATAAAGTATTAAAATGTCAGTAATTTGTACACTGTGTGATATAAGTACATTATAGGTATGAGTACTGTATGTTTATTGTTACTATGGTTACAATTTGTTTTAATGTGATATTTTGCCATGAGTTATGTGTTATTTATGGTGCTGTTCAAGGTTTTTTCACAAATTTTGTTACACATGCTGTGCCTATTTTGGAAAAAAATATCTTAGAAATGATAGAATTACAGCCAAGGTTTAATGTACATAATGCAGTGTTAAAGCACTTGGTGTTTTAAGGAGCCAAAACTCAGGTGGCATTTTACCAGTACTTGATCTTTATTTATTATTTTACTTGGATCTTGTGATCTCATTTTACTGGCCGCCACTTTGTTTCATTACTGGAGCTGACATTGGAAATGCTCTGTTTTCAGTTATATTTTTAGTAACATGAATATGATTTAAAAATTATTAAAAAAAAATGCAATTTAGTGAATGAAAATGAATTGTTTGAAATAAAAGCCATCCTGAGAAGTACCGTAGTATAAGATTGAAGGTACGTGTACCTGTGTTTATTGTTGCCCAGTGTAGCACATGTTGTGTAGTTGACTTAAGATAGTGCTGTATGTATATTTTTGAAGAAATGGGAGAAACTTATGTGAGATTGTCAATATTGCATACTATTGATATAAACAACGGGATGCATCTTTTTTTTCAGCACTTTTTGATTATGTTTTATTGTATATTTTTATCATAGTTTTAGGCGTAATCAAACAACAAGTTGTTTTACATCTTAATTTCAGGTTGAGTCACCAAAGAAATCTGGGTTGTGTATTTTAATCATGGCAATACATAATGGAAAAAAAAAAAAGATAAAAGTATCTTTTGATTTAAAGTTTGTACTTAACCTTATTTCAGAAAAGAATTATTTTTGGTGTCCATTGATTTAAATAAGTTGCATGCAGAAACTTGAATCAGAATAAATCTGATTTATACATCTTGTTACTATATGTAATGCTTTAATTTATGAATGATATGTAAATATCTTTAAATGATGGTAATTTGTGTAAGAAAGGTCTCCAGGTGTCAAAAAGAAGAGTATAAAATACTTTAGACCTGATACTGGATTATATGATTGTGCCATTTTGGATAGTTAACCAGTTTTATAGTGTGAATATATGAACATTGTTCCGTTTTGTAAAAAGGCATTTTTATTTAATGTTGTGTAATGGGAGATAATGTACAGCCATTTTGACAATTATAGAGTGGGTATTTTGTCAACTTTCATGTGGAGAAATGATTTGTCCAATTTTAAAAGAAATATGAAGTCCCATTCATTAAATAGCAAATTGACAAATCACTTTCCTGGGATATTTTTAGGGGAATTTGATCCTTGTTTTTATATTACATACGCAACTCAAGAGGAGAAGTGGAGTGAGACATTGGTGGAACAGAACATCTGTGTACTTCTAAGACTAAACTCTGAAGAAGGAAAAACTGAAAAAAAAAGCAGCAATACATAGACCCCCTTTAAAATTCCTCATTCATTTGTTTTATATGTCATTGTTACATGCAGATTTTTCTTTAATGCATTTCATGTTATTAAATACTGATGACAAAATAAACCAAAAAAAAAAACATGTTAATAAAAATCATTAAAATTAAACTGGTGTTCTGTTGTTTATTATATGAATGGCAGTTTGGTAAAGTTATATGATTGGTTCAATTTAATATTCTAGGATGGTGGTGGTAACTCTCTTTTTAAGATAAATCCGGAATATAGAGAAATGCTGTACATTGTAATAAAAAAAAAAAAAGGCATACATTTTACACAAATATCTGTGTTGTTCATTGGTATGTAGGAAAGGTTTGACAATTTTTAGCTCATTTATAGCAGACCTTAATCTTTTCTTAATCCCTTGTGTCTCATCATCCAGACTAAATGAGAATTAAGATTTGCGGTCAATCTGTCTATTAACACCCTCAGTCACCTGTGTTACATCTCTTGGTGCCATATGAGGTCAACTTGATTGATATTTTTAAATTTTTCTATTCACAATTTAGTAAAACAGTTGCAATGAACAATCTGATAAAATGATGGAAATTTTCTTGTTGGGAAAAAATACTCAATTCTTTGTCCTAAGTTTTTGCGAAGCGCTGACAAAAAAAAACAAGATGTGTTTATGAAACACTGATGTCCCCGTATGGCAGCTTATGGTGAAGGTTAAAGTTTCTCAAATGCAAGTCCAACTCCAAGGTCAAGAGATAAAAAATGTTGTAACCCTAAGAAAGGACCTGTGTCAATGGATATTCCTGGTAAATATGAAAGTCCAAGCACCAACCATTCAAAAGTTACGGTCAAGGTTTATATTTTCTAAAAGGGAGTCAAACTCCATGGTCAAGGGGTCAAAATTAATAGGTGCAGGTGAATTTCATAAGAAATGCACATGCAAAATATAAAAGCCCTAGCACCAACTGTTCAAAAGTTTGGTGAAGGTTAAAGTTTTTCAAAAGTAGGCAAACTCTAAGTTCAAGGTTGACATTGTTGAAATCCCAATGAAGGTCTTGTCACAAGGAATATACCTGTGAAATTTCAAAGTCCTTGTACCTACTGTTCAAAAGTTATGGCCAAGGTTAAATTTTTTTAAAAGTGGGTCAAACTCTAAAGTCAAGGTCAAAAATATTGACACACATGGTAAGGTCTTGTCACAATGAATACACGTGAAATATAAGAGTCCCAGCACCAACAGTTCAAAAGTGGTTGTCAAGGTTAAAGTAGGGTAAATTTTTGCAAGTGGGTCAAACTCCAAGGTCAAGAGGTCAAATATGTTGGTACCCAAAGGAAGGTCTTGTCACAAGGAATACACATGTGAAATATGAAAGCCATAGCTCCAACCAATCAAAAGTTATGGACAAGGTTAAAGTTTTTGCAGACAGACAGACAGCTAGATGGATGGACAGGGCAAGAACTATGCCCCTGCTGATTCCTCGATTATGGGGGCATAAAAAAACTGCTGGTGTTCCCTACATTTAAAGCATAGTCTTGATCATTGAAGGGTCCCTACATGAGTTTACTGTCTTGCATTTCTAATCAGGTGGTTCAAACTAACTATCAAAGCTGATAACCATGGTCCATATATCCCAAGCCACTACATTCCTCCCTCCTTGTCTTCCCGCTGGAAGACACATAACCCAGGTTCTTTAGTTTATGTCAGGACTCCTAGAAGACACACAACGTGGATTTTAGCTCATGTAAGGACTTTCACAAACAAGTCCAGGGGCACCAAAATATTTAAGGGGAAAATTTGTGGCTGGACCACATATCAGTCCAGGTCCCTGGCACTCTAACCACTAGCTATCCCAGCCAATATCCATATAACCCAAATCATTATAATATCTTTAATTAATCATCAAAAAAATTCAGATCCAAAGCTAGAATGTGGCCTTGGAATATCTATACTTCACATCGAGGTTAGATTTTTTTAAAAATCTGCTTAGGAATGGAACTGCTTTGAACACTTTAACCATCCAGAAAATATAGATGATGCATCAAGCAGATCTGGGAGAATGTATCCATGGTACATCATTCATGCTAGTACACAGAATAGTACTAGTACCTTTGTTTGCAAGGGCTTCTTTCTCTTGCTGATACAATATATATGTCATATATATTCATTTACTCTTGAATTCCCCATCCACTCAGAAAATTCAGACAGAGCAAGTTTTCTTATCAGTACACATATATCCAGGATTTGTTATATTTTCTCTATACACAAAAAACAACAGCAACAGTAGATTTCGTTATTTTATATGACTGACCTTCTGCTGATAACAATTTTTCCTATCGTTTTAATCAATATTTTACATATCATAAAAACAATACATGTTAGAATGATAGAAGGTCAAAATGTTGGGAAATCAGAAGAAAGCAAACACACGCTGTATTCAGAGAAAGATTATTGATATATCTGTATATGTACTATCAATATTCACTGTGACTATATGCTCAAATACACAAACAAGTTCAACAAGAAAGATCACTCTTCCAACAATAAACTGATGTGTATTTTCTCAGTGTTAATATGGAGATGTTTTGTGCCTTGGTAACAACGTCTGTAATAAATAATGGAATACATTTTTACATCAACTCATTCAAAGAAAATGGACAATATTGCATTACAAATAATAACAGGTCACAACAAATTTTAATGCAATTGCAACAAGATCGGAACACATCCATGCTTAGACAAAAAAACCAAAACAAAAAAAAAACCAAATTGTAAGGGTATGTGGTCCTATGATTCTCTGGCTACTGTAGATGGATATGTATCATATAACATGACATACAACTTTATATAATGCTAATATTTTAAATATGTCTCTGTAGGATTTTGAAATTTAATTCGTAAATTCATCTTCAACAAAAATCATTTTTTATTCCAAGGAAGACTTACAATGCATGTTTCAAGCCGATTGCAATGAGATAAATAATTTATTACACTGGGAGGGGAGGTGTGAGAGAATACACAACATATAACTTGTATCTTGCATTATCTTGGAGTACCAAGGGTAGATAACTTGTCTTTCTAATTTTAACTTAAACTGCAAATCATATCAATCTTAATACAAAATAAATATGTGTGACATTTATGGCAAAATATCATCAACATTAATTTTAACAGTTCTTTATCATACTTAAGGCTAACACAATTTAAGTTGAGGCAGCAGGCACAATGCCTCCTCTATCAGCCCTCTCCTGTTACTGGAATGAGTGTGCCAGATACACTTCATGATTCCTTCTTTTAATGGGACAAAGCTTCTTAAGAATGCCTAAAAACAGATACCCAGACACCACATGCAGAAATACTGAAAAAGTTAACATGTTCCGTCATACACTAATCCGTATTTACTGTGGATTTAAACTGAACAAATCATAACAAAAAGAATTCAGCTATCCATGATCTTAAGGATTCTATCACTAAATTTCTGCTTTTCTTGAGAACACAGACCTAGGAATATGCTAGACCACTGTCAAACTTTTTTTTGTACATTTTTTCTTGAAAGTAAGCAAAAAAATAATTTTGTTATATAAAGACCATCTGTATGGTTTCTGACCTATCACAGTCAATAATTTGGAACATTTATAAAATGCTCCATTTGCAAATAAAAAGGTCTAAGGAAAATCCCAGACAATAAACAAAACTAAGCTAAGACTTCCTCCTCAGACATTAATATTCCCCCTTCCAAAGGCCTGGGATCCAAGTCACACACAGAACACATGCATCCATGATTAACAATGTTTTATAAATGACTCACAGTCAACTACATGCCATATATATTCATGGTTTCTTATAAACCCTAAAAAAAATACCGGTAAGATTTTTATCAATTTTAAAAAAAATGACTGCAATACTGTAGATTCCTTTTCGTCAAAAGCAGAAAATTTATTCTTGTATATTTCATGAGAAGTGAATTGAATTTTGGTTTTACTTAAATTATCTCTATCATAAATCATTGCCCTGTGTTTCTTTACTTAAGTTAACTCTATCATATATCATAAATTCTTACAATTTAACATAGATAAACAATCTTAACTCAAGTAAATGAAGAGTCTTTCAGGAATCTACAGCATAATAATTACATAAAAACAAAGTATATTCACTTTAACTCACTACAAAAAAAACCTACACTTCTCATTGAAACAGAATTTTTCCAGCAATAAAAATTAAAATCAAATGAAATACATGTATTACTAAAAATCATTATTTTAGCAAAAGAAATGAAAAATTTCCACAACAAATAACCATTCAAAAAATAATGTCAAGGACAGAAATGGGAAAAAGGGGATCACAGATCATCTTAAAATTCTCCATCATTGTGATCGATGGTCCTTAAGGTCCAGGTATAATCTGAAAGACTGTCTCCATATTTAAATCATGTCTATTCCTGTCCAAAGCCTTCAGTCTCTTCAATGGCCATTGTTAATTTTTCAAATAATTGTTCATAACTTCTATAAGGAGGTAAGTCTAGTCTGTTAAAGCATGTGTGACTCCTAGGTAACCAGGTTTCCTTGCCAACCTTCTCTATACAGAATCTCTGTGGTCCATTACTCCCTGAAAAACAATTAGAACCTCTAGTTAGATATCCACTTACACTCTCTGTTTGTAGGACACAGATTCTGGTACTCATTTATGAAAACTTACATTCTTGTCTTAAAAAGTGAAAAGTACTGTATGTTTCAAATATGGTATCACAAGGGAAATAATGTGTTGTGTAATATGTGACAGAGGAAATTTGAAAAGAAACAGAGGTGATGATATTGGGGAATCAATGTATTTTTTTAATTCTTTAAACATTTGAAAAAATCTCTTTTGATAAAGTAAGAGCATGAAGTTGAAAGCTGATTACCCATTAGTTCTGCAAAGCCTCCAACAGGTAGTCGACACGTTCCTGTGACAAACTGCAGTAAACGAATCTTCTTCTCATTGTCAATATCCCTTACAAACTGAAATTTAAAGAGAAAACATTGTAGCATTTTAAGAACCAAATATGGCCCTCATTTAATATGATAATTTTTCATTAAAAACCCCATTAAAATCTAGCATTGAATATATACCAAATCATGCAAAAACAGTTAAAGAAGGGTGAAAATTAGCACAGTTTCCAAATTTCCTAGAATTTTCATCAAATATTTGATACTTTTAACCAAGAAATAATTGCCTAGTTCCGACAGCCAAGTATGAAAAGATTTTTTTAAAAATACATCACCAAAGACTTCTACAATACATATGGACATGAAATAAATCCCATCTCAAAACAAGATGTTTTTGTAAAATATCCCATTGGTAACAAACTATCAGGTCCACCCCTTTGGATCCACCAGTGAATTCTTACCTTCCAGAACCAGACAACCTGTTTGGAGTTTCTTTGGTAATGCCTGTATATTGTGTTCCTTTCCCAGTCATCAACATCTATCTCCTGCATACCACACAGCATCAACTAACAAAGCAAACACAACTCTGTTAAGGGGAGTCAACTCCAACTATATTCTGTGAAGACTTTTACCACAATACAAAGTTTTCAACTTTAATATACACATCAATGGGCATTTTCTCAATCCAAAATCAAATTTTAAAAGAATAATTTATTCACATTTTATGAACCAGAACAAAGCTGTAAAGTTCAAATCATTGATAACTTGCATCATTATTTAAAGAACACAATCGAAATGAGTTTGAGAGAAGTTATTTAACACAAGAATTTTTGAAGAAAAATTAAGAAACAGTCTGTTCAGTTTCATTTCTTAAAATTAATAACATGAAGTATCAATAAAATGTGTAAAAATAGAAGTTAGGCAACCTGCACTCCACAACAGTCAGCTATGTGTTATTGTGATCCTTGTAAAATCTGTTCTGTTTCTTATGCATAGAAAATTAAGCTAACATACCTCCAGCTCTCTCTCATCAAAGTACTGTAGCCACTGTAAGGGCACCACCTCACTGAAGCCATCCAAGAATGCCTTGCTCTGCTCCTCCACCCCACGAGAGAAGCGCCAATTCGTCATCAAGCTACCAACACAAAGTAAAACATTGATTTTCACACAGTCAAAACAGAGTACAGTCAAAGCTGTATTAAGGGACATTCAGTATTAAGGGAAATTCTAATATGGTCACATATGACAGGTAGTCTATTAAAGCAGGGAATCATATCCATGAATAAATAAATATAAATGCAGGTACTTGTTTTCCTGTTTCCTGTCCTTAATCATAGTTTTGAATGTATTAACTCTTCTTGATAAGTAAAACACATTCCATAATTATTTGTACAAATTAATACTTATTCCTAACTGCATCAGGAGTGATTTTTTTCAAAGAAAATCAAAATACATGTAATAGATAATCAAAACACTACAATTATCATTAAGAAAAATCAAGGTTTTTTTATGCACAAACATACACTACTCTAAATCATATTTCGGAGTTGATCTACAGTTACTTTTAATATGCTTCTTATATTTATAAGTTTCTATGTGATACCAAATTACACTGTGAAATATTCCTTTTATGTGTACTGTTTTGCCAACTGGGAGGAGAGGTAAAAGTAAGCATTCTATTTTTTTGTTACTAAAATCAGCCCTGAAAGTCACTAAATTCAGGGACTTAAACTGCTTTAGGACAGAAAAATGATGACCGTTTGTCAATTTAAACAGGGAGCTGCTGAATGCAGGTAAAATATAATGAAAATTTCTCAGGAGGAAATTTAATGGTTGCATATGACAGGAAGTCGCTAAATACAAGTGGCTTCTATGACAGGTTTGACTGTACAATTTTCTGACCAACTCCAATATTTCTTATAATACCATCCTCAATCTACATGGCTGACAACATAAATCATAAGGTGACAATATTCCTCTTACTCTATATATTCCTCTTTGTTTTCCTCCGTGACTTTGATGTCAGAACCCCCCTCTTTCAGATCGTGTTGTTCTACTTTACCCAAGATCTCAAAGTCAGCAGTAAAGTACAACTCAAGTCCACATTCCTCGATGTCATTATCCCTGGAATCAAAATTACAGCCTGTTACATAAATAATACAGACAGTTAGAATATTAAGTCACATTCAGTACATTCTCAAACGGCTTTCCTATTCTATTGTCCTCTGCTTTCCCTAAAAAATGGGGGATATTAATTTGACTGTCCATTCATCTGTATGTCTGTCAGTCCATCTGTAATGTCTTAGTTTCCAGATGATATCTCTGAAATATCTTTAGCTTTTGCAATGAAATTTTATATCATAACTCCCTAATGTCTGACATATTGCATAAAATGGTTTGAGGTGATAACTTTTCTTTTAGCTTTTGCAATGAAAATTAGGTGTTAACTTCTCTTTTAGCTTTAGCAATGAAAATTTAGGTGATGACTCTTACAAAAGACATTTATCTTGAGGCCAGAAAGTTAAAATGAAATGGTTCATATCAATATAGTCTCTCTCATAAACACAAACCCTGCTGATTTTGAGGTGAAGGTCAAAGGTAAATGTCACAAACATTTTTTGCTACAATTTGTTTTTATTATCTCTCATAAACTTTTGTCCTTATGCGAGGACATAAATTCCCTGATTTAGCTTATTACTTAATGAATATATGCAAGCATTGTGAGTATTCTATCAAGGTACTCAAAACAGACAAGTAAATGAATTGCCTTACAACAAGTTATTTCAGCAATCGGCAAATTTAATGATTTTATCCTAAAAATTATTAGCTTAATTAATTTGTTAGCGATCTTGAGGATAACTTTTCATTTTCATGGACAATATGTGACTGAATTAGTGACATTTATTTTTAGCATTGTCAAGACTCTCGCTAATAATGCCAAAATTAGATGGTTGCTAAAAATTCGTTTTAAACAGTATATATCTGAATTGCCAAGCAGTGGAGAAGATGAGAAATATTAAGAGAGTAGCAGTATAATATATACCATACCTTATCCATACTAAAGAGTTGTAAAACTCGGGGTCTATCGTTTCTATATCCTTAAGATATAATTTTTTGCTTAACATTCTCTTGTAGAAGGGTAGTGTAAACCCACTGTCTATAAACTTTCCATGATAAAGTGCCTAGAAAACAGAAGATGATTTTTATCATGAAATCCAGTAATTTTTCTTGCTCTCTTACATGAAAAAATCAACATTCTACAGTCCATTGAAGCATAATCTTTTTTTCTCAGCTCTAAAACAATCAGTTTAAGCATTTTTATAAGATCCTTTTTTTTCTTCCTCTAAGAAATACAACTAATGAACAGAAGATTTCTATATAATAAAAATAATCCAGTAAAAGTCTGAAAAGACACAGACAGGGTATTTACCATGGCAATGAACCTGCCGATGAACCTGAAGTATACCAGGTGATCAGGGTTAACACTCGAGGCTGGATTGATCTGTAGACAGTAGTTATTAGTGCTGGCATACTCAAACAGACAGTACATAGGGTTCAGAACATCATGTGACAGGTGGAAAAACCATTCTCTGCAAAACAATACCAGCATTTTAATATCTTTTTATCTCAAAATTAATTAGTCTGAAACATTTTTTCTGCAAGTTCAGGCCTTTCAAAATGTGCCAGTACCTGGTACATTTACACAGCTGTTATCATAAGTGTACTGGCCAAAATATTCCTTGGAAAAAAATTGATAACATTTTAAATTAAAATCACTTACACAAGGTACCTCCTATTTTTGAAAAAAAGTACTGCCTGTTTCTAAACTTTTTGAAAGCCTCGAAGTCTCAGCTTATTTTAGCTATTAAACTCAGCAAGTAATTTATATCAATGTCATACTACGAATGGACATAAATTGTGATTGTAATTAACTTAAGTTTATCAATAATCTTTAAAGAAAACCTATGAAATTTGTTTAAAAGAGAGGTTATACAGTGCATTAGAGGACCCACAAATAGGAGTCCCTATATCTAGCTTACCTTGCCACGCCACCATAATCTAAGCCCTCCTCTCCCTTAAATATAATGTATAGTCTCCTCCTCAAATCAAAAGGCTGTAGTCTCATTATCTGCCAACACAAGATCTCAGTTATTGTTTATAGCTACCCATCAATTCTAGAGTACACACGAGGGTTGTCCCAAAATTCCATAGACAAGCATGGTTTTGTAGGAACCCGATGTCATACATTAATGAAACTTTGTACATACATAAAACTAATAATATCCCATACATTTATGGACAAATATTGACCAGTTACACATTTAAACCCTATTTAAATACAATATTTCAGTGTCTGGTGCAAGAAGGCGGCGCAGTACCCATAAATTGCAATTAAAAATCGATATATGATATTTAAAATTTTACGAAAAGGTAGTTAATACAAAGAATTATGAAAATAGAAATAAAAATTATTGATATTGCATTGATAACTACCTCTCCTCCAATTCTGTGGCATATGACTTGATTAATATGAATTTTATAACATTTTAAATGCACCGGTTTAAAATCTGACTTGTTGAAAAATGGCGGTTGCGATGAAAACGGTGGCACACTAGACTCTGATCAAATGTTCTAACTTGGATTCACTCCTACAGAAATGCAGAAGTTATAAATGTCTGGTACGCATAGAAATGTATTCCGGTCCTTATTATATCAAAATTGTCCAAGTATGTGAAAAAGCTAAACTTAATAAGAAACAAGCCGAAGAGAGGGGCAAGAAATCGTTGTCAAAGTGACATTTTTGCAACTCCATTTGCGAAGACATAGGGGAAAAACCCTTAGAGACATGGGGCTTTTAAAATCATTATTATTGGATACATATGCATGTACATACTTTGTTTGTATTTTCTAATGTTAATTTATATCATAGCAATTATGATATTTTTCATTTATTTCTACAATCTTTATATTGAAGTAAAGGACTTGATTCTTGTAATAAGTATATCCACCCCAGTCAAAATTGGTGACGTTAAGTGTATCTTTTTTGACGTCGGAGATTGCTCTGGGTGTTAAGGAATGGAAATACTGAAATTGTAATATCTCAAATTGTTTTCAAACAATCGTGTTAAAACTTCGTAATTTACCAACCAATAACATACTTCATCCACCAAGAAAATTTTACAAAGATACGTTCATTTTTGTAAAAAATATGGGCTCAGTCTACGGAATTTTGGGACAACCAGGTTACAACCCTCGTACTTCTGTAAGCAATTAGTTTACTCAGCAGTGCAAAAAGCAGATTTTTTTTTTTTTTCAAATGCAAAGACATGAATACAAGAACTTGCTTCAACTAACATCTGGTAATATTTTATTTTGTAAACTTTCTACCATCTGGATAAATGTGTTGCATACTCAGAGAACTATATACAGGAAGCATATAGAGATAACTGACATTTCCTGTGTTTGTTCCTGGAGCTAATGATGTACTGGATGTAACTTTCAGAAACAGAATTTTATAACACTTTTAATGTATAATTGCTATGAGAGATATCATCATGTCTAAGATACCTGCTGAAATGAATCTTCAAATAGATTATCCCTGGACACTGTGATTTTGACATGGCCTGGGAGAGCGTTGGAGGTACACAGGTATCGGAACTGTCCAAGCTTCCATCGGAAACTTCTCTCATACTGTAAAGGCACTCCATAGGCTCCCTTAGGTCTGGAATTATTAAACATATAAAGTCAGGTCCAGGTAATTTCTACACATTCTGATTGACAAAGGAAATTGGGGATGTTCTTAGAAAATCAACTGAATCTCTTGTCAGTTTATCAGTTAACATAAACGAACTGCACAGCCTCCCCACATTCATTAACTAACTCATATGCTTAATTTTCATAATCACTGATTTAATGGTGCAGTACAATCAATGACCTTGTCAAAGATAATTTAATCCATCTGCTACTATTTCTCTTAGGCTTGCTCAAGTCTCCATGTTTTAGTTCTCTCTTTTCATACTTTTTATCTATGTTTGATAATATTTAACTATGACAGAGAGCAGAGGACAACAAGACAAAATGAACAAAGAATTATTTAATTAATTTAAAAAAAAACATAGAGACTTGAGCAAGTCTATATTTCTCCCAACAACTGACAAAAGAAAGGCTACACTTCACTGAACAAATACAGGGCATTGTTATTTATTTTCCATCAATTCTGGATAATTCCCTGAAATATTATGTTATAATAAATGCCCAAAATGAAAATAATAAAAAAAAAATGAAAAATAAGTTCTGCCCCCAGTGAGAGTCGAACTCACGACCCCTGGTTTACGAGACCAGTGCTCTAACCACTGAGCTATAGGGGCACTTCAACTCTCCCACAAGTAATTCCTGTATAGACTACTAGGCAGCCAATTATCAGCTGGTTTGCCTTTAATACCTGTGTTCAGGAGTGTATATAAATATAAGTTCACAGTATTCATACAGGTAAAGGTAAATCTCTTATCACAATAGTGGCTAAAAATAGCCTATGGCATGACTGCTATACAATGGGCTCTTGTTAAGGCATAGTGAGGCAATGAATCATATACACCATTTAATCAATACAGCGAACAAACAGTCAGTCGTAGCTTGAAAGGCGGATTACTGTATACCGTCTACATGTAAGCCTCCATAGCTCAGTGGTTAGAGCACTGGTCTTGTAAACCAGGGGTCGTGAGTTCGATCCTCACTGGGGGCTGCATAACCAAACAAATATTTTTTTCCCCCCTGTTTTGGTAAATTACATAACTTACTAATAAATGAAGTAAAAGTATTTCTGTCATACGAGACAAAAAAATCATCCCTCTTAACAAGAATGACTTGAAATATTTTTGTCCAACTCAAACTATGTCATTTTCTATACATGTTACGAGTTTTTGTTTTTATTTCCTGAATGAAATTGCAGTAATAAATTTCAAGCTGATAGAACTTCTACACTTAAATTAGTTGAAACATTTCCTTGGTAGTTATTATTTTTAAGTGTTAGAATTTGTTCTGTATCCAAAAGTTATTAGATTTCTTTTTTTCACATCAACATAAACTGTGTCTATTAAGTTTCCTAGTATTTACCTCTAAATATTTTATAATTTTTCTGTAACCACAAGACATTCCACTCTGAATTAAAATGTTATTAATGGGAAGATTAAGAGATCTAACCCTAAATCCTCATCAAAAAGATCTCTCCCATGTGTTCATTCACTTAATATAAATTAATCTTTTCTGATTGGAAGTTACCTCCTTTATGTCTCATTTATGTTTTTCATCAAAGTTACCCCCCTTTACACAATATGGCCATTTTCCCTCTTCAATTTTTGGAAACAGTGTTTTTATCTTTTTTGAATTTCATTACAGCAAATGACAATTCAAAACAAATCAATGAATTTTGTTTTTCAATATTATCAAAAATAATTTTGCATGTACGGATGAATTTAAAAAGTTTAAATTTTCCCTCATTCCACATTTACTGCATTGTTAGGAGGATCATTTACACGTGTGAACTCAGCAGAGAGTGGGAGGAAATTCCTGATGTCAGATTGTAAATAGGAAAAGTTAAAGTGTCATATAATACAGCATTGTTTCCCATTACATGTAACATGATTGTAATCCAGGAGTATAATATAGTAATAATATGTTTACATGTAAGAAGTACACATTGTCAATATAGCTATAACTTACATTTTGGGTATGATATCAACTTACACAACTATTTTCAGCAATGAAAGATATTAGCCTACAGAACGTATGTTGTAACATCATAAAGCAAAACCTTTATCATCTTTTTACTGGTTTGGAAACAAACTGAGGACAAATTGTTCCATAAGTCTAATGACCTTTATGTAACTTAAAGTTCATCAGAGTCAAAAATATGCAATAGTTATACAACAACAACAACAGAATCTTAAGGTTCTCTGGCCACATCATCTGAGAAAAAGCTGCCACATTTCATGTTTTTAACTGGATTATTTTCAAGGAGAAAGTTGCTTTCTGGATAACTTTTTTTTTCCCCTATTCCCAAAATTTATAGTAATCAATGAGTTGCTATGATAAAAAAGCAAAGGAAAAAAAAAGCCACATAAGAAAACTTTTTAAAAAAAAATAATTCTTAGATATCCATTAATAGATTTAATACTCTATGTACTCACATGCAAGTCAGATTTTAGGGAGTTAAAATTTTTGACAAAAACTGTTTGTCCACCTTATAAACAAGTGCTAGATACATCATTTTTTCAGGAAGAGGAAGATGAAATTTCATAATTTTGTAAAAACCCCACTGCTAATTGCTTATACAGGTGTGAACTTAAATCATCAGATTTTTTAACGCAGAAAATAAGTGTTTTCAAATAAAAATGATCTTATTTTTGCTTAAATTATTGATAAAATATCATAAACGATAGATGTCATATTCCAGAACATACTTTTAAACACATGTAAAAACAATAGAATACCGATCTAAAACTGGCAACAGATTCTGGCAACATACCATTCTGACTTATAAGCGGGTCAATGGTAAATTCCTCCAAAATATACATTGGGACTGTATCATGATACATGTTGCGAAACTTCACATAATCATTTATATAATTTGTGTCTCTTTTCTGAGGTGGGAGGTTCTCCATCATAATGTGAAAGGATAAAAGGTGCAGATTATCTCTTCAGTTCACAAATACATTATGAAACATTTTAGTTAATAAGTTCTGAACACAATAAAAGCAGCATAATTAAATAAAGAAAATCACTTTTATGAGGTCGAACTAAAAAGAAATAGCACATATTGTTTAAATTGTTATATATTGTGATACACAGGTATACAATTTTTGTACAGTACAGTACATTTTTTATTTGTGCATTGTGATATACTGGTATATCAATACACCCTAAAATCTAGTGTTGTAAGTCATCATCAACTGTTTAAGTCAATATATTTTCTCTATAAAATATAGCTATATACAAATTTATATATGTTTTCTATATGAATGGGGTAATTTTTGGAAGAAAAAAAATTATATAAAAGCACACACAGTTCCCTATTTCATTTTAATACAAATATATACCATTGTATCATGATCAACAGTGCCTACTATTAAAGCAGTAGCATCAATTGGAACTGTGCAATATGTGACATATTACTGCCAAGAGCTTAAAATAAATCCATCAGATAATTTATTGCAACAATTAATTTTCCTGACTTAAATATATACTTTCTTAGCAACCTGCAAATTCATAATCATTTTTTTCAAACACATTTGATCAGAAAATCTGCTGACCTTTGACTTAAAAATCAGTGAGTTCATCTACTTGTCAACCTGTGTATGACATTTTATAACTATGAAGCAAAGGATTCTTATAATACATCAAAAATCAACTTTGGTAAATGGACAACTAGATAACTTTTTTACCTGAAGATCAGCACAGGTCATTTATTATTTGGGTAATTTGTGTATAACGCTTGATTAAGATCACATAAAAGGTTCTCAATATATCAGCTAGAAACCATTATTCTGATCAGCTCAAAACTGCAAAGCTACTGTCAGTCACTTAATTTGTGTGAACTTTATTTTCGCATATTTACCCGAGACCTCTGATCACAAAGATCTTGTACATCTAAACATACTCACCCTCTGCTCCGCCCTCCCCAGGGATCTTTTACATTATATATATTCACCCTCTCCTGGGGTCTTGTACATTATATATACACATCCTTTGCCCTGCCCTCCCTTAGGATCTTGTACATTAAATATACTCCCCCTTCCCTCTCTGGATCTTGTACATTACACAGAAAAACAAGGCTATAGCAACACACTTATAATGAATTTATGATTACAGCCAAATGATTATCATTCCCGGTAGTTTTAAAACCGAATGTGAACTGAACAGATATAATAAATTACCTTTATAATGAATCAAAATTGTTGATCTCTGGCACTTTGCTATAAGCATGTTTTACTGTATATACACACCCTTTACCCTGCCCTCTCTTGGGATCTTGTACATTAGATATACTCACCCTTTGCCCTGCCCTCCCCTGGGATCTTGGAATGTTGTTGACTTTGTGTTATGATCTACAAAGTATCTCACACCATCAGCGGTATATCTCATCTCCCAGCCCTCAGGCAACGGGTCCTCCTGTATAATTCTGTGGGGACAAAAACAAAATCATAGTTACTCTAAATGCTCATGGAAAAGTTTGCAAATTAACTACTTCAAGTATAATGAATATTTTTAAATGAATATAAGACAAAATCGTATGATGTCTACTGCATCATTCACTAACACAAGACAAAATGAACGGAACAGCTACATGGGGAAAACAATCCTTGTAACAGAACACAGACAGCTTTGTACATATACAAGCACACCCGTTCCAACATGAACTAATTCCCTTCAATTTCATTGGAGGGGCTTCTGATGGTCATGAAAGGATATTTGAAAACATGTTTGTTTATTGCTGTAGTGACTTCCCTTTGAAAAGTAATGAAATTTTTTTCTGGAAAACATGTATCAACAATGATGGCATGCATTTGCTAGCAATAATTGGGGATACACACTCTCTAGCAACAATTTTTTGATTGTTGGCTACATCACTAATAAACCAGTGCATGACAATGCCCTTTTCTCCACTTTTTTTTTTAAAAAGATATCCTCAAGTCTTTGACACGATAGACAATATGACTTGTCTTTAGACTTACCCTTGTGTCCTGGGATCTTCCCATTGTGTTGTTCTGTTTTTGTGATTCACAAAATAGACACGCCCATTGGGATCTATACGTTTCTCTGCAAAAATAAGAACATATATGTTATTTAGCAAGAACAACTAAACCTTTACACAAGTTAACTCTTTGCAAGTTTCATGTAACAAATGATAGGTATACTAATGGTAAGAGTATTTCATCAAAGGTATATATTTTTTTTTAAATCAATATATATATGTGGAATGAAAAACAAAATTATTATATTAATCTATAAGACAACTGACTGACGGTAACACCACATATTTTTCTATTTCATTTTTTTTTCAATAAAAGATGACATGATGTTCTTTTTTTTAATGGCACATTTTTGAAAAAATAAACACCAATCATAATCAAACTAATACTGCCAATTCATCAAACTCACCCCATCCCTCAGGTAGAGGTCCAAGCGGATCATTATCGGGGGCCGCAGTTGGGGCTTGTGGAAACAGAAACCGGTTCTGTAAGTGTTCCAAAGCAATGTTACGATTATTGCGGTGGTCCTGCCACGCGCTGTAATTGTTTAACATGTCAGTGTTGGGCCTTTGCCACGTTGTAGTTCGTGTGTTGTGATCTACGTAGTAAACACGGCCACGGGGGTCCACGCGTCTCTCCCACCTACAGGAATTATACAAGGATCTCATTCTTATATTGGTTATACAATGTCATTTACAGTGGCAACCAATAATTTTAAAATCAATATACCTATTTACTGTAAAAGTAATTGAAATATTATAATTCCAAATGATTAAATAGTTAGAGGATGAATATTTCATTAAGACATTTTTAGTACTGACCCTGGAGGAAGTGGCTGTGGTCTCTCCCATGTAGTGGTGCGTGTGTTGTGGTCAACATAATAACTACGTCCATGAGCATCAGTTCTCATCTCCCAACTAAATAAAACCAATAAAACCAAGATTTAATTTAACAATAAAGGTATCAGTGATCTGAACATTTTTCATTCCTAAAAAATATTTTGAAAAAGTCTCTTACCCAGCTGGGAGTGGTTCGGTACTAGTGGACTGATTTTGCTGGGCCTGGGTGGGGCTTCCTGCAGGACCCGTATTTCCCTCCTCTGAAGAAGTTGCTCCCGCTGTACCATTTGCTACAGGCACTGACCCATTCTGTTGTGCTACTGGTGTTGTACCTGAAGAACCTAAACATTTTTACAATGATAAAGAATAACTTACAAGCCAGGGTTCGACACTAATGGTAACCCACTAGCAAAGGACAACTGAAAATTGAGGTCTGACTACTAATCAAGTCATCAAACTTATTCTGTGGGCTACTGAAATTTTATATACAAAACACATTCACTTTAAGCAATTGTAAAGATTGATTAAAGGAGGTATAAATTTTGAACTAGTTTTTGAAGTTCAAGGAATAACGTTTGAATTGTCATTGTAAGATAGATGAGTTGTGATTTTTTTTTTAATTGTCCAATGTTATTTTGGTCTAACCTATGAAAAATCTTTATCATATAAGTGTCTGAAACTCCGATGTAAAAACAGACAGAGAATACAAGCAATGCAGTGATATAGATGACAATTATGTACGAAATAACGATAAGGAAAAATGTCTTTAAATACATCTATAAAGCAACATAAAATACATCCAGAATGCAGGATTTGTTTTATTTTTGAAAATTTTGGAAGCGGCCCCCTGTGCCCCCAGCAACAGGAAGGAAAAGCCTCCTCCTGACCTATCCCCCTGTTGCTTTGCAAATTGGCAAGCAGCCAAAGCCTGCTGAACAACTAATTCATGAACAGGGCTAATAGGAATTAAAAACTGCTAGCCCTGTAGTCTACTATGGTTTTAGTGTTGAATCCTGCAAACTATTCTACTTTGAGAAAAATATAGAAAACTGCTGCTTCACAAGATATCTATTTCACTTTCAACCCCTAACAATTCAATCTTTCATAGAAAAGTATTACTGTACCAAATGATAGATGTATTATCTATTCAAAAACATTTTTGGTTTTGTTACTTTATTAGAGGAACACCTAAACAATAAGGATATGTATTCAATATGTAAAGCAGAATGTAAATGTACAATGTTTGTCTTACATGTAAAAAGTAAAATGTAAATGGACAATATTGGACAAAGCAAAAAGTAGAAAGTAAATGTACAATGTTGGACTTACTTACATGTAAAGTAGAACTAAATGTACAATGTTGAACTTACTTACATGTAAAGTAGAATGTAAATGTACAATATTGGACTTACTTACATGTAAAGTAGAAAGTAAATGTACAATGTTGGACTTACCTACATGTAAAGTAGAAAGTAAATGTACAATGTTGGACTTACTTACATGTAAAGTAGAATGTAAATGTACAATGTTGGACTTACCTACATGTAAAGTAGAAAGTAAATGTACAATGTTGAACTTACTTACATGTAAAGTAGAATGTAAATGTACAATTTTGGACTTACGTACATGTAAAGTAGAAAGTAAATGTACAATGTTGGACTTACTTACATGTAAAGTAGAATGAAATGTACAATGTTGGACTTACCTACATGTAAAGTAGAAAGTAAATGTATAATGTTGGACTTACTTACATGTAAAGTAGAAAGTAAATGTACAATGTTGGACTTACTTACATGTAAAGTAGAAAGTGAATGTACAATGTTGGACTTACTTACATGTAAAGTAGAAAGTGAATGTACAATGTTGGACTTACTTACATGTAAAGTAGAAAGTAAATGTACAATATTGGACTTACTTACATGTAAAGTAGAAAGTAAATGTACAATATTGGACTTACTTACATGTAAAGTAGAATGTAAATGTACAATGTTGGACTTACCTACATGTAAAGTAGAAAGTGAATGTACAATGTTGGACTTACTTACATGTAAAGTAGAAAGTAAATGTACAATATTGGAATTACTTACATGTAAAGTAGAAAGTAAATGTACAATATTGGACTTACTTACATGTAAAGTAGAATGTAAATGTACAATATTGGAATCACTTACATGTAAAGTAGAATGTTAATGTACAAAGTTGGACTTACATGTAAAGTAGAATGTAAATGTACATTGTTGGACTTACATGTAAAGTAGAATGTAAATGTACAATATTGGACTTACTTACATGTAAAGTAGAAAGTAAATGTACAATGTTGGGCAATGTAAAAAGTAGAATGTAAACGTACAATATTGGAATTACTTACCTGTAAAGTAGAATGTAAATGTACAAAGTTGGACTTACTTAGTACATGTAAAGTAGAGTGTAACTGTACAATGACTTACTTGCAGCGGCTGATGGTGTGGCCTGATTGCTAGAGCTGGCTGTGCCCCCTGACTGGGTATTTCGTTTGGGAGGAGGAGGTACAGGAGGGCCCCTCCTGTTCCTGGACCCAGAGGCATTTGAATTACTGGAAACTTGTCCTAAACAAAAGGAAATTAATTGGTAGAGAATAGACTGTACACTTGATTTAAATGTATATGAAATACTGATTCTCACTAAAAATCATTAATGTTGTGAAAAAAATTTCCCTGTATGGATTAAGTTATAAATGCATCTCAGTGTGAATCATTAACCAAATTACCCGAAAATAATTGTGTGCATGAATCATTGTAAGCATAATGTGTTTAATTTGACAAGTTATCAAGCAAACTTTACCTCAGAATTCTTCCGAATTAAAATAAAAAGTTTAAAAATTTCAACAAACTGAACTACTGATATGAGGAAAATGAAACTTTTAGATTACTAAATAACACCTTATATCTTTTATCATGCTTTCTGCAGCCAGAAGAGCAGTAATGAAAATAAGCATTCAATTAAAAAAAACATGCAAACAAATTCTTGATGCCTGGTATGAAGTAATTTAGTTAACTCTGCTGAAATTTACAAAACTATAGCTATATATTGGAATTTCTTTGTAGAGACATGTTTGTAATTGTAAGTATTTATATTGGAATGTTCACTCCACAAAGCAGTTTATTTGTAGAAACAAGGCATAGCAAAGTCTTACTGCTAGCTCAGATTTATTTGGTTTGAAATAACATGCAGAATATTAGAATATCTATCTTCTAGTCGACAGAAAAATGATTGTCATCCTCCAGTTTTTACAGATGTTCCTTATTTCCTTTGGGCAGCCTAATATTAAGGTTAAAATATATAATATATGTAAAACATCTGTTAGTTCTCATCTTTAAGAATACAGATCTGGCCCAGGGCAATGACTAGAAATCTGGATTACAAAATGCAAAAATATCTGCAACTTTGATCAGATGCTGTAATATCTTGGGTTATGGATTAGGCTGGGTAGTAAAATGGCAGGCAACAATAAGAAGTAATTCTGTTTTCTTTTTCGGCTTCAATCATTCCGATACATCAGTAAGCAACATAACGAGTAATCAGCTATTGGTTCATCTCACCTTTATTTCTTCTTTCATTACGACTAGCTAAAAGTACGTAAAAACAATCACTCAGTCCCCTTGTGAAATACTGGACAGTTGTGACTATAGACAATATGTACTTCCAAGTCCTTTGTCTTACAAAATCAACCGAGATATTTAAGATTACAGCAAAGCAGGATTTAAATCTTCTACTGTGAAGTATCAAATGAATAAAATTCTGTGCTTTGAATACACCATTTGACCTATTTACTTCTATATTGCCCTGAAAATTCACCCTGCATGTCAGTGTGTCACACTATAACATGCAAAGTTAAGGTTTATCAATAATGAAATCAAAACCAGCATTTACAACAAAAATTTACCAGCTGGTGATATAATCTATCAAATTCAATCTTATCTACATCACTGTTATTTTCCTGTTGTTGTTTCTAATATTATACACTGCTTTCTGAAATAAATTCTCAGCACAGATCTGTTACATCAACTATTATAATGAAATTTAATAGTCAACACTAAATCTACCATATTTTCTGGGGATCCTGTACAACACAATAAAATTCCACTAAATAAATAAGTTCTTTTTTTTTTAAATTACACATATCTGATGTCATAGTAGGGAAAACTTATTGAATGTTTATTCTACTTAACAAATAAGTGTTTAGTCTAAGAAATAATAATTTGGATTTAGTGAAACATGCAGAGAAGACATAATTCTTCAATTCATAATGAATTGGCTAAAAAAAAACATCAGAAATTTGATTGTTAACATTCCATATTGCAGTGGCCTCTCCCCAACATGCACCTAAATCTCCTCTCCCTCTTCCTGAGCTCCCCTCTCCCCCCCGTGCTCTCAGATCCCCTCTCCCTCAAATGTCCAGATATCCCCTCTCCCTCAAGTTACCCCTATTGCCACCCTCTCATGTGCCCTTCTATCCCCTCTCCCTCATATGCCCTGAGGTTGCTCTCACTCACAAGCCCTTATATTGACCCTCCCCTCCCCCTCACATGGCCTGACATCCCTTCCCCTCACAAGCTCTCTGTGATTGGCCTTGAGAATACCTCAGCCTTTCATTCCCCTGGATTGCCTCTTCCTTACAAGCCCTCATACTGCCAGTGTTTTATAGGATTTTCTAATAACTCACCATTGGTCTGTCTCCTCTCGTTTCTCTTAGGAAATCGGGTCATGTTGACTTCCATCCCATTGAAACTTAGACTGACTTCCCCAGTTTTTCCTTTTCCATCAAGTTTGATCTCAAAAGACTTTGTTATATTACTTACTGAAACAAAACAACGTCCAATCTTATTGTATATACATACTAGGCCAACCTCAGGTAGCTTCTTATTTTTTTTCATAAAATAATGAAATAACCTATTTAAAAATAATTTTCTGTGATATGATGATACATACATTTGCCTTGAGCTTCCAGAAGCATATTGTACAGTTCTATCGAGGCCTGTCCCAGGAGGGAGGGGGCTCTGATGGTGTTCTGACTCTGGACTCGGACATCTAGCCGGGAGTAGGGGGTAACCAACCTAAAACACAATATAAATGTTCAACATTGTATAGTTACCAGCCTAATCACAAAATACAAGTGTGACACTGTATAGATACTATCGAACTGGGAGTAGGGGGTAACCAACCTATAATACAACATACATGTGTGATACTGTATAGATACTATCGAACTGGGAGTAGGGGGTAACCAACCTACAACACAACATACATGTGTGACATTGTATAGATACATGTACTATCAAACTGGGAGTAAGGGGTAACCAGCCTATAATACAACATACATGTGTGACACTGTATAGATACTATCAAACTGGGAGTAGGGGGTAACCAGCCTTTAATACAACATACATGTGTGACATTGTATAGATACATGTACTATCAAACTTGGAGTAAGGGGTAACCAGCCTATAATACAACATACATGTGTGACATTGTATAGATACTATCAAACTGGGAGTAGGGGGTAACCAGCATTTAATACAACATACATGTGTGACATTGTATAGATACTATCGAACTGGGAGTAGGGGGTAACCAGCATTTAATACAACATACATGTGTGACATTGTATAGATACTATCGAACTGGGAGTAGGGGGTAACCAGCATTTAATACAACATACATGTGTGACATTGTATAGATACTATCGAACTGGGAGTAGGGGGTAACCAGCATTTAATACAACATACATGTGTGACATTGTATAGATACTATCGAACTGGGAGTAGGGGGTAACCAGCATTTAATACAACATACATGTGTGACATTGTATAGATACTATCGAACTGGGAGTAGGGGGTAACCAACCTACAACACAACATACATGTGTGACATTGTATAGATACATGTACTATCAAACTGGGAGTAAGGGGTAACCAGCCTATAATACAACATACATGTGTGACATTGTAAAGATACTATCGAACTGGGAGTAGGGGGTAACCAGCCTATAATACAACATACATGTGTGACACTGTATAGATACTATCGAACTGGGAGTAGGGGGTAACCAGCCTATAATACAACATACATGTGTGACATTGTATAGATACTATCGAACTGGGAGTAGGGGGTAACCAGCCTATAATACAACATACATGTGTGACACTGTATAGATACTATCAAACTGGGAGTAGGGGGTAACCAACCTACAACACAACATACATGTGTGACATTGTATAGATACATGTACTATCAAACTGGGAGTAAGGGGTAACCAGCCTATAATACAACATACATGTGTGACATTGTAAAGATACTATCGAACTGGGAGTAGGGGGTAACCAGCCTATAATACAACATACATGTGTGACATTGTATAGATACTATCGAACTGGGAGTAGGGGGTAACCAGCATTTAATACAACATACATGTGTGACATTGTATAGATACTATCGAACTGGGAGTAGGGGGTAACCAGCATTTAATACAACATACATGTGTGACATTGTATAGATACTATCGAACTGGGAGTAGGGGGTAACCAACCTACAACACAACATACATGTGTGACACTGTATAGATACTATAGAACTGGGAGTAGGGGGTAACCAGCCTATAATACAACATACATGTGTGACATTGTAAAGATACTATCGAACTGGGAGTAGGGGGTAACCAACCTACAACACAACATACATGTGTGACACTGTATAGATACTATCGAACTGGGAGTAGGGGGTAACCTAGCTGCAATAATGTAGCCCTCTCCGATTTTTTTTAATCTGATATTTTCTGGAGAGGGCTACAATTCCACAGCATCTCTGTAATGGTGCAAATATATTTTTTAAATACGGGCGACTGCAGGCAAAATAAATTGTTTTTACATTCAACTTACTTCTAAAAAGGTGAAATTTTTATTCACTGTCAACAACATAGCCCGTTAAACGCGAAAACCAGATAAAATAAATCTGCTTGTTTACCAGTCGCTCTCATCAGAAGCCATGACAGTTCTCGCGTGATGCACTGAGACTTGCGTTTGAAAATTATAAATTACTTTGTAAAGTAGATTTTCGGGGTTACTAAATGATTGTGCTGTATGGCATCACTAAATATTGATAAAAAAACTATTCCATGTGACATTTTTTCGTAAACAGCGATATTTATGCCTAAAATAAGGTAATTCCTACAGAGATCCGCTCCCTAGAGATCCCTAGTCTCATTGGCTGTCCCAAAATAAAATCGATCAAGGTCAGTAAACATGGCGGATAAATTCAAGTTGTGATGTTGACATACACGAAAAATAACCGATATAAGGATTGTTCTGTGTATGTTTGGATTGATTTATGTTTTGCATAACTACATTTTTGGAGTTCAGGTAAGAAATGTTAATTAAATAGCCATTTACTGATAATTTAAGCCGAAATCCGTGCAGGAGTGAATCACTCCCGCACTTGCACCATTACGGAGATCCTAAGGAGTTGTAGCCCTCTCCCAAAAAAAAAAAAAAAAAAAAAAAAAAAAGGGGAGAGGGCTACATTATTGCAGCTAGGGGTAACCAGCCTATAATACAACATACATGTGTGACACTGTATAGATACTATCGAACTGGGAGTAGGGGGTAACCAGCCTATAATACAACATACATGTGTGACACTGTATAGATACTATCGAACTGGGAGTAGGGGGTAACCAGCCTATAATACAACATACATGTGTGACACTGTATAGATACTATCAAACTGGGAGTAGGGGGTAACCAACCTACAACACAACATACATGTGTGACATTGTATAGATACATGTACTATCAAACTGGGAGTAAGGGGTAACCAGCCTATAATACAACATACATGTGTGACACTGTATAGATACTATCAAACTGGGAGTAGGGGGTAACCAGCCTTTAATACAACATACATGTGTGACATTGTATAGATACATGTACTATCAAACTGGGAGTAAGGGGTAACCAGCCTATAATACAACATACATGTGTGACATTGTATAGATACTATCGAACTGGGAGTAGGGGGTAACCAGCCTATAATACAACATACATGTGTGACACTGTATAGATACTATCAAACTGGGAGTAGGGGGTAACCAACCTACAACACAACATACATGTGTGACATTGTATAGATACATGTACTATCAAACTGGGAGTAAGGGGTAACCAGCCTATAATACAACATACATGTGTGACACTGTATAGATACTATCAAACTGGGAGTAGGGGGTAACCAGCCTTTAATACAACATACATGTGTGACATTGTATAGATACATGTACTATCAAACTGGGAGTAAGGGGTAACCAGCCTATAATACAACATACATGTGTGACATTGTATAGATACTATCGAACTGGGAGTAGGGGGTAACCAGCCTATAATACAACATACATGTGTGACATTGTATAGATACTATCGAACTGGGAGTAGGGGGTAACCAGCCTATAATACAACATACATGTGTGACATTGTTTAGATACTATCGAACTGGGAGTAGGGGGTAACCAGCATTTAATACAACATACATGTGTGACACTGTATAGATACTATCAAACTGGGAGTAGGGGGTAACCAATCTACAACACAACATACATGTGTGACATTGTATAGATACATGTACTATCAAACTGGGAGTAAGGGGTAACCAGCCTATAATACAACATACATGTGTGACACTGTAAAGATACTATCGAACTGGGAGTAGGGGGTAACCAGCCTATAATACAACATACATGTGTGACATTGTATAGATACTATCGAACTGGGAGTAGGGGGTAACCAGCCTATAATACAACATACATGTGTGACATTGTATAGATACAAGCCTAATCACAATATGTAGAAATAGTGAATCCTAAGATAATCACAATGTGTGTGACATTGTATAGATACTATCTAACTGGGAGTAGAGGGCAACTAGCCTACAACACAAAATACAAGTGTGACACTGTATAGATACTATCGAACTGGGAGTAGAGGGTAACCAACCTACAACACAACATACATGTGTGACATTGTAAAAATACTTTCAAACTGGGAGTAGGTGGTAACCAACCTACAACACAACATACTTGTGTGACACTGAATAGATACTAGCTTAATAAATCACAATATACATGTGTGACATTGTATAGATACTATCAAACTGGGAGTAGGGGGTAACCAGCCCCTAAAAAAACATTGTTTTTCTATAGGTTAGCCAGAAGAAGGGGAAATGAACCTTTAATTTATACCTTAGACATTGTATAGATTGGCCAGTAACAATATATTACGTGATATTGTATACCTTAGTCAGGAACTATATGTGACATTGTATAGATACTATCTAGCCAGCAACTATCTTGTAATACAAGGGTACTAAATTGACCTGGATGGGAGCAGGGCATATACATTGGGTCATTATAAAAACTTTACTTGGTTAAAGTAGAAGTATACTGTATTTGTGCAATGCACCAAAGAGATAGGAAAATGGGGTAGATAATTGCCTTCATCATTATTCCACACTCAAATATAACATTACTTACAAAGCTCTTTGGTTCACAATGAAATTTTACCAAGTATCTCTATACATCAGAAGGAGAAAAAAAATCATTACTCAAAAATTTCAGTTCTAAGAAATAAAAAAAAATTGTCCTTTAAGAATTAATATAAAATGTCACAAAAAATGAATAATTGATTCATACAACTCCTACTAAAGATTTTCTTAAATATTAATTTAATTTCTAACAGAGAATTATTCAATACTCATTCAAAACTAGACAGGTTACTGTCAGAAAAATAGATTTTGCTCATTACTTCTCCTTTCCTACCCAACTATTCTCCATAAAAATCTACTCAATAATTGATTTCAGCAATAGAGAAATTCAAATCAATTTGTTGATGATACACAGGTGCATATCACTTTCAAGGCAACACAACTTTTTACTGATGATGTATGTTTTCCTATACAGTTAGTTAATCAGAGGCAGGCCATAATGAAACGATCTTCCTTTTTTAACAACTAATCTTTGTCTCAACTACTATGGACTTCAAATTGACAGAAATACCTAAACTAACGCAAGAATTTTTTTTTTTTTGAGTTTCAAATTGAAAGTGACAACCCTTTTCAACTATTCAGTAAGAAACAAGATACAGAACATCTCTAATGCCTTCAAAAAAGTTTTCACTAAATATTGATTGTTATCTTCAGATTTGAGAGGATGCACATACATTGTGTTGAATGAAGCTGATAAATCGTGTGACTTACAGAGTAAAGTCGTCGTCCCACTTTGGGTTTGTGGTCTTTTTCTGGACATCAGTTTTGCGTGGAGGCTGGCCATCAACAGAGACTTCTACAAATGGATCGGGTTTGGAGGAAAAAACACCACCACTGCCTGTGATCTTAGCTGAGTTTACTAAAATAAAAAACACAAAGTTTAGTTTTGGTTTGAAACATAAATTTTTCAAAATCTCCCTCAATAAAGGTTTCTTTGTGTGTATTTATCAGAGAAGGGTTCAAGCCACACTGAACTTTACAGGAAATTCAACTGTACTCATTAAGCAATCAAACTACAAATATACTGAACAGTAATGAATGCTTCATATTCCTCATGCTTTGTCCTATTCATACAAGACATTGGTTAATGTTTCTTATACCTTGTCAATTCCATAAACTGATCTCTGAGTCAATGTTATGAATTCTGCTTTGACTTTAAGAATAATGGATTGATTGCTTGTTTGAGAAAAATACTTTGTTTTAAATGTAGGTTTAATTGTAAATAATAAGAGTATTTAATCGTTGTGTGTCACTCACTTATGGCAAAGTCTGGATATTTTATTTAAAAATCCATTCCTATTTTGGCAGTTTCAGTGGCAAGAATTTTAAAATGGATGCTAGAAGTTACATGGTTCAAAATCAAAAGTATCTAGCCGTGAACCTCTAGCATGCTGAAGTACTATTGTCCATGTAACCTTTTATTTTACTGCCATTGAACCTACAGGTACATGTAAATAACACGTAATAATAATAATTAAGTTAAAAACTCCCCAACAGAACTAAACCAAACATCTTTCTTGCTTCATCTTTTTTAGAATAAATATATTGATGTTCAGTTGTCAATAAACAAAATGGTGATCTTATTGTCATCCTATCATTTATGTAACTAAAAGAAATATAGTTTGTGAACTTTTAGTTGGCAGATAATTAATTAAATGACATTTTTCAATAATTGCTGATAAGTCACAATACTTTCAATTTGCTGTAAGAAAAAAAAAGCAATACCATAGTTATCGTGATTTGGATAAATCAGTTCTTGAATTCCTACAAGAAAATCTCTCCCTAAGAAGGTATGATCCTATTGATTTCTATGTAGTAAGTTACATACACATTTACAGTTAAGAATTCTGTGCTGACATACACAGGTAGTACATGTATAGACCAAGTAAAAGTTCTGGATCATATTCAATATTACACAGATATTTGTATAAACTTTGCCCTTTCATACTCAAACTTATATGCAAGGTATTGCATAAATTTTATAGGACATAAAACATGTTTCATTTAAAAAATTTTGCATGTGTATCTTTTACAATCTTTATTCTGGTCAAGCGTAGTATTTTCTTAGTAATGTTGACATAATAAATGGTTGTACCTTAGAACACCCATGAATATGTAGAAATAGTGAATCCTAAGATACTCTCTGCTGGGGTTGTAACAGGTTCTCCAATCAATCCTATATCACATCATACTACCTTAGCAAAATCTCCTCCTTAATACTTTGTCTACTCACCACAAATCAATTGTATCTCATTCTACAGCATGAAATTCTTTTAAAACAAAACCCAATTATCTTTATCACTTTTTCTAGTAAAATCCAGCATCTGAAGCAAATATGAGAGTGTTCATCCCATGCATAATCCATGCAAGTTTGGTTCAGATGGACCTTATAGTTTCTTGGTAATGAACCTGCTACAAAATCTTTAACCTGGTCACTCATCTGTAAAATGTAGGTCAGATCCAGCATCCGGAGCAAGTCCAGTAGTGTGCATCCAAAAATATGTCTTATCCATGCAAGTTTGGTCAACATAGGGCTTATAGTTACTTGGAAATGAGATCTGCTCCAAAAACTTTAACCTGATCACTCATCTGGAAAATGTAGGTCAGATCCAGCATCCTAAGCAAGTCTGGTAGTGTGCATTCTTAGATGTCTTATCCATGCAACTTTGGTCAATATAGGGCTTATAGTAACTTGGAAACAAGACCTTTGCCAAAAACTTGAACCTGGTCACTCATCCGGAAAATGTAGGTCAGATCCAGCATCCGAAGCAAGCCTGGTGGTATGCATTCTTAGATGTATCATCCATGCAAGTTTGGTCAACATACGGCTTATATTTACTTGGAAATGAGACCTTCTCCCAAAACTTTAAATTGCTCAAAAAACATTAACCTGGTCATTCCTTATCTGAAATTACAGCATCTGAAATCTTGACTGGCACAATGAAACACACTAGAAGCATCTTCCATGCATCTCTTATTAAACTAGGGCATAGAAGTACTTTTAAGCTGGGACGCCTATGCCGACACCAACACCGAGTGTATTACATAAGCTCCCCCAACTTTGTTGAGGTGAGCTAAAAATCAATTATAAAATTAAGGATTTTTTTAAATTATTGTAATTTTTTCATTAATATATAATGTGGGCCCATGGATCACATTGTGGGCCCTAAAATTTGAAAAGTTAGGAGCCCACTGGCCTAGGGGTGAAACGATACACCTCCTTCACAGTTCGATACGTATTGTATAATTCTGTCTCGGTTCTGTTATTTTCGATACGATACATTTTGATAGAAGGAAACAAATTCAACGTTGTTTTATGCTATCTTTTTCTAAAACTAGTCACATATTTTACGAATTTTATTTGCAGATTGACTAGAAGAAATTGATTAAAATTATCTGACTGTCAAAAATTATTTTACAAGCTATCAGTCATCAAAAATTTACGTTTTCTAGTACTTATTTATACTGAGTAACGTGTTTTTCCTTATGCCAAACCCGACTGAATAACGATCCCGACCAAAAAATGAACCGAACCGAAAATTAGAGATTTTGCACCGTGTATCAAACCGAGAAAAAATACCACGGTGAATCGATACCGTGGTGAACCGTTTCACTCCTACACTGGCCCCTAAGATTTCGTATGTTAACCACAACCCTGGTATCACATCACAGTCATTTTAAAATTACCAGTAGTTTATTCAATCCAGTTTTTGAAACCCCCTTTTTCATACAATTTTATTTAATATCATGAGATCAATGAAAAAAAATTCATCTTGATTTAGTTAAACAAATTCCAGTGCACTTCACTCTGTTAGAAAATGCATGTATCACGAAATTTAATTAAACAATGGTTACAAAAACATCAAAAGGTATAGATTTTAATATCAAAGTCCTTATCGTAGTAACATCAACCCAGAATTTCTGAAAGCCTTCAGAAAAATTGCAATCACATTTACAATGACAATTGAAAGCTGTTTGAACTTTGGATCTTTTTTTTTTAAATTTTAATAATGAGTGGTACAAAAAACACATGAAAAAGGTCATCAAACTTATAACCATCCCAGATGATAAATGTATTAGGCTGATTAGAAATTTCTTGGATACACCAGGGTTTTTTTTTTTTAAGATCCGGATTTTAAGGGCCTTCTGGGCCTTTTCAGTTGAGGGAAATAGTGACTTTGGTTAAAATTGGGGAAAATGTTTCATAGAAAGAAATGAGGAAAAACAGACAAACAAAAAAAAAGAAAACAAAACAGTGTTATAATTGGACTTCTGAGGACTTTAAATTTGGTCCCTTGGTTTACATCCAGGCTAGATTTCTTGCCAATGAAAAATATTTGTGAATATGAAGAAAAAAAATAATTATAAATAAATAAATAGAAAAAAAAATAAATTAAAAAAATGCAGGCTTATCATGCTTACTGTAACAATTTTAGGAGAAAAATTAAAGTGGTGTCTGTTTTGAAAATTTAATGTTTGATATTCTCCTATTGTGAAAATAAGTCTTATATAAAGCCATAAACTTATAAATAAATATAGGAATGTATCTCATTTGATTGAACATCTCTTTTTTTCATGGCAGTATATATAATACACAAATGCAGCATTTAATAACTTATCAATTTATGAATGTCAGAATCCTTTTACACATGTAAACATCCTGTTTACAACTAAGTAGAGTAAAACACAACATTCTAGAGTCATCAAAACAGACATGACTTCCTTGTTACCTGGGTATTATAACAATGTTATCAAGCCTGGAGGCAGATTTATTCCCTCTACTTCCTTGTGTCAATTAGACTGATAAGGTAGAGTTTGTTGTTATTTCTGTACACCTGTATCCATTAATACCGTAGTCTAGTATTTCTCTTTCCCATACCTTTCTTCCCACCGCTTTAAATAATAGACAATGCTGCTGTATCAAGTGCCAGTAACAACAACTGGTACTAAATTAAAGGTCTGACAATATATATTGATCTGCAATTCCAAATCCTTAATAAATCATGATATAAATTTATAATAATTATTCTCAAGCTAAAATGATTTTCATTTTGTCTTGACCAAAACAAGAACATTTGTCACATCTTTGCTGAAATGAAGCCAAAATAAAATCCCTGTTTGTTTGGAATTGATGCCTGCCTCATTGAAATAATCCCTGCTGAGAAAAATTGGATAGACAAAAATAAGAAGAGTGTTCATTGTTTTATCATTTTTGTTGTCATGAAGAGAAAATTACAAATGTGTACAGGCTTCTTTTTCCCCTTTGGTTGACCTCAAATAGAAGTAACTCGATGCAACTGGAAATTCATATATGAAAAGCATTAATATTACTGTCCATACATTCTATCTATTTATGTTAATGATGTACATACTAGTATCTCTAGCTCACTTAATGAAGGCTGAAATGATACAACCTGTTTATGATAAGATAACCTACTGCAATACTGGTATCAAAATTTAATATTTTCAATATGATACACTTCAATGTTTTATAGAAGAAACACAAGGTTGAAGAAAAGATATGATTTATAAGGCAAGTCTTTTTAGTAATTAATAAACTGATACATGTATACAAAACAAACAACAGATGTTTGTGAAACACTTCATCTCCCAAATAATTGGAATTTTTCTAATCCAAGGGGTTTAACTCTGTCAAAAATTGCTCAATCGTACCCAAAACAGAACTTGACCTAGATATTTTTATGATTTATCTGTATACCAATTTTCATTTCAGTACGTGCAAGCTCTGCAAAGAAAATGAACAGAAACTGTTGGTGGACTGACAGACGGAAAGACCAACCGACAGCAGCAAAGCAATATGCCCTCCCTTCTTCGAAGGGGGGCATAAAAAGAATTCTAGAAATCATTTTTATTTATTAGTAATGATTCTAATGAGTACTGCAAATTTTAAGATTAACCAAGTCAGTGTTCTTATTTCAATGATTTCTTAAATATAACAGGATGAATTGTGAAAAGACATAAATTCATCATTCCTAACATGACTACATATCTATTCTTGTCAGGAGACAAAAATCTAAATTAAATGAAATGCAATTGATTTGTGTGCATAAGGAGGACCCTTGATGAAGTGGGCCTTACTACGTACATGAAGTATTCAAAATAATGTGGTATTAACTGCAAAAACACTTCTTAAATTGTGATATTCAAGCAATTGACCAGATGCTTGATAGAGTTTATGAATGTAACAACTTTGATATGTGTCTGGAGGTCAGGATACCATTGTTGCACAATGTTAACTAACGTAAACTAGACTATATAACAATATACATTTCTGTCAGAAAAAAAATTCACTTGCCCGATGGAACAAGGATGTTGACAGTTTCAATTGCTCAAACGAGGAATTTATTTGTCCCGGGCAATCGGACAACCGTTAATGTCGATCCCTGAATACCTGATCAAGTGGTTTCAAAATGCAGGAATATTCACGAGGAGTTTACTAATGATTGTGATGTACCAGTATGGCTATTTGCCCACCTAGACTTTAGTTCTCGGAGCAAGAATGTAAGGTCAACAACATAACAGAGTCAAAGCAATGTAGTGAGAATGTGAGAGCAACTAAGCAATAAAGAAAGAAAAGCAGGGCCAAAAGCATGCAAGCCAAGGTGTTAATAGTAATGTAATGGCTTGTAACTCTAATCTAACTTCCTTGTCCTTATGGTGTTGACCTCCCTCCCTCAAATATTCACCCCCTTCAACTCTAGCACTAGAGATCAAGAAAAGCAATTTCACTTCAAAGAGGGGGGTGTACCCCAAACATTTTCAGTTGGAGGGCACTACTACTCTCACAAGTTCACGCCCTCGCATTGCAAGGCTTTTATACCACTTTTTGGGACTGGGGTCGATGCCAAGAAATTGGGAAAATGAGCAATCATTATGGGAACTGAGAAAATCATTATACACTTAAATCATTATACACTGAGTTTCTGGAGTTATCAACTAAATATCTGTTTTTTATAGAGGTATATGAATAACAAGTTCTTTAATTTTGGAGGAAAATGACTATTGGGAAAATTTACATACAAATAGGAAAAAAGGTACCTTTCTGAACTGGGAATGGGGCCTTTGATTGTCCCGAAACTTAGACAATTGAGGGCCCTGCATTGTCACCCTCACTCCCTCATGCTGTCTTCCTTGCATTCTTGTCCATGCTTAAGGGCTAGGAAATGAGTGGCCATTTCAGTTCAGAATACTAGATCCCCCCTCCCCCTTTTACAAATCCAGTTGTTCAAATGACAAAAGAAAATGTGAATTGCTTCATGAAAATCTAAATGTGTGGAGGATTTAGAACAATATATTTCAGTTAGGTCCATTGTCACCCTTACCTGTCAACTGAAGCTGTGAGTACTGTGCACCGTTGGATGTGGCTGAAGCAGCTTCTCCCATTATATAGATATCATACAAATCTGAAAAGCAAAGTCTGAACCTTTGACAAAGCATAAATAAACAGGGGGTACTCCAAAAGATTCAATCAATCATTTGTATTAAACAACAAGTTCTACAGACAAATCCATCTATATATATATATATATATATATATATATATATATATATATATATATATATATATATATATATATATATATATATATATATATATACACACACACACACACACATATATATATATATATATATATATATATATATATATATATGTATATATATATATATATATATATATATATATATATATATATATATTCTGAAGTGCAATTTTAAGAAATAATAAAGTGACGAACAAATATGAAATATGTAAGAAAACATGTTTATTATTAACAAAATCTCATTTTCACATATGCAGAGCAAAGGATCACATATACAATATGATTTTCCTGTACTTTTGGAACAGTTACATCAAAAGTTGGATTGAGCATTGTATGACATTGTCCCAAAATTCTGTTGAAAAGCATAGTTTTGAAGGAACCTAGTGTCATAAATAATTGAAACTTTGTATAAAGATTAAAAAGAATTACTAATAAATTTTTGAACAAATATTGAGTAATTACACAGACTATTTAAATAGATTAATTCATTTTCTGGTGTAAGAAGGTGACGCAGTATCCAAAAATTGCAATAAAAAATCAGTTTACAATATTTAAAATCCTACAAAAAAGTCTTTATCACTCAGAATTTCAGGAATAGAAACAAAAATTCTTATTACTGTATTATTAACTAACTTTCCTCAAGTTTTGGTGTATATGCCTTAACAAATATGAATGTTATGTTTTATATCCAGCGGTTTGAAATCTGACTTGTTGAAATTGCGTTGACACAGGCAGAGCAATGGACTGTGATCAAATGTTTTGATCCTGAATTCACTCTTACAGAAATGCATGTTATAAATATTCTGAACACATGAAAATGTTTTCTGGTCCTTAGTACATTAAAATTGACTGATATAGTTTCTCTAAGTATGTGAAGAAGAGAAATTTAAAAACATAGGTAATCAAAGATTACGAAGCTCACCTCGATGAATGTTATCTATAAGTAAGGCAAATTTCACATCATACTTTTTTCTAGTTAGGGTACATCCCAAGATCAATATCCATGCAAATTTGGTTGAAGCAGGACTTATAGTTACTTGGAAATAGATCTGCTCAAAAAACTTGTAACCTGTTTACTAATCAAGAAAATTTTGGTCAGTTCCAACATCCAAAGCAAGTCTGGAAGTTTCATCCTTAGATGCACCATCTATGCAAGTATAACAGGCCATAGTATTATATAGTTACTCCAAAAAAATTACCCTGGTCACTCATCTGGAAAATGTAAGTCAGATTCAGAATCCAAAGCAAGTTTGGAAGTGTCCATCCCTAGATACACCATCCATGCTAATTTGGTTAAAATATGGCTAAAATTCACTAATGTGGAAAATCTAGGTCAGATCAAGCATCCGAAGCAGGTTGGTAAGTGTACATCCCTAGATGCATCATCCATGAAAGTTTGGTCCAGTTAGGGCTTATAGTTACTTGGGAATGGGACTGCTCCAAAATCTAAACCTGGTCTCACATGTGGAAAATCTAGGTCAGATCCAGCATCCGAAGCAAGTGTGTAGTGTCCATCCCTGGATGCATCATCCATGCAAGTTTGGTCTTGGTGGGCTTATAGCTACCTGGGAATGGACCTGCTCCAAAAACTTTAACCTAGTCACTCATCCGGAAAATCTAGGTCAGATCCAGCATCCGAAGCAAGTGTGGTAATGTCCATCCCTAGATGCATCATCCATGCAAGTTTGGTCCAGGTAGGGCTTATAGTTACTTGGGAATGGACCTGCTTCAAAAAAATTAATCTAGTCACTCCTGGAAAATCTAGGTCAGATCCAGCATCCGAAGCAAGTGTGGTAATGTCCATCCCTAGATGCATCAACCTAGCAAGTTTGGTCCAGGTAGGGCTTATAATTACTTGGGAATGGACCTGCTCCAAAAACTTTAACCCTGGTCATTCATCTGGAAAATCTAGGTCAGACCAGCATCTGAAGTAAGCGTGGTAGTGTCCATCCCTAGATGCATCATCCTAGCAAGTTTGGTCATGGTAGGGCTTATAGTTACTTGGGAATGGACCTGCTCCAAAAACTTTAACCTGGTCACTCATCTGGAAAATCTAGGTCAGATCCAGCATCCGAAGCAAGCGTGGCAGTGTCCATCCTTAGATGCATCATCCATGCAAGTTTGGTCATGGTAGGGCTTATAGTTACTTGGGAATGGACCTGCTCCAAAAACTTTAACCTGGTCACTCATCTGGAAAATCTAGGTCATATCCAGCATCCGAAGCAAGCGTGGTAGTGTCTATCCCTAGATGCATCAGCCATGCAAGTTTGGTCCAGGTAGGGCTTATAGTTACTTGGGAATGGGACTTGCTCCTAAAACTTTAACCGGGACGCCGATGCTAAGGCCGACGCCGGGGTCATAGCATAAGCTCATCTCGACTTCGTCGAAGTGAGCTAAAAAAGGCCAAGCTTAAGAATCAGGCAAGAGTGGCACTATGCAACTCCATTAAAGAAGAGACGAAAAACCATAAGAAATATAGGGTTTTCAAAATAATATTTCATTCATGTACATGCACAAACTTTGTTTAAATATATTTTAATGTTTAATCATATCTTAATGATTAGATATTTCATATTTATATCTATAATCTTTAATATTATTAATTAAAGAATTTGATTCTGGTAATTAGTGTATTTCCTCCCAAAAATCCGAACTGTTGACATTTATCATTTTTGATGTCAGAGATTGCTTTGGGTGTTAAGCCACTATGATTCACTTCAATGCGGCTATGGCACATGGCTCAAGCCCTTCCCAATCACTGCACATTTTTAAGCGAATTTTTGTGTGCAGATTCCATAAATTCCCTTGCTACCTCAATTTCATGTGATAATGTCAAACATACTGAAGAGACTAACATTTGGTTCATTTAGAGAACTTAAAGGAGAAAGAAAAATAATTGCATCTTCTCTTTAAGAAAAAATATATTGATGCATTCATTAAAAAATTTGCTCTTTAACCTATGTTATGGAAAGATGTGACATCAGTGTCTAGTCTGAGTTCTCAGACTTTTAACTTTCAAAATGAAGATGTAGATCTATGTTAAACATATATGTCTACATATGAAACTCAAAATACCACCAATGTTCTAAATGGAAGAATTGCTCTTCATTATATGTTGTATTCTGTCTGTTATCTTATCTGTAATTATACATGTTATATGTTTATGCCCATTGGGCCCTGATTTGGTAACAAAACTAGGGCTGTCACGAGTACCCGAAATAACCGAGAACCGCGGGCCAAGTTGTTCGGTTCGGTTCCGGTTCCATTTTTCCGGATTTCGGTTCGGGTCTGATTTATATATTAGAGTCTGTTCAATACAAAAAATGGCGTCGAAATCAAAGGAATGATGACGATAACAGTGATAAATAAACATCACTACTGAAATCTACTTCATTCCATGACAAAACACTTGTCATAGAAGTATTAGATAATTATCAAAACGAGCAGGAATGGTCAGGTTGTGGCTAATAGTAGGTCAAGTCACTGATGTCTAGACGTTCGCATGGTTAAGACTTGTTTTCAATGTAAATTTAATGTAACAAATAAAGATTTTTCAAGTTAAATTCATGAAATTAAGGTTTAAAATAGATGTAAATAACTGACCTGAAAAACCCGAAACCAAACCGAAAATTTACAGAACCGACCCGACCCGAAAAATTTTGGAACCGTGACAGCCCTAAATAAAACCTATTCTATATATTTTTTTGGGGTAGAGATCTATGTTAAACATATATAAAGCTTTTGATGGTATCTAAGTTATAAATACAGCCCTTTGCTTGCCCCTAAGAGTCACAATGTCAAACAAACAGCATAAGTACTAGGTGATAATCCTAGCAAATTTATAAACAGAAATATCCGATGCTGGCAATGATGACAAGCCTTAGCACCAAATTATGAGCTTTTAACATATGTGTAATAATTTAAATGATTTTCGAGGAAACCATTTCTTAGAGTCAAAGTTCAGACAAGATCTGATCATGACTTTGTAACATCATGATCAATGGTCACAGTTCTGTCAAGATCACATCATCAGATGGAAACTAAACGATTGTTTCTAGCTAAAATCATACACTTGAAGAACTAATAAACAAATTAAAAATAAACAAATCTCAACCTATCGTTGTAAAATGACAGTCTGCAGTAAATAAAATTACTGGTTACATACCATTGGTAAACACATGATAAAATTACGCAAAAGACTTCCAATCATCGGAATTTTACGCACAATACCTTGATTATTCTTTCAACTGGTTTATTTTCTATCATTTCTAAGAAATACCCACTTGTTTTTCTAACTGACAACGTCAAAGAGAAGTGACAGAGAAAAGGTGTTTGGCAATCACTATTTTGTCCACCATAACTTCATGGATCATGTGACCTCTGACGTAACATTGTGGGACATTTCATGGAAATTCAAAAATTATCTGTGTAATGCATGCACATTGAAATAATTTTTGCTGTATCATATGAATACATTAAAGCTGATTGTTAAAAAAAAAGTCAAGCAAAAACTCTACATCTTCTAAGTGATTTTAGGATCGGTACAAAGAAAATTAAATTAGAAAAATCGTATAAATTGGATTTCATTCTCAAAATGAATGAATTAAATAACTTGTGTTTTATAGCATACAAAAATATTCAAACCTATTTTTTAAATTTCAATAAATATAAGAGCCCTGATTACCACCTCGTTCTCTAAAACTGGAACTTTGGAACAAATTCATTCCAAATATATCCGAAAACCATATTGACATCGATATCAATATGTCTGACAGCAAAATAAAGCACGTTGTTGCCGATTCTGGGGCATTTATTCGCAATGCTCCACTTCAGGTAAGAAGGTCGTTTTATATTATGAGAGAAAATGAATTATTCAACACAGTTGTAAAAGGGAGTGGTCAATTATTTTTCTTAAGACGTCCCATGCTGAAAGCACTAATAAAATCAAAATGAAAATAAATGAGGGACAGGCATAAATCCTATCAAAGAGCTTAGTAAACATCCGCTACGCTTGCGAGGTTCACTGGTAGGACTTACACCTGTCTTTCATTTATTTTGACTTTACTGATAATATGTTTTACGGTGCCACCGTTGAGGCGAGCGCAGTTGTTTACACGGTACAGGTCTGGTACAATCACTTGATTTAACTACGTAGCTTGAATTACCTACATAGCTTTATTTACCTACTGAAGTAGCTTTATTTAGCTACTAAATCAAACTTTTTTCTAAGAATTTTTCTCAGGATGTGCAGAAAAAAATCGCATTTTGATGCAGTGATAATATTCAACTTTAAACTCATCTGAGAACAATTCATGAAAAAATCACTCTTGAAGCAGTGTTTGAAATGGTAGACAGACATCTCGGCCCAACGACACCTCGGCCCATCACATCTGACACCTCGGCCCTGACAGGTCGGCCCAAAATTATTGACACGACGGCCCATATAAAAGACTCCTCGGCCCAAGCAAAATTTTAACGATTTTTAATTAAAAATAAAAAATCAAATAGGGGGTGGTTGTGGTGGTGGGGGGGGGGGGGGTGGGGGGTGGGGGGGGGGGGTGGTCCTATAATTGGTTCATTTCTCTAAATAAATAAATCAGATCAGATCAGTCTTTAACTAACATCTATCTCTTTTGGAAAATGCCCTTAATATACACTAATTTAAACTATATATCAAAATATTACCAATTCTTACTTATGATCTTGAATTTCTATTATCTTTTTATAATCAAAAAAAAATTGATTGTTTACTCATTTACTTTTTTCAGTCAATATTTTATTCAAGTCGCGAATTGGAAATTATATATATATATATATATATATATATATATATATATATATATATATATATATATATATATATATTTCGAAATAAAATTTTGTTTGAGCCGAGGTGTCTTATATATGGGCCGACCTGTCTTAAATCTTGGGCCAACCAGTCAGAGCCCAGGGGCTCGTTTCTCAAAAAGTCGTAGATTTCAGCCTAAGTTAGTCCGACTAAGGAAGTTACGCCAAAATTTAGACGGGCCTAAATCGCGTTTCAGAAAGCGGCGTAAGACTAGGCCTAAGACAAAGACCTCTCCGCTAAGTACTAAGCATGCGCAGATCGTATTTTATTTGGTTTAGAGACTATAATTACATGTGGCGGATCAAATTAATATTGAATTTAAACCTAAATACAGAAGTAAGGCACGGATAGCACTAGTGCGCGTGCATGTTTTCTCTATTCGCCATCTTTCAAACATACATTTATATATTATGCAAATCAATCTGTATACATATTTTCAAGGTTACAGCATAAAAATTAAATAACTATTTTTGTACGCTCAGATAAATTTTAAAAAATCTTTATGGGTACAAATTACATTAGAAAAACATAAACATGCATGTACTCCACTGTGATATACAATCGTACATTAAAACCCAAACTTTGTACATAGCATACGTACTTGCGAAAAATTGGAGTACATTTAGCATAAAGAATTTTACTGAAGTAAATTTCCTTTGAAAATAAGCTATATTGTCTTTTCATTTATGTTTTACATTAAGATAAATACACATAAGGTAGTGGCAAAGGCCTGGAACAGGTTCGTAGCAACGGTTTCAAAAGTTGAGGACACCCCCCCCCCCCCCCCCAAAAAAAAAAATTCATTAACTGTCCAAGTCAAAAACCTAATTAACTGTCCAAGTCATGGAATTATGGAATTTGTCAGTGATTGACCTTACAGAGACAAAATGGGATGGGGGGAGGGGTTGGCACCAGCATCTGAAGGAAAATTTAATATAGCAAAATACTACACTTAGAAAAAGTGGAGGGCCGGGGCCCCCTGGTCCCACCGCGTTCTACGGACCTGTGGATAATTTAACAATTATGAAATCATATATTATTAAAATATGGATAAGAGATTTTTGGAAATTTATTAGTTGTATTGAATTTACAATTTCATAACAATCAATTCTAACTGAATTAATTAAAATTTCTTGGCATTCAAACTGATACATGTATTATAATACATGTATTACACTTTTGACATACAGTATAACATTGATATCGATATGATAATTTACACAGTCCATGTAAAAAATACGCATATACAACATTTCCATTAGCACACACATTCTCAGTAAAGGTTTGCAAAAGCTTAATTAGTCAATCGAGTATTTTTAGTTTATCAATAATATAAAATATATATGATAAATAGTTAATTAATTTCTTCTAATCCATATTACAGGCAAGCAGTCTAGTATTTTTATAAATTTCTGAAATATTTTCATTTAATAATTTCCAGTCGGGATCAGATTTATTTAGATCGGGAACGGTACAAATTTCAACATCACCATCTTTTTCTGTTAAACCTAGTAGTTCCGTTTCAATTTCTATTAAGAATATGATCATATTATATTTACATTTTTCAAATATTTTTCCTCAACATCTTTTGCAAATTAAAAAAAGTTCATGGACTACCGTGGGATGAGTAAGAATATTTCCATTGTGATGTGATTAAAGTCAACTATTTTAATGCAAACTTTGTTTTCTTTCAAAAATGATCGTTGAATGACAAAAATATGTGGCAAGTCATCAGAAAAATAATGTAAATATAAGATATGAATTTAATTTTTGCGAATCCATGAGGCACATGAACTTCACCGCTTCACGCCTGCATATTTATCATGAAGCGCCGGCGTACGCGTGAAGCGTCGTATTTCATGTCCTCATGAATTCTCAAACACTCTCAATTCTTAAACACATGTATTTCTTTTATAGATGCAGAATGTTTCTTGAAGATTTCATCTAGATATAATGATATTAACAAGTCATGACTTCCATATTCATAAATATTTTTAGATAAGCAAAATTTCTTCTTCTTGATACGTTTTATGAGTATAATGCATTAAATGACAGAAAAATTTGAAACTGTTTCTCATTTACAATAAAAAAAAACATGTTTAATACGTTATTGACCATTTTCTTTTCAAATGCATGTAATATAAAGTGTTTATCTGTTCATAAATCGATCAAAAGACACTCTCAAACAAAATTCGTCTGACAAAAGTACGATAGATTGTAAATTAATTAAAAACAAGTACCTGTTTAAAAAATAATGATATACCCATCTGTACGCCTTATATGCCATGACAGTTACTCCTTTGAAATAGGAAAAAACACTACTAAGGACAAGATAATTAATTACTGGAACATTTTACAAATTCATATTTTTCTGTTCTATAAACATATTTAATTAAAGGGGAAACTAAGGTAAAAGGTGTATTAACTTAATTGATGGCATAATTACCGAATATTTCTTATTATTGAAACTATATAAAATGTATATTGTTTGAGGTTTTTTTTTTCAAAAACATTATCTATTTCAAAAATAACACATTATCAGGGACCCAGTGTGTGTGTGTGTGTGTGGGGGGGGGGGGGAGGGGGGAAGGTAATTGAGTAACCAAGATATTCAGCAAACAGTACAAGAAATCAAATACTGAAAGTGTAAGTCAGCCTAAATTACAACTTAATTTTTAACACAAAACACCATTACTGGAAAAAACGGGAAGGTTGCAACCCCCTCCACCATACTACGCCTGACTGCTTTTTTTAAAACTCGGGTACTTCTTAATATCTTACCCAGTTTCACAATTCAAAATTCTTACAAATTTCTAGCTCATCAAACCTTTTTACGGAAAAAAAGTCTGCATCCTCGCTGGATTTTACTGTCTTTCTATTTACCTACATAATAATTGTATATTTCACGATTTTTCGCATATCATATATGTACATGAATAGGTATTTTATCGTATAAGTACAAAATGATTATTTTTGTTATATCTTTTTGATCAAAACACTTGCCACTTTTTTCAAGTTGTGTACAGACTAAGAACTTAAGCCTACTCATGAGGAGGCCTAGATTTAAGCTTAACTTTAGTCTCGACTAAGTCTGCGCCTTTTTGTGAAACGCTACTTAGTCCGATTTTGGGGTTTAGTCACTGACTTAGTCCGGACTAAGCTTACGCCTGGTCGTAGGCCTTTTTGAGAAACGAGCCCCAGGTGTCATTGGGTCGAGATGTCAATGGTCCGAGGTGTCGTTGGGCCGAGATGTCTGACATTCTTTGAAATAACTGTGCGCCTGACTGCCTGAGACGCACAAATTTTGCCGCGGACGAACAGATTTGCACCTTTCAAAGCCCGGCTGGATGTGTTAAAATTCGCCATAAATTAAAATTCATATATTTGATAAATATCTCTCAAATCAACTAATAGTATCAGCAGCTAACTGTAACCAGTAAAGGGGTAGAATTCGAAAGCCTATAGATTTGGAATGGAAGTTATGGTGATCGTGCCCAATTCACATTTTTGTTAAAAAAATGTATAAAAGACTTTTATTTTCTCGGGCTAGTAGAGTTTTGGCAGGACTGACAACTTTCACTTGCAGTCAGCCCTGCATGTCTAGATAATCCTACCACGAGTTTCAAGCACTGCTTGAAGATGTGTCTTTTTCTGCACAATTGCAATCAAAGTTCTAAATGTTTTGGGGCTATATACAACAGTGAATTTGTGACCAAACACTGGTATACAATGGGTAACGTTGGGGGGGGGGGGGTTGCTAAAAAGTATGGGGGAGGCGTTTTCAGCTAATGGGGAAGTATATTTTCACTGCTTCAGAGTCGGAAGAGATGTAGGTTTCGTCTTTTTTTTGGTATTTGTAAGATGTATTTACCAAAAAAAAAACCAAATATCCCATGGAAGACAGCAATATTTAAACTTTGTCTTGGTCTTTGGTCCAGCTACCATATACATATAGTATTCTCAAACACTTCGAAACTATTTGACAGATTTCATATTCACTGCGATCCAGTGGTCAAAACATGCATGATTTGCTCAATCTACGCCTTGCATAAATAATCGGGACATTTTATCTTCAGATAGTGATTGTTACATGGGGGGAGTTGTTTCTGGGAAAACATTTGCCCCCAGCGGTCGCAACGTCAACATATTAGATTTTGAAATGGTGTCAGTCCTAATGTCTTTGATATGGAAAATTAAATTTCACACAATGAGACATTTGGCACATGTAGATTGTGACGTCTTATATTTAGCTGTATTTCCATTACAAAATCTGAAAACTGCAATTTTTGAAACGAAGAACATTAATCTACTTTTAGTTTCTATATGCGGAACTTTACGCAATATCAATTAAATCAAGGTGATTTTTTTAATGAACATTTATTGTTACTGCGAGAATAAAGTTAGCAGTAAGATACATTCGTGTTGCATTGGGGTCTCGAGGTAATTGCAGAAAAAAATTCATTAGGATCAATGTGTATTGTTTGAATTTTCTCTTCACCCAGGCATTTCATAAGAAGTCACAGTGCTAGCGACACAGAGCACTGCTTGTTGAACACACTACTATAATTTATCCTCTTGTTTTCAGAACATTGGATTAAAGATCTACACTGTTCCAAAAGTAGTAAATGAAATCAAGGACAAAGCCACTCTACAGAGGCTGCAGGTGTTACCCTATCAACTAATTCCTAAAACACCAACACCAGAATGCATCAAAATTGGTACAGTTACCATAAATTATAATTCTGTCACATGTGCTCTTTGTTAAGCTTACATGGGTATTTTATAAGGAGTTTACAGAACTTTTTCTTGAGAACTACTTGATGTTGAAATACCTAACATTGCACAAGTGTACTTTATTGGTCCACAAGAAGTAAAGTCACACTTTGAAGGGTTTCAGAGTAATCTGGTGTTTAGTACAAAATGTACCTGTTTTACTGAGACATATCAGATGAAGGTGTGCCAGTCCAAGCAACTTTGAAGGAAGAAAATTGAATAAAGATTTTCTCAATGATGTTCTACATATATCAGGACTATTGACAGATAGAAGCTACATGTATTGTTTGCCAGTTTACTAGACATTTCAGGACTTTTGACAGACAGAAGCTATTGTTTGCCAGTTTACCAGACATGTCAGGACTTTTGACAGACAGAAGCTATCAGTTGCTAGTTTACCAGACATGTCAGAATTTTTGATGGACAGAAGCTATCGGTTGCTAGTTTACCAGCATTTTCGGACTTTTGATTGACAGAAGCTATTAGTTGCCAGTTTACCAGACATGTCAGGATTTTTGAAGGACAGAAGCTATTAGTTTACCAGACTTTGTATTCATCACCCTGAATAAGGGATGATACATTTTTTGCTGATAAAGTAATAACAATTTTAGCCACCAAATATCTATTGTTCCTTCCTTGTGGTTTGAGATATGTGTTGACATATTTCTTTGTTGAGTCTAGCAACATACTGTAGATTAGCTAAGTGAAAGTTATAGTGATTCGGACACAGATTTGAAGCTCATATTTTCTAAAATTTTCTAAACAATATCATGACATATATGTTGCTAGAGCATTTTCCACCATATGTTAAAAGCATGTTAAGAAAAGTCTTTTATCTGGAAATTATCATAACTATGATTTTTGGGACACGTTTGATTGACATACATCCTTGCACTTTCACAAAGTAAACTTTATCCATATTACTTAGGAGAAGTAAAAATTTTGTTGTGTATTAATGAAAAATATGAAAGCTATAATCCAGAAAGTTCAGAGTAGAAATGCAAGAAAGCAAAACCAACTCACCAGTATAGTCAGTCTGTGCTCAGTGATGTATGCAGACTAAACAAATTGAACACATACTGTAAAACATAAACACTAACAGTAACAGAGCTTGTGCCCTGTTTACAAACACAAGTGTTCGACTTGATGTTTTAAAGAATGCCGTTGTCATTGAAATCTTAGAATATATTCATGTAATTTCAAATCACTAAAAAGAAGTTTTTTTTTTTGTTTTTTTTTAAAGAAGACAACAATGCATCTGTGTCTAGGCCCCTTTAAAGTATTTTGTGACTTGAGTTCACTGATCTAAATACAATAATTTAACCAGAACCAAGAACTATTGAGGTTTAATTTTACAATAATGCATTCTATGTTTACAGTGACAGAGTTTTCAAAGAAGACGGGGGATTACAAAAGTCTTTCATCAGTGGATATACATGTCATTGCTTTGACATATCAGTTAGAGAAAGAAAATGTTGGATCAGATCACATCAAAACTGTTCCAGATAACAAGGTATAAACATGATCAAACTGATACAGGTAATAAGATATAAACGTGATCAAACTGATATAGGTAATAAGGTATAAACACAAAACTGATACATATAATAAGGTATAAACACAATAAAACTGATACAGGTAATAAGGTATATACATGATAGAACTGATACAGGTAATAAGGTATAAACATAATCAAACTGATACAGGTAATAAGGTATAAAACATGGTCAAACTGATACAGGTAATAAGGTATAAACGTGGTCAAACTGATACAGGTGATAAGGTATAAACATAATCAAACTGATACAGGAAATAAGGTATAAAAAAGTGGTCAAACTGATACAGGTAATAAGGTATAAACATAATCAAACTGATACAGGTAATAAGGTATAAACATAAGGCCAAACAAAAAAATATGTGTGGTTCCGGTTACACCTCCAAAAAAATTAGGGTAGGTAGGTAGGGAATTTTTTTTTTTTTTACAAAATGATTTTCTAAATTTTTCTAAATAATACCTATCACTGCTTTGCAAGTGGCGTTTAGATGTGGCGTGATAATATACAAGTCAACATTGATAGGGACACCCTAGTTATGAATATGAAACAAATATTTTTAAATCAAAAATAATAAACACACTAACATTCTTATCAATTTCTTTTTGTAAAAAAAAGAGTTCGTGATGAATATCCTTTTTTTAAATCCATGTTTATAAATGAAATTAATGACTTTTATCCAGAGTAATTCTTATTTTATTTAATAATAAATTTTGAACGATAAACTAGAAAACGGACATAGAGTACTGCTAAGAGCTGTCAGAGGAAATATATGTAATATTGTTAAAATTTTAAATTCTTACAATGAAAACTTTTTGCCTCATTGAAGACTTTATACTTCCAAGCTCATATAAATTGGTACTATGTGAGTTGACTATTCAGGTAAAATCAGCTGTCTTGTTTTTCACTTTTCCTCATCAACTGTTTTTTTTTTTCTACTTTCGGTTTAAAAGAAACGATCTGATTTAAATTATTTCATAATTTACAAGTTAATCTATCTTACACATTGGGCTAGTTCTTGCGTAATCAATGCAATCAAATGATGTTTTCTCATGTTATCTTCTCCCTAACTCCCAAAGGCATATTACCTGGCCAGCTGTCTGTGAACGTATATTTATTTAATTTTGGCAAGCAAAAAAAAAAAAATGGTGCTGGAAAAAAATGAATGCTTCTGCGCTATGCTAGCTTTCTTTAGATTTAACACTATTAATTAATTGAACACTTGCACTAACTGACTAAGTTTTGAAACGATGTTTTGCATGGAGGCTGCCATTGCTGAAAATAAAACTAATACCGGAGCCGATGACGGAAAGCGGGGAAAATTCCGGAAAAAATATGAAAATTGCCAGAAAAAAGTTTAGGGTCGGGGGTATAAAATAGGGACGGTCGGGTAACCGGAACCACACATATTTTTTTATTTGGCCTAATCAAACTGATACAGGTAATAAGGTATAAATGTGGTCAAACTGATACAGGTAATAAGGTATAAACATAATCAAACTGATACAGGTTATAAGATATAAACATGATCAAACTGATACAGGTAATAAGGTATAAACATAATCAAACTGATACAGGTAATAAGGTATGAACACAATAAAACTGATACAGGTAATAAGGTATAAACATGATTGAACTGATACAGGTAATAAGATATAAACATGGTCAAACTGATACAGGTAATAAGATATAGACATAATCAAACTGATACAGGAAATGAGGTATAAACATAATCAAACTGATACAGGTAATAAGGTATAAACACAATAAAACTGATACAGGTAATAAGGTATAAACATGATTGAACTGATACAGGTAATAAGGTATAAACATGGTCAAACTGATACAGGTAATAAGGTATAAACATAATCAAACTGATACAGGTAATAAGGTATAAATATGGTCAAACTGGTACAGGTAATAAGGTATAAATGTGGTCAATTTGATACAGGTAATAAGAGATTATCTTATGTAGAACAAACAAAACAGGGTAAAGAAATGACCATTGTGATTTTGAAAGAAATACTCTGACTAATAGATAAAATCCTATCTTATTGTTTCAAAACAAGATTTAACAATCTTCTCATTATGAGCATTTTCACATTGTCATGGTTAGACGTTTTTCTTTTTCCTCCCTACATTGCATTTCCATAATCTGTTTTATTCACAGATTGAATGGACAACATCTAAAGCAATGCTAGAAAAACCAACATCTATAGCAGGGTTTTACCTTGCTAAGGTAAGAAACTTAAAATTGATTTAAAAAATAAAAATTTAATTCTGCTTGGAACTTGCCATTTAATTGGATAGAAAAATTTGTATATATGGCATAACCTGTGTTGCTTACGTCACAATGACACGTCAAAAATGTATCAATCTGCATGATGTTACATTTTAAAATTTGTACAATTTGAGGGCATTTATGAAAAAAGTCTTATTTTTTACTCTTAATGATATTAAATTAACCTATAAGGGATAAATTTAATAGCTACCCAAGTTATACTTTTGTATGTGCTATTCCAGTAAAAATTATCTGATGGGGATGGAACACCACAGATTTTTAGAACCCCCTCGTAACCTATTGAAAAGAATTGCAATTATCAACACCACCTAGAGAATTCAGTCTCTTGTCAATCCCTCTGACGAAGGAGAAAAAACCCCCCCAAAAATCTTCAAGTTCTATAATATAGATATGTTACGAATAAGTGATTATTGATACAATCAGTTTCACTTTATGTAATAATCATTTTCATTTTCCAAGGCATGTGAATCTATTTCTAGTAGAGCATGAAAAGAGAGGGTGTTAAAATGAAGGAAGGATTTTGTTAGATTAACGGAAGCAAAATGACTAATTACTTGCATTTACATGATCTATTTCCCACCTTCAAATAGTAATCACTTATGTTGTTATAATATGTATCCTAAAACGAGAAACTCTTGATTGGTACAACACTTGCAGGTTGGTCTCGAGAATATTAAGATGTGTGTTTTATTACACTTTAGTTATAGTATAACTTGGTAGCTCAGAACTGGAGAGAGAGCCCCCCCCCCTTTCCAGTATAAAATATATTAATCCTTGAGAATACAAAAATGAACATTCCCCCACCCACCCCACCCACCACCACCAACTCCACCCCCTCAGATAATTTTTACTGAAAAAGCCCTAACCTGGATTGGATTTAATTTACATTAACCTGGGTTAGAACAGTTTACATTAACCTGGGTTAGAACAGTTTACATTAACCTGGGTTAGAACAGTTTAAATCCTTTTTAGAAACCACTTTACAGTTTATATAGTGCAATCTGCCCATACCCAGGTTATAGAGTATAACTTGGGTAGGTATTAAATTTATTCCTCAAGTACTTTGGAAAATTTCTGCACAATTCCAATGCCATTTAGACATTTAAATATACACAATTTAAGTGCTGTATTAATTATGTTGTATCATTAAAGGACAACTCAAAAAATAGAACCAATTCAGAATGTACCACAACATCTGACTTACCAGAAACAGAGAGCCAAACAACACCAAAAGAACATTTAAATGACCAATCAGTGAACACCTCTCAAGACATAAAATTACTGACTGATGATGTTAACCAATCACAGACAATTGAATCAAAGGGAAATCTTACCATAGATTCAACAGAAACCAGTGAGACAGGTGGAGAGCAAAGAGAGGAGGGGCTTACTGTGACTGCTGAAATGCTGGAAGAGACGGAGGAAGATGAAGGGATTGAAGAAGATGGTGATGAAGATGATGATGATGATGATGGCTGGATAACACCTAGCAATATCACCTCACTGAAACAGAAGATGACTAGTGCTGATCAAGAGAAAGTAGCAGTACCTGTAGGCTGTGTGACTACAGACTTTGCTATGCAGGTATGTTAGGTCACAATCATTGTTAAAGGAGATAATGTTTGAAAATTGTGATTGTGGAAAGTTCAACTCAAGAAATTTAGATATTAAAAAAGAAGTTATGACAAGAATTAAGATGTATGAGGTTGTCATCTCTCAATATTTACATTTTCAAGTATTTTTCCTTAAGATTCTTTGCAAATTAGAAGATCGTTCATTTTCTCATGAACTACCATGAGATGAGCATGAATATCTTCATTGTTACGTCATAATACCGTACTTGACGTCAAAACTATAGTGCAAACTGTTTTGCTTTAAAAAATGACAGTGGAATAGCGTAACTTGTGAAAACACATCAGAAAAATAATGTAAATATAAGAAATGAATTTAATTTTTGAAAATTCATGAGGTACATGAACGACAATGCTTCACGCCGGCATATTTATCATGAAGCGCTAACACACTTCATGAAATATGCCGGCGTGAAGCGTTGTAGTTCATGTTCTCATGAATCTTCAAAAATTAAATTCATTTTTTAAGTAATAACGTCTGTTGACCTTTCCTCTCCTGTGCACTGTATGGTTCATAGGGGGTTGTGATTTCAGAACATTAAAAAACTGTTGATCTAAAATTAACAATCATTAAAGTTTAAAGTTCAGCTGATGAAAAAGAACACTGGTTATATTAATATTAATGTGTGTGAGGTTTCAACATGTACATTTTATGAATGCACAGTAACGCCTGTATGTATAGTCTGTTATTTTGTAAAAGAGGTTTGTCATATTGCACAGATTACCCTGGTACTATAAACCAACTTTTATTTGCGTGTTAGAAATATCCGTGAGTTTTGTGACCTTGCTTTACTCACGAATATTTTTTTCCACAAACTATTTCATTATGTATTTATGTAAAATACTTCCTCCGTTGCAAAACTTAGTCATCATGGATAAGTTTGAAACTAACAATTCAAACAAGCATTCTGAGAGTATTGCATAAGCAATACTAGTTCCCTACCAGCAAGTGTAATCTGGTTCCCGTTCAAAATTGAAAATGCGGTAATTCCGTCAAAAATCAATGAAGCGGAATGAAATGCAAACTTGATCTATAACTCATCAAGGTAAAGTCACATGCCAAAAATCAGCTCAATATTCGCAAGTGTTAGAAAAAAAGTGCGGAAAACCCTGAAAAATTGAAAAGGCCGTTTTTCCTTCAAAAATCATTGAAGCGGAAAGAAATGTAAACTTTATCTGTAACTCATTAAGATACACTCGCATGCCAAAAATCAGCTCAATATCTGCAAGCGTTTAGAAAAAAAGTGCGGAAAACCAAGTGGGACAGACTGACAGACAGACAGAGGGACAGACAGCCTGACAGACGGACGGACAGACTCAGAGGAAACCTATAGTCCCCTCCGGTTTCAACGGTAGGGGATTAATAAAAATGATGACGCTATTAAAAGTTGGTTTAGAGTACAATATGTAAATGTATATTTAAATAATCCTAGATATTTCTTTTCCTTTTTTTTGATTGACTAACACATCAAAACATCTCTGTATGAATTTGGGTGTAGCAAACTTTCAAATGAAAAGCTAATCAAGAACTATTGTCACTTCACTTCTTACAACTTGAACTATCAATCCTCTAGTTTCAACAGTTCACTGTATTATACACGTATGCCATAATTTACTTTTTGTATGCTTACATTCTTTGTTATTAGTCCCCTACTGGTGGAACCGGAGGGGACTATAGGTTTCCTCTGAGTCTGTCCATCCATCTGTCTGTCTGTCTGTCCCTCTGTCTGTCTGTCAGTCTGTCCCACTTGGTTTTCCGCACTTTTTTCCTAAACGCTTGCAGATATTGAGCTGATTTTTGGTATGTGAGTGTATCTTGATGAGTTACAGATCAAGTTTGCATTTCGTTCCGCTTCATTGATTTTTGACGGAATTACGGCCTTTTCAAATTTTAGGGGTTTTCCGCAATTTTCTTCTAAACGCTTTCAGATATTGAGCTGTGACTTTACCTTGATTAGTTATAGATCAAGTTTGCATTTCATCCCGTTTCATTGATTTTTGATGGAATTATAGCATTTTCAATTCTTAATGGGAACCAGGTTACACTTGCCGGTAGGGGACTAGTATTGCTAATGCAATACTCTCAGAATGCTTGTATCTCTAAATACATACAGTAAGACTTGGTTGAAAAGAACTCGGTTATAAGGAAATCTCCAATATAAGGATTTTTTATGAATCCCCTTGATGACTTTTTACTCTGTTTCTTATACAGAACAGTCAAACCTCGTTTTCTCGAACTGAAGGGACTGAAAAAATACTTCGAGATAACCGAGGATTCAAGATATCCAGAGTAAAATACTTGAGGAATAAGTAGTTGGGACTTCAAAATGACTTCAACATATCCATGGTATTCGAGATATCCGTGTTCAAGATACCAAAGTTCAACTGTATATAAAACCTAAGTTATAAGAAAGTAAAATTGGAGGTCCCAGTGACTTTCTTATAACCAAGTTTTACTGTAGCTCTGTGACCTAGTTAGTGATCTTTACATACCAGCAGAGTTATCATAAGCTAGTAATGGCAGAGTTTCATTTTTATACATTCCTTATCTTTTCAGAATGTGCTGATTCAGATGGGACTCAATGTGATATCTGTGGATGGACTGCTGATTAAAAGAGCAAAAAGTTTTGTTTTACGCTGCTTTGCATGCATGAAGTAAATATCTTTTCAAGTTTATCTGCAAGGGCATTTGTCCCTCCCCTTTCAAAGAAGTGGGGCATATTTGTTATTAGTTATATGTAGGTTGGTATATACCAATGATTTTAGACCACTATTTTGACAGCCAATTGCTTTGTTATCGTAAACAGATGATCCCCAATTCCCTACTGATATCAGATTTAAAAATGTCTGTCATACAGTCTTTATGTCCACATCAGATATCTCTTCACCAATATCTTGAAAATGTTTTGCTTGATAGTCATCAACCTTCACAGTTTGGTCCTTATGACCTCTAGTAATTTTCAGGTCAAAGGTCAGCAGGTTGTCATAAAACCATGCAGAGGTTGGCTATGGCAAAAAAATATATTACTCCTAACTTAAAGAATGGATATGAGGGCATGTATATTACAAGTATAGGGTATTTTTTATTTATGTCAGATTCCTGAAACATTTTGGATTGTAAAGTTGTACAGATATATCACTTGTTTAGTTTTTTAAAACAGCTACTTTTCTTTAAATAAAAAAAATTATTTAAGTTTAATGGAAAGACTTTGCATTTGACCTTTTTAAAAATTTGAAATCCGTTCCAGTTAGTACGTATGATTGTTTACAGAAATGAACAGTTGTAAATGAAATCAATATTTGGAATTTGATAGAATTACAAAGGATATGATGAAGGAATTTTGTCCTTACTGTGGAAACAGAACCTTACAGAAAGTATCAATGACTGTGGAAGAGGATGGCAGTATTCGTTACTTTCTCTCTCGGCGGAAACCAATCTCCACAAAAGGAATGAAGGTATTACTCAAAATTGTCTGCATTTTTCAGTTTAGATCATTGAGAAATTTATTCAATTCATAAATTAAATCATTCTGTTCAGAGTTCAGTGATCCGAAAAAATATGGGTGAAGTCTGTAAGCTTTTAAAATTACTGAAATGGATTTTGAATAATGTTAACCAGTGATGAATATAACATTCAAGAAAGCATTGTTCTTTGCAGCATCAAATACCACTGCCAAGGGGAGGTAAACATTCTAACAACCCAATCTTGACAGAAGATCAACCAATGCCCCAACAGAGGGCAGCCAAGAAGAAGCAGCACCTGGATGTTTTTGACCCTGATTATGTGTCAGGACAATCTCCATTTGCTCTAAATGACATCACCAGTCGGTCAGCACAACTGGGTATCAGAAATAACCAGTTTAATAAACGACATCAGAATTCAAACAGACATGGAAGGCGAAAATAATAAATTATCCACAGAAATTTTAGTTGTTTTTTTTTTTTTTTTGACACTTTGAAACTAACCCAAAATGATGGGATTGTGTAGTTGTCAGTAAAAGGTGACATGGAATTTACATACATGAAGATAACAGATTTCTACTTGTTTTTCACAAACTAACTGAAATGGAATAATTAATATATTAGGCCATCTTTAAAAAAATTGGTTGGTTGCCCTCTCCCGACCGACTGGCTAAAAATAGCCTGACTCAAAACTTTTTAAACCTCCAGGAAACAATGCATTCCAGAGACAAGATTTTGAAAATTCAGCATTGATGTTGAAATTTTCTGAGAAAAAAAAATTGCACCTACCTACTGACCCAATTTTTTCTTCCTGAGTCGGGAGAGGGCAAACAAAGATCATTTTAAAGTTGGCCTTACCAGCATCTTTAAGTAATATGAGGGTAGAACTAAAAATTTTGGGAATTTTGTAATAAAGTCGTTCATCCCAATTGAGAGGCATCGTCAAAATGTCATACACTAGTACCTGTATTTTCAAAGTCTTGTCTGATGAATGGTATTAAATTACAGATATTTTAACACAATTGGATTTTGCTCAACTTCCAAAAAATATCTGACAAGCGAAAAAAAAGCTAATTTACTGTTCAAATCATGGAATTTACCATTGCTCAACCTTACAACATCAAAAAGGGGGGGGGGGCAGTATCTAAAGGAAAATTTACTATAGCAAAATACTATACTCAGAAAAAAGCCCCCCCCCCCTCCCCCCGCGTTCTACGGGGCCTGATGACAAATGACAGTTACGTTGTTAAAATCATTTTGATTCTTCATGAAGTACTGTGAAGGTGATGTTAAAATAATCGTTATGGAGTTTTTCATTGACAATATCTACAGTATCAGTATGTAATATGTACACTAATTTTACCACAGATTACTTCATTTACCTGATTAATCAGAGGGCTCACGGCGGGTGTGACCGTTCAATAGGGGCTGTCTACTCCTCCAACGCAGCTGATCCCAGCTCTGGTGTTTCCAGGGCTCCGTATTTTGCTCTGTTATGATTCGTATTGTTTGAATACTTATGAAATCATCACTGTTCGTTATCTTCAATAAATTCATTAATATGCAATTATCTTTACATAGTGCAGATTCAATTTTTAGCTCACCTGAGCTGAAAGCTCAAGTGAGCTTTTCTGATCACCCGTTGTCCGTCGTCCGTCCGTCCGTCCGTCTGTAAACTTTTCACATTTTCGACTTCTTCTCAAGAACCACTGGGCCAATTTTAACCAAACTTGGTACAAAGCAACCTTGGGTAAAGGGGAGTTTAAATTGTTAAAATGAAGGGCCAACTCCCCTTCAAAGGGGAGATAATCAAGAAAATACAAAAATTGGGTGGGGTCATTAAAAAATCTTCTCAAGAACCACTGGGCCAGAAAAGCTGAAACTTATCTGGAAGCATCCTAAGGTAGTGTAGATTTTAAATTGTTCAAATAAGACCCCTGGGGGTAGGGCGGGGCCACAATAGGGAATCCAAGTTTTACATTGAAATATGTAGTAAAAATCTTTAAAAATCTTCTTCTCAAGAACCACTGGGCCAGAAAAGCTGAAACTTACTTGGAAGCATGCTGGGGAAGTGTAGATTCTAAATTGTTCAAATCATGACCCCCGGGGGTAGGGCGGGGCCACAATAGGGAATCCAAGTTTTACATTGAAATATATAGGAAAAATCTTTAAAAAATCTTCTTCTCAAGAACAACTGGACCTGAAAAGCTGAAACTTATGTGGAAGCATGCTGGGGTAGTGTAGATTCTAAATTGTTCAAATCATGACCCCCGGGGGTAGGGCGGGGCCATAATAGGGAATCCAAGTTTTACATTGAAATATATAGGGAAAATCTTTTAAAATCTTCTTCTCAAGAACCACTGGGCCAGAAAAGCTGAAACTTATGTGGAAGCATGCTAAGGTAGTGTTGATTCTAAATTGTTCAAATCATGACCCCTGGGGGTAGGGCGGGGCCACAATAGGGAATCCAAGTTTTACATTGATATATATAGGAAAAATCTTTAAAAATCTTCTTCTCAAGAACCACTGGGCCAGATAAGCTGAAACTTACTTGGAAGCATGCTGGGGTAGTGTAGATTCCAATTGTTCAAATTATGACCTCTGGGGATAGGGCGGGGCCACAATAAGTACTACCGGGGGGGGGGGGAGAAATCAGGTGAAAAACAGCAAGGCCAAAGTTACTCAGGTGAGCGCTGTGGCCCATTGGCCTCTTGTGTTGAAATCGTGGTTTTGGGTTTAAGGTGGGAATTTGTACGAAAAAATCTTATATGAAATAATCTTCTCAAAAACAGTAGTGCAACAAATACTCATTTTAAGAAGCATCACCAATTCTATAGCCCCCTTCCAATATGTGTAGTTTGTTTTCTTGTAAAAGAATGAAAAGTAAAACGCCTAAATTTTCGTCAAAAATCATTAATGCGGAATGAAATGTGAATTTTTCTATAATTTATCAAAAAAGACTCGAATACCAGAACATGTTCACGGACAAAACAAGTTGATGAAACCAGAATATCAAATGTCTCGTTTAAAGTCATTTCGCAAGTTCTACGGTCGATACTTTGAATTCAATCTATCATTAACTCGAATGCTGACTGATGTATAAAATGAGAAAACGAACAGTATTCAAGCTCATAAGTCCATTAAAACAATACAAATCAGGAGAAGAGCAAACACGGACCTCTGAAACATCAGAGGTGGGATCAGGTGCCATGGAGGAGTGAGCATCCCCTGCCGACCGGTCACACCCGCCGTGTGCTCCTTGTCATGATTTGGAAAAATCGAAAACAGTCCATAGACAATTCAGTGTATAAATAATGGCCTAATAATTAGAATGAAAAAGATGCCAGCATTTGACTTAATGATAGATTGTATTTGCTGACAAGGTCATTGTATCGACCATAAAAGTTGCGAAATGATGACTTTAAACGAGACTGTTGATGTTCTGCAACAGCTTACCTCGTTTTGGAAATGTTTGTACGTAGAGCATGTTCTTGCGTATCGAATCAACTGAGAGACATGAACTCCATGTGCAGGTGATAAGGGAATATTGCTACACAAGTTAGGAAAGTTCACGATTGAAAAACTAAGTCATCATGTTTATCATATGGCTTTGTTGTTAGGTTATCATTAACGTCTTTTCCTAGTAAAATATTCAAATATGAAACAGATGTGATCTTTCATTTCAATCTCACTGGGATATATCGAGTCAACATATGAACGGAAGTAACTATTGTTAATTGATAATATCTAAATGTCAAATTGAAGGCCACAGCAAGTGTTTTCTTCTTCTCAAGTATAAGATTTTGAATAAATTCTGCTTCATATGCGATGAAAAAAGATCTGCTCATAATGGGGTACCATTACCAAAGGATTTATATACTGGAATGGTTATGCTTGATCTGCAAAAGGCATTTGACACAGTAGATCATGTTATATTTTGTTAAAAAAAAACTCAAAGCAATTGGTGTTCAATCTGTTGATTGGTTTTTATCTTATTTGTCTGAAAGAAAACAGTTTGTTCACAACGATGGAGTTTCATCAGATGTTGGCATTACTATATGTTGTGTACCCCAGGGCAGCATTCTAGGTCCTTTGTTATTTTTTATATTCGTCCATGACATGTTAACTTATGTTGATGCAGATTGTAAACTTATTTTATACGCTGATGACAGTGTCATTTTATTTGCACATAAATATCCAGATTTTATATCAGAAAAGCTCAGTAAAGTTTTTAGATCAGACCTCGTACTGGCTTGAACATAATAAATTATCGTTACATTTAGGCAAAACTAAATGCATTTTATTGGATTCCAAAAGAAAGCTTCGAAGGTTTTATGTAAATACCATAACATTGAATGTAAGGAAAAAGTTGAATATCTTGGAGTTGTAATTGACCACTTTTAAGTGGTGAATGCATCATTGAAGAAATTGTTCAGTAAGATATGAAGGGGCTTTTCCTTGATAAATATTGAATACATAGTTGAGTCTAAGCTGAGAAAATCTGTCTTGAACATTTTTTTACTTCGGTCTAATTTTAGTAGTTATCATACTAGGTCAGCCTCAAATGCAGATTTTGTTGTACCAGCTGTTAAGAATTACAATCAGAATATTTTTATTTTAACGGAGTCAAAGATTGGAATATGTTACCAGGAGAAATTAAAACTTTTGTAAATACTGGAAATAACTTTGCTTTTAAAAGAAATGTCAAGAAAATGTTTATATTCACATGAAGACTTGATATATATACATGCAACAATTCATTTCTTAATGATCACTGTGTTGTCAACTTGATTCCACTTCTTTATTATGATTTTTTTACTTAACATCTAATATGCGTGTATAACTGTAAGGACCCCCACTGGTAGTGAAGGAGAAACTGTAAAACAATTAACATATTCGAGAAGTGGTGTTCATAAAATGTGGATACTTAAAAACTCCAAAGAACTTTTAGAAAATTTGAAATCACAAAATTTAACCAAAATCAAAAGCGACAAAACGTACGAATTTTCAACCATTCCCCATGATAAATTATTGTGCAGGCTTTTTGACATCATAGACAACTACTTTTCTTTTTAAAATAAGAATGGAATTTGCCAATATTCCTACCGTGTCATTGGTCATTTGTAGACTTACTTTGTTAAAAACATTCTGATTCTACACACAAATACGCTGAGTTTAATATTTAAAAGATGCTTCAGTTTCTCATTGACAATATCTACGTAGTCTTTGGAGACTAGGTTTTCTAACAATCTGTTGAAATTCCAATGGGTATATTGTGCACCATTATTAGTAGACATGTTTTTGAATTCTTAGGAAGCAGAATTTATTCACAAACTTCTACATAAAGGGAAGTCTTGTGCTGTGACCTTTAATTCGACATTTTGATACTAGATCATGTATATCGATGATGTTTGTCAATAAAGAATAATTATTTTCATTCACAATTTGATTCGATATATCCCATCGA